CGTTTCAACGCAGATATCGACAATAAACAAATGATAGCACTAGCTCTTTGTGCTTCATCAAATTGTTGTATGTAGCGACGCACTGCTCCTCCCACAATGTGAATGATTCCCTCGGAACAAACTTTTCCGGTTTAGGGAATTTAACTTTAGGTTTATTCCTGGGGGACTATGAAAGTGTATCCGACGTCAACAATGCTATTCCGAACGCTGCGACCATTTCTTGAATCGTACCTGGGGCAGGCGTGGAGGTTGACATTGTTGGTGAGGTTGATGACATCATCGGTGGCGCTCTGTTACAATCTTCCAGATCACAGTCCTTCACTTCGCGCTTTAGCTTACGCGAATTGGGCCGGCTCGCCGTGTTCTTTAATAGAACAACACAAACAATATTAAAGATCAAGCACACGGGGTAAGGCGAGGAAGCAGAGCACGACATCAGAAATCCAAAAAATTATATATATTTATAATAATAATAATATATTCTCATTTTGTACATTTTGTACAAAGCGGAAGGCTTGGTTTACGTGGCGTGTATCTAAGAGTCAGACCGACCATAATAATAATAATAGTATATTCTCATTTTGTACATGAGAGACGCCAGTTTACAGGCATCATCAATATGACAAATTACATATACGATTAGCAATCATAGTTAATAATAATGTTTCAATGTTTCTCCCACCTGTGTAGGAAACACCAAATGTACAGGCATGGATAAACATTATTTAAATTTCATAAATTTGGTTTATGGTTAAATTACATGGTTGCTGACGTTTTGTCTTTGGTTTGTGGGAACAATATGATAACCAGTCATTCAATGGAGCACGTCATGAAATATGGGAATATTGACTTCGTATTAACAAACAAAGCCCAAGTGTGTTTTGGATGGATTACAAATACTTGGGAAAAATAAGGCTTGAAGCAATTCCACAATATAACTTAGGTGTATACAAGTCCGAATCTTGTTTTTGATTTATATCCAAATTGGGTAATAAGAAAGCTATTTTTACCGATACGACCAGTTATGTTATAAGTTACAATCGTGACGTTGTATTACAAATTGATACTTTTACATTGGTATAAGAGTACATTCCACAAATGTAATCCAGGTTGCGTCGTGGGGAAAGTTAATTCTTTATTAACTAGGCAACTGAAAGATATGGGACCAATATTGTTTGCAGGTGCCTCGGTGGCACAGCGGTTAGGACGCTCGTCGACCATGCACATGGTCTGGGGTTCGATCCCCGGCCACCGACGTACTCCTTTACCTCTCTAAGCCAGAAATAATGCTGGTAAAGAGGAAAGGTTGGACATGAGGCTTGCAACCCCATCCTGTTAAAAATAAACACTGCTACAGAAACTTCAAGCCACTAGCTTGAAGCCCTATGTTCCGCTGGGAACGTGAAGGAAAAAAAACAACAAAACAACAAAACAAAACAATGTTTGCTGATCATTTGTCATTGTAAATATTCAAACATCCACATTATTCATTCTCATTCAAAAAGTCCAATGGAAGCTAAAATGGTGAGAGAGAAAAAAGACAAACAACAGCAAAGCAAAAGAAAGCAAGAGGAGTCCTTAAGGAGTGATTAATAAATATATACATATATATTCTGTTTTGTAACTGCACTAACTAACTAGTCCCGTTATGCTCACTTTTATATTATGTGTGAACTAATATTACTGTCCTATGTAGAAATGTTTATCATCTAGTTCCAATGATATTAAAACTTATAATTGTAGTTGGTTGTAACTACACGTTTAATGAACTTAAAATATCTATGTAGGGTGAAAAAGAGGATGTAGGAGTCAAACGTAGAAGTGCATTGTCATCTCTGAGCAGTCTGGTGACTGAGGAGATGAACACTGGAAGTGTGTTTGCATCGCGCACATTAGCTGGTAGTTTATTCCAAATGACTGAAAACTTATTTAAGAAGAAGTTGTACCACACGTAAGTTTGACAGTGCTCTATAGCAGCTAGGTTGTGATGATTTCTAAGATTGTAACTGATGACAGCGGTAGGTTTAGTTATTGGCTCGGAGGAATGCAAGAGAAGATTAGTCAGCTTGTGGTAAAAGATAAGGTTTAGCTAAAGACGTCTTTTCCAGTGGGGTTCTAATCTTAGCCTGTCGCATCGCTCATAGTATTCCAGACCACTTTCTAAACCAAGAGTTCTTGAGGTAAACTGCCTTTGCGCTCCCTCTAATTTGAGCTTGTCATTGAGTCCGCTAAGAATAAATGGGCAGTAATCTAAGATAGGTCGGACACATACTTTGTATAATAAAACCCTAGTTTCACAACAAAAGAAATTGCGTGTTATGCATCCCATCAGCCTTCGTGTTTTACGTCTGGCATAATCAGTCTGTTCAGCGAACGTTAGGTTACTAGAGTATCTAATACCGAGATGTACGACTGAGTTGAGCTTAGCTAGTTTTCACCCATTTATTTCAAGAGTTAGATCAAGGTTACTGTTTCCGATACAAATCCAGCCTCATTTGTCAATGTTAAAATGTAGACAGGATTCCGCACACCATGTTGCGAGACTACTTGGTTCAAGATGCATTTTAGTAACCATATCGCTTAATTCAGTGCAGCAGGAGCAGACGACTTTGAGGTCGTCAGCATATAGGAATGGTTTACCTGAGTTGAAGCACTTGCAAATGCTGTTAATGTAGACTGTGAATAAAAGTGGACCTAGGACACTGCCTTGCACAACCCCACTTGAGATCTGCCTAGGATGAGACAATACAGATCCAACTTTGGTTATTTGTACCCTGTTGCTTAGAAATGATTTTAACCAGTTCAGTAATGGGTTGTGAATTCCACATGAGTACAGCTTCTCAAAGAGAATACTGTGAGATACCATGTCAAATGCCCTAGATATAACGAAGTAGAGAACAATGACTAGCTTACGTGCTTCGTGACTACTAGTGATGCAGTTGAAAAAGAGCTAGGCTATTAAAATTCAGCATCCACCGGCTTTTGAATTGACGCCTGCTTTCGAATTCGAACCACTACACCGTAGTTCAGTGAATTTTCCGCACTCCACTACCTTATTTATTAGTAAACTTAAACAATTTAGACAAGTGATATATATGCGAAAATCGAGTGATTCTTAACCAACCCATTTCTGATATCATGGGTGGAAAACAGATCTTTAGCTCCACATATCTACTGTACTCTTCTTGTCATAACTTTTGACTAACACTAAGTTTGCTTAAAAACCTTCATTTCCTATCATGATGATATTCGGCATATCATTCACATTTCGTTCGCCCACTTCGGCGTTTTCTACTCAGTTTTCGCTCAAAAACCTTGCACGCATTGTCATGTGAATGCCCCTAGGTGCATGTACCATTTCCCTTCTCATATTCATTGGGACAAGAGCTCTCCTTTTGCTTGTTGACTAGTAGGGTTCCATGTAGTTTATTCCTTTCGACCAGCCATCTAACCTTCACTGTTGAAGCAGGGAATTAAGCTGTTGATGAAGATCTGCAGCTCATTGGGAATATTCCCGGTAACTCACCAATCAAGTATCTGAAGTATACAGATGAATATTAGCTCTGAAAAGTCAAATCTTGTTCCTTTTGATAAGTGCTGTATGTTTTCACGTTGATTTCGGATCCGTAAATTGCTGTCTCGCTCTCCCACTCATGCCATTGACATTTTCATGCTTCTGGTCGGAACAGTGCCAACAAAGTGAGGGAGAGGGATGAACCTTTTGAAATTACTATCGTTGTTGATTATTGGTGTTGTTGGCTGTTCGGTATTTGCATCTCATCTCTCATCTCTTCGTTCATCTGAATTTCTGTCTTTGTCAACTCACTAGTCACCTTGCCTGCTTCTGCTTTGAATCTTCGAGGTTGAGCAACACAATACATAAGTTATCCACAAAATATCAGTCTTCTGTGGTCTGCATGTTGATTTAGAGTATACCTATCTTCTCAATGCAGACGATCTGTTACATGGTCTAGTCAACGATGTTTAGGAATGTCGTTGACGATGCAAAGTTTCGTATCACTTATTTCTTCACTACAAACGCTTCAGTATACTTACTTTTATGGGCTGTTTGGCAAGGGTCATCATCGTGCAGCTGCTGCATGTTCTCAGCACTGCAACCGGTAGTGTCGAGATGGCCGTCAAGTTACTTCATGATCGAGTCTGTCAAAAGGCCTCCTCAAAGTTTATGTTGACCGGGCAACATATATTAAAACAGGAAGAATATTGCTTTGAAGTGGGGGTTTATATTTCAGGATATATACTACCAAACCAATGTTTATGTTTTCCCAACTAGGGAATGGAATTTCTGACCAAAATCAACATTATAACGTGTCAAGTTGTGGTGCATAACTGAGTGCCACCAGATTGATGAGCTCACCGAAGCTCACTGTTGACTGTCGTCTAACAGTAGAGTTATGGCAATCATGTGGATATAGCGAAAATAGCAGCATTGGTTAACATGAAGACGAGGCCGAATTGCAGATGTTTTGCCTGCCTCCCTACACACCACTCGTGAGTTCCCTTAGTCTTCTCCTGCAAACGAACACCGAATTTCGCACCAGCGTTGATAAGATAATAGATCCATGCAGTTACGTGTGTTATTAAAGGATATGGTTATTAAAGGCTATGGTTATTTTCGTAGAGTCAATACAGAGTACCACCGCTACTATGGACTAATGGGTTCAAGGAATATTTCTCCACAAATATAGAAGAATAACGCAAAACGTGTCAAAACTGGACTTTTGGGAGCAGAGTTCAAAGTAGATCATACGGAAGTTTATTATATAGGATTGTCATTTGAGAATATGAAGGCAACTTATTATGTCTTATTATGTAAGAATTGTTAAAATCTGTCAAGCGGTAGTTCCCGCTTGGTTTGGTGGGGGTGCGGATGGTTGGGTTAGGTTTTCAACAATGCACTGATCCTAGTGGCTGCCATTTATCCTTTTTGTTCCAAATCCTAATCCACATATTGTCACTTTATTTGCTGCTTGGTCGTTATGCGTCGGCAACTGGATGGCTTTGCCAGCCCATGCATTTCGGATCGCGAATATGTAAAGCTTCAGTACGGCCGTAAAATAGCCCAGGATACGTGTCTTTTAGCAAGTGTTAAAACTCCGGATTGGTCACAGGCTTCTCCTGCTTTCATTGGTAAACACAATATCGTACCCTGCACCGTGACGACTAATTCCGGAAATTCATCGCTGAAGATGTATCCTTACTCTGTGTACTCATGTAAGTCCGGGCATACGTGCATTTTGAAGCTTTTCTTTATATTTAAATGTATTTTGTGTAGTTGTGCTGACCTCTTTATGGCCTTTCTGTGTTCTCACAATCTCAAATCGATAAATGGAATGAACCCAGTTTTTTATTGATTGCCAGATTTATTGTTACTTAGAAAGTATGTGGAATTTTGGGTTGTATCATGCCGAAGAGGCCTTCACCCGAATGTGTGAGGTCTGACTGAGTTTAGGCTTGGGATATTGCTATATACTTGTCCATGTGCAATTCACTGTTAGTAGACATTAGTTGCTACACCCGTATACAAATCTTTCTGGCATACATCATACGTATGGCAGTGTGAGGAACTGTTCCTATTTCATTTTTGAGCCTGGGCTTACATGTAACGGTGCCCACGGATTATACTGCTTGTAACCACTTTCCTCACAGGTCATAGCGTACCAGAAATTACTCTGTATCATTTCTAACCTCAGCCGTTATTAGTCTTTCTTCAAGGGTATACGTAACTGTGGTATTATGAATATACGTCTAGGTATGCACCTTGATTATAAATGACAGACAAGGAGAGTGTTATATGAGAGATGGACACGAGACTTTATAGCTGTTTTTCACCTTAAGTTGTGGATGATTTTTCTAATACATGGACTATTTATGGTGTTCGTAATAAAATTAAATGATTAGCGTCAGTAAAAATCAAGTACTTAGCACAGAAGTAATAACGATATGCACTACTCAAACTTTCCTTAAAAACTATGTGTTAATTTTACTTTAGCCTGAACCTTCCAGGTGAGTGGTTCACTGTAGCAGATAGGTAACATAAGAGCACAATCTTCGTGTGGTGTATTCCAAGGATTTCCTGGAGTGTACCTAGAAATATCTTTACGTTGTAGTTTTGAGTTCGTAATATTTTGTGTGGTTCGCAATATCTGTTAGTTCGTAATTCAGTCTAAGGTGTCGTTTTGTATTTATCCTAGTTATGTAGCTTAATTCATGTGTACACGTGGTTTGTTCAATGCTGCAGTTAATTCTCCTCGCTATCTTGTAGGCGCTTGCCAGTCTGATCCTAATCGGTGTCATAAGTACCGACCAAACTACTTGAGGCATCGCTGTCTTTCGGGTCCAACTGTTGCTATGCTTCTCCCAACTGCGGCTCACGAGTCTGCGGCTTTCTCGCGCACTGCTGGCCAGTCCTCGGTCTTTGAAAACTGTGGTCGTGTGGTGACGAATCATTCTATCCCCCTGTCTCATATATTAATTTCACATCCTCCAGGATCTAAAGTAACATCAAACGTATCGCACTTGAGTATGTGCCATTCACCATTCTCTCATCCTTCAACGAATCCCTTTGATCCACATCATTTGTTTAATACTGACTTCCCCTCGGCTCACGTATCACGTTTCACTTTTAGCTAGAATTTTTCAAAATATATTAATATCAGCATTGCATTTCTAAATGTTGTTGTGCACGTGACTTTCCTAAATTGTAATGATCTCATCCTTTGCATTTAATCATTGGATGGTATTTTATTCCCTATCTTTATGTATCTTTAGTATTTCACTAATATTCCGCTTGGTTTTACTTGTTTTACTGTATGAATAATGTTTGGTACTTCTGACTAGGCTTTTTACTATTTTTATTAGTGTTTTCATTCATTCCACACTGAGCTTTGTTTTTTGGTGGCGAATTATTTTTGGATACTTTGACATCAGTGTTCCATCATGTATAACTAAGTTTATCCTACTCAGTTGCTTCGATCTTAGGTATTACAAAACTAATATTCCAATGTTTTTATACGTATCCTTTCTTTAATTATCCTTTTACTTTGTTCATATATATTAATATACGTGGTGTTTATTGTACTTCAACAGTTTATAATTTCTCTGAAACAAACTGCACGTTTTAATTTATTTCTTAGCTATCGCTTTTAATTTATTTATTATCATCTGATCTCTACTTCCACATGTTATATTAAATGAAGTGATTACTGTGAAACTCCGAATTGTTTTACATAGCTGTGTATTTATTTTTGAAATGCATATTTTGCATTATTTTCTGCTTCAGTAGTGAGAATTAGTTTAGTAAGGCCTAAGCAGTAACGTTAGTTGTGCATCTTTTTCCAAGTAGTTGAGTTTTGACTGAGTTTTCAACGTAGGAGTTTACACAAGTGCACCTATTCAAGTTCCCACACTTCCTATAGCAGACTGACGTAGAAAAAAACTACATTGAATGGAAACATACGGGATAACGAGTAGAAACATGGAGAAATAAGAAGACCTAATTGATCTAAGCGGTTAAAAAGTGAATGCATTTGTGCCACTGAGAACAACCTTGAGTCATCTCACTAATAGACTCAAGCCGTTAGTTCTTACCTCCTGCTCCCATCTCACTACGTGGCTGAAACTGACAGTCAAAGACTTCATGGAATCATGCCAGGTTCGAAACCACTGATTTACCTACTCTTTTTGCCTAACACTTCACCTGACTTCAATAGTACTCAACCATATCTACAAAGACTAGTTTCTTCATGTTTCACTTTCAGTGGCCACGTCTCACAGACATAAAAATAGGGCAGGGCGCACTGCTGCGCAGTGTACGTGTCCTGCGACCGTTACTTGGATATCGTTTACGACAGGCATGATGATATTTTTAAATTCTCGCTGAGGTTTCGTCGGCATTAAGTTGTATCCTTTTTGGTTTTGGAGATTCAGGGTAACAAACACCCACAGTTGTCTACGAACTACTGCACTGGTCTTGAAAAGCTGTAAATAAGTTATCAGACAATAAAGAAATGAGTTATGTTATCTTTTTCCAATCTTTTGAGTTCCGATCATGCGATGTTTAGGTGCCCGCCGTTCAGAAGTCGGAAACGAACTATATGGGTTGTTGGCAAGCATTCTACCATTGAACCACCGACTCACATGTCTTGGTTCAAACATCTAGTGAAGAAATACTCGAGTAAAAAATGGTGACTGCCAACAAGAGTATTGTGTCTGTGCCAGACATGTTGTTTCTAACTGGTGATATTAGTAATGTATCGTCTTTGCGAGGAAATAAGTGTTGACGAGCTAGTCCTTCATTCTTGTGACTACGGAATATCGGTTTTGTGATAAACTGGATGAAGACTGGTGTTTAGAAGCCGAAAAATGCAATACATCTGCTGGGTGTTTATCCGGGGTACCTTGGCAACACATATTTCTCATGATTTTGAAACTTCTGAACGTAATGGCTTTCTTAACGGGAAACCAAATCTTCGAATTCAGTTTACTTGGCGAGTTCCGACATTCGTAGTTAGTATTTCAACAATAACCCCTGTTATTCTTGTGAATATATTGTATCAATAATGGCCAGGTGTTAAGTATTGAAGAAAGTAATCTATGGTCTGTCTAATTCACATTATCAACCTATTCCAGCTGCCGGTTGTTCGCCTATGTCTAATCGGCATACCTTGTATATCGAACACAGAAGGCTTATGAACTTTAACGTAAGGTATGTCCTTGATTGAATCAGTTCCAGTAAAAGACAAAATCACAACTAAGACTTCATTTTTCTCTTCTCTATTCTAATCACAGACACATACAGGGAGTTAATATGTAAAGTGTTACTTTATGGAAACGCTAACAAGATAAGTTCAAAAAGAAAGCGAGAGTTAAAAATATCCAGAAATATTTTGACGTCGAAGAAAATACAGTTAGTTTCAGTGATTCTTGTTTACATGAAAAAGCAGTACGTTGAATTTGTGAATCATAAGTGTGTAATTTGAAAATGTGGCTTTTCCAAAACAAAATACGTGCAAATCAAACATAATTAATTTTAGATTTTTCTGGAATATTTGAAGTTGTATCACCAGCTGCTTGTGACGTTTGTGTGGTTAATGTTCTCTTGCCTGTATTTATGCTTGTTATGGTTACTGGTACCACAAACACTGACGCTGTTGTTTTTGTGATTTTAAGGAAAGAGTTTTTCTCATCTGAAGACTTTTCTTCAAAATCGTTGGGCTTTAACATAATAGTCCCTGTAACTTTTTGCCCAGTTCTAGTTTGACTTGATTGGAATTCAGATTTCTGACTAGTTGGTGATTTATGCTCGTTGTCATCAGCACTCACTTCTGGTACAATCGCAGAGTCGATCTCAGAAAGCCTTTCATTGGTTTGCAACTTGGGTGCTGGCACTCTTATTAGTGAAGCTAATTCCTGACGTGCTCGTACACGCGCATGTAGGTAAGGAGCACCTAAAAGAAAGATTAAAATACGTTAGACAAATCAGGAAGTACTGTGTCTCACTTATTTTGACCTAGTAAGTCTAAAACTGATTACGTGTTTATTTCTGATGGACCGTTATTTTATAGATCAAGGCTATGGATTACAATCATGTTTCAGATCCATTATTGTACTTCTACATAAACCGTATTGAAAAGAGACTTTTGAATTATATCTACTATTTTTTGTAAACTGTCAATATTCTAACTGATAGCTGCATTACACTAATTCTAATATAGTAAAATCAACATATATCAAGAGAGATAAGTTAGTCTGAAGTCCAAAGCTGTTTGTTACAAACTTTTATCATATATCATTACGTGCCACTGTGTAAAACTATTGTGTCCGTGAGACCTCACATGAAATCAAAACTAAAAAGGCCTCATCATTATTGGAATGGGCAACATGATTCTTTAAATCTTCAGGATAATTTTGGTAAAATTACTTTCCAAAAATGTAAAGTGAAGAGAAAACTATTGTTCAACCTTCAAGTGTTTACTACATTCTCCGACGTTTTCTTGGGGTGACATTGTTGTAAAAGGATTCAAAAACACAGTTGCAACAGCACTCAAACTACGGGAATGTGGGTTGCTGGTCCAATATTGTCACAAATGAACTGTGAAACCGAACTGTTCATAATTCCTTAATTTCATCGCAGTCACTGTGGTCTTACGTGGCTTTCATGTGGATAAATGGATTATAACTGTTAGTCCGCCATCATTTACAGTGAACTGTTAAAACAGAAAATAAACTAGTCTAGTTGATAAACCTAAAGGTCTACTACAAAGTAGCATATGTATACTATTGCTGAGAAAGGTAGTCCGTCGAGATATTTAAGTGCTTATAAAAATATTACTATTCTCTGAAACAATTTTTTTAACTATCACCGTTTTCCTTGCAAGTGTTTCATATTTTTTGACTGTTTGAATTGATATTTTCCACTTGGAAATCAGAGGTGGTGCTCCTGAATGCACTAATTTTTATGAGGAAGTAAGTTTTGCATATAGTAATATTTCGTGTTAACTGATGGAAATGAACTTACCAGAACCATAAAGAGATGAGGCGATTGCAGCAGCAGCTGCAGGTCCAACAGGTGTTATTGAGCCTTCGCTCACTAAAGAATTTTCACTTTGATTATCTGCATTCGAATCATTTGATAGTCTTGCCTTCAGAGCATCGGTACGAAGACTTTTATAAAATGCGTGAGCATTTCCGGCCAACTTCATCTCACTAGGACTTAAGTTACGCAAAGAAGTGGAGAAAGTGTTAGGCTTAGAAATATATATTTTAGGAAAACACAATAGTACGAAGTAGGTACTGATTCGCTTTGTGTGGGAAGTTTATAGAAAAGGTAAGATGAATGTGTTGAACAGAAAAATCTCTTGATATGCAAAGGACAAACAAATCTCTTCATTAAGCATCATTCAAACCCTTACTTTTACCGCGGCTATTGCAGATGCTTATTTACTATCTTCACATGATCATATTCATCCTGATCTGTTACGAAAAAGCAACACTATAAGTTAGAGATTCGACGTAACAGATGTGTATCTTGGAGTTCATCTGACCATTTGTATCCTTAATTTACAGTAGTTAGAGTGGAAGGTGGATGAAACAATTCACCGAATTTCGTAGTCCTGAATATTAAAAAAATCACTTAATTTTGTTCAAAACAAGTCTCAGCGGTACGAATGTCCACTTCTTGGATTTTTATTATTTTAGTTTCCTATGCATTCTTTAAAAACCATTTTATGGGATGATTTTCTTCACATTTCTCTCCTTACAACTCATAATAGTAATTAACATTTCCCTGCCTGATTTTATATCGTTGTACCGATATGAAGTGCAACAACTACGACTGACACATATGTTAGGCGATAATTTTTTTCCCAATTCATTTGTCCATTTAATAACTTAACAGAATATGATAGAAGTAAAACCAAGGTTTCATCAACATTTGGATGCTGTAGTAAAGCTGAAGATATCTTGCTCAGAACTGGTTGGAATCCACTTATTCGGCTGCTAATCTACCTCAGTTTCTTAACGAACCATTGTAAATAATCTATTTATTGACAAGACGAAATGTCTTGAATAGTGGGGAAGTAAAATTTAGAGTATTCTGTTAATACAAAACAAACATTTCAACAATAACCTGTATACTCCAGTGTCTTCTGCTGCAGTGCACAAATAGGTGCATCACATTCTGTTTATCTTTTTTTATTCCTTTGCGTATTTCCAGTTGAACTTAAGGCTTCAAGCTTGAGCTGTGAAGTTTCACTACTAGTGGTGTTTTTAAGGGGATGGGGTCGCTAACCTCGTGCCCTATGCCTAATCCCCCTCTTTGTTGGGCTTGCTGGGGACAAGAGGGGGGGGTAAAGATCTGCGCCGGCCGGGAGTCGAACCCCGGACTATCCTGTTAGGCTACTTGAAATGCACACTCAAGGTTAATCATGTGTTATTAAGTTTCAGCTTCTTGGTGTGGATCAAACATACCAGGTAAGTCATTGGCTTAAAGTATATTCAAATACGCCTCAGGACCATAATGAATGGCTATCCTTCCCTAGTTCTGTTTTCCTAGTACAGGAAGAAATAGGAAGTGACGAACACTCGTTTGAATATACTTTGTAATAAAGCTTATCTGTTTATTTATAGTTTGTAATTAGTTTTTACTTATTCTCCGCTTTATATCATTGTGTATTGCATTTCTGATCATCTACGTAGTAAACTGTTTGTGTTAACATAAGTAAATAAGTATATACGAATGGATATATTGCTTATAGGAAAGGAAATAGAGTTATAGGAGACTGTCAAGAATGCGTGTGAAACAAAAATTGTTTCGTTGATCAAGGAATGAAGACCACTGAATCTGCACACTTCACTAAAGGAATTTGAGATCGTGTTGTATAAGAGATGTAACTCCATTGCATAAAGTATGACTGACCTCCAGACGAAAAATTAGGGTAACTGTGGTACTGAAACATTTTTACAGGCATTTTACACATAAGTGTTGGTACAGTCAATACTTCTCATAAGCCAAAATTCCTATAAAAGTATTATAGTTTTAAATATTCTTTTAAAACCCTTCGGTGAAAACTCACTGTGTTCTAGTCCTTCTGTGTCCAGCCTTCTGACTTCTCCTTACTAAACTTTCTGCTGAAGCTGTGGGAAAAGAATTAAAATTATTTGTTAAAGTATATCCCATTTTCAAAACTAAGCGTTTTGTACCCTCAGGATACTTGTAGAATATACAGAATGAGGTTTCTATTTATGTTCTTGGAAAATACCCATATGGACATTAGAAAGAAGAGAACACGAAGTTCAGCAAAGATATCTTTTCGGCGATTTCATTCTCAAAAGCTGTACAATCGCATTTATATAGATTATTTTAACATGGATAGAATTATTATTTGCTGAATTTCACATAGTAACGAAGGTGATAATAATTTTCAACTTGATATGATAGTTTGAAGGTACGAATATAGATTACAAGAGGCTTAGAGACAAGATTTCATAGGATTAGAAAATAGTTACAACGTATGCAAAAAAATTAGTATTTGATAACTGGAGAAATAATTTTAAAGGCGAATCGAAGGCGATAATTGTTTTCGACTTGATATGAATTACAAGAGGCTTAGAAACGCAGGGATAGGACGAACTACAGGTGTGAACAAAATAAGCATGGAAACAAATTGAAATCAAAATTTTTTAACCTGAAATGTTAGTTAGGAGGTATGAATATAGATTACAAGAGGCATAGAAACAAAAAATTACACAGGATTAGAATATAAGTGTAAAATGGTTATTCTAAACGGATTACAAGTGTGATCAAACAAAATTAAAATAACTAGTTTTATAACTAAAAAAAATTAGGTTGATTAAACGAAGATTGAGGGACTAAGAATCAGACACACAGCGAACGAAAAATGCTCTAAAGGAAAAAACGAGAACAAAAACAGACGAGGAAGAGAAAAAAAGACGGAAACAAAGGGAACATACCAAGCTAGGTCCATGGTAGTTGTAGAGGTTGGACTAACTTCTTTTGAATACACAGCTCCGGCTTCTCGATGCATATTGTGAGGGCTTCTGCAGTACAAAGAAGTCGGAAACATATTGCTCTTGGTAGGTTTCTGTTGACTTTGTAAATTACTTTGAAAGTATCGGTTGAGATTTTGTGGGAGGTGTTGACCAGATGTTCAATAATGGCACTTCTGATTGAGCCGGTGCCTCCTCTTTGCAGCCACGCTGGGTAGTGTTCTCTAACACGTTTTGAGAGGACGCGCATACAACGACCTATGTACCTAGCTCCGCACGAGCAAGTGAACTGGTATATGCACATTGAATTGGTCATATGCGAAAGTTTGTCCTTCATGTTGTTTCGAAGTATTGGGCGGCTAGAGAATGTCACTCTTAGTGTTGCTGCAGGGAAGGTCTTCTTTAAAGAGCTGGATATTCTCCTCTTCAGGATATCAGCTGCCAAATCTCCCTTGAAATTCAGATTTAGATACAGCGTTTTCTTTGGCGCTGAGTCGCATTCTTCTCTTTTAGGTTTAGGTTTCATGTTCTTTTCGACAAAACGTGTCGGGTAGCCATTTTGAGCCAGGATATTTTTGAGGAATAGGAGCTCCTCTTCCACACATGTATATATTAACAAACTGACAACACTTATATCAGATGACAAGAAATTTGCCAAGCCCGACAATGAGAAAAACAAGACAGAACTGATTGAAAGACGACTAACAGATGTTCTCAGAAGAATGAAGGACGATCGTCTGATACCTGAGGACCTGTTCGACCGCCTCAAACCGACAGGATCAACTATTCCCCGACTCTACGGCTTACCAAAGGTGCACAAACCTGGCTTGCCGCTTCGACCGATTCTAGACATGTAAGGTTCACTATACCATCCAATCACCAAATGGTTGTCCGAAATGTTGCAGCCGGTAAGACAACACCTATGCAAATACTCTCTTCGTGATACTTTTGAGTTCATCGAATGCATAAGGGATTTGAATGTAAATGATAAACGAATGCTATCACTAGATGTTGAATCTCTTTTTACCAACGTGCCACTAACAGAAACAAATTGCTTCCTGTGCAATTATATGGAGAAATCTAATATAAACGTCGGAGTACCAATATCATATCTGAAGGAATTGTTGCTGAGATGCACGCTGAATGGACAATTCACTTTCAACGGCGACATCTACAGACAGAAAGATGGAATTGCAATGGGATCTCCTCTTGACCCGCTTTTAGGAGACTGCTTTATGGCCAGTTTGGAGAGTGGAGTTTTAAAATCAACAATAAACAAATTAATACTATACAAAAGGTACGTTGACGATACCTTTATAGTCTGCTACGAGAACTCGGATTTCAACTGTATCTTACAAGAATTCAATAATTCCCATCCTTCAATTAAATTCACAATGGAGTTAGAAAGCGATTCAAAGATTCCATTTCTGGACGTGGAATTGACAAGAAGAAATGATTGAACCCTGAAGAGGTCCATACACAGAAAACTGACATGGAATGGCCAACTAACGCATTTCTATAGTTGGATACCTCTGAGCCGAAAACGAGCCCTCATCAGCACACTAACCCATAGCGTTAGAAAAATCCGCAGCAACGATTGCATATAAGAGGAGCTCCTATTCCTCAAAAATATCCTGGCTCAAAATGGCTACCCGACACGTTTTGTCGAAAAGAACATGAAACCTAAACCTAAAAGAGAAGAATGCGACTCAGCGCCAAAGAAAACGCTGTATCTAAATCTGAATTTCAAGGGAGATTTGGCAGCTGATATCCTGAAGAGGAGAATATCCAGCTCTTTAAAGAAGACCTTCCCTGCAGCAACACTAAGAGTGACATTCTCTAGCCGCCCAATACTTCGAAACAACATGAAGGACAAACTTTCGCATATGACCAATTCAATGTGCATATACCAGTTCACTTGCTCGTGCGGAGCTAGGTACATAGGTCGTTGTATGCGCGTCCTCTCAAAACGTGTTAGAGAACACTACCCAGCGTGGCTGCAAAGAGGAGGCACCGGCTCAATCAGAAGTGCCATTATTGAACATCTGGTCAACACCTCCCACAAAATCTCAACCGATTCTTTCAAAGTAATTTACAAAGTCAACAGAAACCTACCAAGAGCAATATGTTTCCGACTTCTTTGTACTGCAGAAGCCCTCACAATATGCATCGAGAAGCCGGAGCTGTGTATTCAAAAGAAGTTAGTCCAACGTCTGTCTGTCTGTTTTCGACATAGAACTTTGCACAAATGTGCGGAAGTTCAAGTCGCCACACTCCGTGTAGCACGCGAAGCAAGAGAAGAAAGTACAAGAAAAGCATAATAGAAACAGTGAGCAGAGGTGTGAGACAAAGGAGTAATAAAGAAGAACAAAACAGTTTCATTGGAGATCATAAGTCACAAGGAGTGGATGCATCTGCGCCACTGAGAACGATTTTGAGCCATGTCACCAATTGTTTCCAACCATAGATTTTTACCGTCCCGAGGACCCCAGCCTGGAAGTCTACACCTTCCTACGTGGCTTAGACCAACTGTTGTGGATTTCATTGACTGATGCCAAGTTTTTGTTTGACCGCCGCTAGCTTTTTTCCAGCCTGACCCTATATCCGCTAACATTGCTCGTCGAGGGAGGCGATGGCTTGGCATACGTAACACATGTCTTTGTAACTTCACGACTTCGTCGATTGATTTCCCCTGTTTACCTAGAACTCTACGCCTAACCTCCATGTTGCTCACCTTATTATGCCACTTTACACGGGAAATAGAACGCAGGCACCTATGATCAAAGACAGCTAGTCTTTTCATGTCTTCCACTCTCAGTGGCCAGGTCTCACAACCATAAAGGAGGACGGAGCGGACTGATGAGCAGTACACCCGCCCTTTGGTCGATAGTCGAACATCTCGTCTACGCCAGAGTCGGCGTAAACTGATAAATGCGAAACGAGCCCCCTGTATTCGTGCTGAGATTTCGTCAGAGATCAACCCGTTGGGGCTGATGGTACTTCCCAAATAAGTGAAGCGGTCAACGTGCTCTACCACTTCACTTCCTATTTTTAAACTAGGCGTCGATGTAGTCCAGTCCTGTAACATCATCTTGCATTTGGCGGGAGCGAATCGCATGCCAAACATTCGTAGATTGCGGCTCAAGGTGTTTAGAAGACTCTGCATTTCGTCAGCGTCTTCGCCTAGAAGGACTATATCGTCTGCATATTCCAAGTCAACGAGATTATTCCCGGTAGCAAGTCAATCCCTGAGTCGCTGAAGTCACCTAGGGTTAAGTCCATTAACACATCTATGATGAAGTTGAATAGAAAAGGAGATAATGGGCATCCTTGACGGACACCACTGGTCGTCATCAGTTCAGATGACAGCTCGCCGTAAGCCCTCACCTGGCTGTATGAGTACGAGTAGAGTGCCTTAATCAGTGCAATATATTTTCTCGGAATTCCCTTTACAGCCAAGCATCTCCAGAGAACTTCCCGATCGACAGAGTCGAATGCTGCCTTTAGGTCAAGAAATATAATGACTGTTGGACGCCGGTAGGAATGCCTATGTTCTAGAATCTGTCGGAGGGTGAAGATATGATCAATACACCCTCTTCCTGGTCTAAAGCCTGCCTGGCTCTCTCGTGTTTGTGCTTCCCGAGCACCACTCAGTCTACGCATGATTATTGAGCCTAAGACTTTAGATACTATATTAGTCAAGCTAATCCCTCTGTGATTATCACAGGAAGACTTGTCTCCCTTCTTGTATATGGGGATAATCAGTGACTTACACCAACCCGATGGGACTTCTTCTGATTCCCAGACGCTGCCTAGTACCTCAGTTAATCCGGACAGTAAGCTGTCTCCACCGTACTTAAATACCTCTGGAGTCATTCCATCAGGTCCCGCTGCTTTGCCTAGTTTCAGATTGGTGACAGCTTTAGTAACCTCAGTTAGTGACGGAGGACCTGTGTCTATATCCCATTCAGGGAGGTGTTGGATGCTCGGAAGGTTGAGCGTGGCTGTGGGCAAATTAAACTGCTCCTCATAATGCTCTTTCCAACGATCCAGTCGTCTATCCTGGGAGCTAATTATAGTGCCATTTTTTTCCGAGATTGTCTCACTAATGATTTGTCTTCTCCCACCCGTTTCCCTGATGAGTCTAAAGAGTTGCCTGGTGTTGCCTATCCTCGAAGCTTTCTCCATCTCTTTGGCTTTTGTCGCCCACCACTGTTCACGGTCCTTGCGGAGACTTTTCGTAAGTTTCCTCTTGTGCAGCTTTCGCTCCTCATTGAATTCGGAGCTCGCCGGAATAAGTCTTCTAGCATCTATCAGTTCGGATGAGGCGGTGGAGATCCAGTGGTTTTTACTCACCTTTGGGTTTACCTTATTCACAGCTTTTACAGCTGTATCTATGGCTGCCTGGATATTTTTCCAAGCTTCTTCAGGGTGAGCACAGCTGTCGAACACAGATATGTGTTTAGCTAGTTCTTCCTCAAATACGGATTTAGTTTCCTGATCGAGCTGGGGACGTGATGGTTTTACCGCCAGCTGTTTCCTACGTCCGTTCAGTCGTAAGCACACCCGAGCGCGGACCAGTGCATGGTCGGTATCTACGCACGTGTTCCAGAAGGAGCGACAATCTCCTACCGACCCACGCCAACGATAGCTTATTGCTATGTGGTCTATTTGTGTCCAGCGTTGGTTTGATGAAGGGGGTCTCCAAGTCAAACAGTGTCTCTCCTTGTGTTTAAAGTTAGTGCTTACAAGAAACAAATGATTATCAGAGCAGAACTGTAGGAGACGGTCACCGTTGTCGGTTCGCTGGCACGGAGCTCCATAGGTGCCACCGACATCCTTCTCAGATTGACACAATTTCCCTACTTGAGCGTTAAAGTCACCAGCTAGAACGACTATGTCTGAGCGTTTAGCCTTTCGCACCAAACTAGACAGCTTTTGGTAGAACTCATCCTTCGTTTCATCTGAACTGCAGTCAGTGGGGGCGTAGGCGGAGATTACGAAAAGGCATCGGCGAGTAGTGCAGTCCTTCCTCCTTCTTACTGATCCGTTCAGGCGGACAGCACACATTCGGCTATCTACCGGGATCCAGTCAAGCAATGTCTTTTCTGCCCTAGTACTCAAAGCTATCCCTACGCCAGCTAATCCTCGTGAACTAGCTGTGGCATCTCCTGACACCCTCAAGGTGAATTTTGCAGATTCAACCTGTTGGCCAGGTGGGGTTAGGTGAATAACCACACTTGGGTCTTGTATGCGTGTTTCTGAAACACAGCATACATCAATGGCTCGTGATGCCAGGGTCTTGGCTAGTGATGCTTGTTGTCCTATTTGGCAAAGTGTCCTAACATTAAGAGCTCCTATATGAAATTGGTGGCGCGGCTTTAAGAGGCTGTCGGTGGTGGTTTTTTGGCTTCCATCGTTTTTAGTGGACGCAGGATGAGTGGAGAGCTATCAAGTCGAGGAGTTGCATCAGTGGAAGGAAGGCAAGATGATAGAGATGAAGATGAAGACAAAGATGAGTGAGTAATAGAGAGGTTTCGTGTGCATTTCGGATTGTGAGGGCGATTGTTACTTCCCGGCTGCCCACACCGTGGAAGTTGGTTGCGTGACCGCAGAGCCCAGGGGACAACTGCTTGAGGCCGGTCACACGCGGCCTGTTTTTGTTCGTTCTTTTTTGTTTGGTGTGTCTCAGTAGCAGATTTATCACTCCTGCCCTGTGACACGGCAGCAGGAAGCGCGGTCGTTGTTAATCCGGGCCACGGCCGATCCGGCATGAAATTTTGTGATTTTGTATTGGACATGATGTTGGATTGGGTAGCTGCTTTTTGTTTAACCGCTATCCAAACAACCTGCCTGGCATGGTAGACCTCAAGAGACATAAGTCTCAGCCAGTATAGCTTGAATAGATCATTGCGGTGTTCAAGCCCGACCACCACGTCAAGGTAGCAGCTTTCGGTCGAGAGTCCAACCTCTACAACTACCATGGACCTAGCTTGGTATGTTCCCTTTGTTTCCGTCTTTTTTTCTCTTCCTCGTCTGTTTTTGTTCTCGTTTTTTCCTTTAGAGCATTTTTCGTTCGCTGTGTGTCTGATTCTTAGTCCCTCAATCTTCGTTTAATCAACCTAATTTTTTTTAGTTATAAAACTAGTTATTTTAATTTTGTTTGATCACACTTGTAATCCGTTTAGAATAACCATTTTACACTTATATTCTAATCCTGTGTAATTTTTTGTTTCTATGCCTCTTGTAATCTATATTCATACCTCCTAACTAACATTTCAGGTTAAAAAATTTTGATTTCAATTTGTTTCCATGCTTATTTTGTTCACACCTGTAGTTCGTCCTATCCCTGCGTTTCTAAGCCTCTTGTAATTCATATCAAGTCGAAAACAATTATCGCCTTCGATTCGCCTTTAAAATTATTTCTCCAGTTATCAAATACTAATTTTTTTGCATACGTTGTAACTATTTTCTAATCCTATGAAATCTTGTCTCTAAGCCTCTTGTAATCTATATTCGTACCTTCAAACTATCATATCAAGTTGAAAATTATTATCACCTTCGTTACTATGTGAAATTCAGCAAATAATAATTCTATCCATGTTAAAATAATCTATATAAATGCGATTGTACAGCTTTTGAGAATGAAATCGCCGAAAAGATATCTTTGCTGAACTTCGTGTTCTCTTCTTTCTAACTTCTATTTATGGGTAGAACATATATTAACATATGTGTCTTAGAAAGACATTATTTCTAATTTTAATAAACAAAGGGGAATTGAGTTGTTTAGCTGAACAGAGTGGTAATATGAAAGTCATGAATACAACATAATCGTCATTTAACCATTCAGTATGATTCTCTAAGATATCCGTCATTGTAATATCAAGAAATTGCGCTCAACACTGTACTAGACACTCACAATGTCTACCATTCAGCAACTACTTAATTCACTTCAAACAGATAAATGGGTCAGTCACAGTTGGGTAGTTTTTGGTAAAAAAAAGCAGCTGGGATCAGGAGAGAATTCCATATTTATTCAGTCTTATTCTAAGGGTTATCAAAAATCTGAAATGTGAATGACCTTAACACAAAGTGTTATATCACAGGTTAGATTTACAAATCCACTGAATGAAAACAGTTTGTTGAACTTTGAAAGTACGCTTTTGTTCTAGACTTGGCATGAAATGGATCAAGGACTCTTATTGATGATGCGTCAAACTAGAGAGAAGGATTTATTCAGTGTTTTCCTATTCACTGACGTAACTTTTTAAAACAAGGAGTCCTACATCTTACGTTAAGTTTTGAATGAAATGAAAGGATGATGAAATGCTTGAGAATTTTCGCTTCCGAAGAGACATTTACATTAGACGTAGTATTACGTAGTAGTCGCACCCGATTCACGAATTTTGCGTAGGATTTCAAAAGTAGATTGTTTTACTTTGTATCAACCTGTCCGAAAATTATGCTTGCAAGTCCTCCAAAGTCTATTCTATTCTAATCTATCAGATTCTGAATGAAGTGTTAGTTAGATTATCAGCTGACGAACAAAATTATCGAATGCATAGCTTGGGCTTCGTACTTACCAGTTAAGATAGGATCTGTTTGGCTGTAGTCTCGGGTTCTCATTAAGAGACAGCTACCCTCATGAGCGTGAATACGTTTCCGTGGGTTTTGTATTACAACAGTTTGTTTGAATTCTTGGTTAATGCTTTTTCTTCCGCGCAACTGTTTGTCCAAATCTAAAAGAAATTCTCATTTACTTAATTTTCGTCCAAGAGAAATTAATGTTAATTACAATGATTTTCACTCACTTTGTGAATGCTTGTATATCAGGAAATAATTTTAAGATGAAATATGTCATAAAAGGACAATTTACAGTGTTTAATTTCAAATTGATGAATGCTTGTTCGTGATGAATAATTCCTTGCGTGTTTTCAGTTACTTATGTTATTATCATTCCATTGGGTTCCGTGTGGGACATAAGGCTTCAACAAAACATCTCCACTCCATTCTATTTTCTGTCGTCCCCTTCAGCTGTGTCCACGATTGCCAAAACTCTCGTCTCTTCCTCACACTATCTCCATATCACCCTCGGACGACCCACTCGTCACTTCTCATTCGAATTCCACTCGAGTGGTGGCGATTTCATTCAACGGTTTCCTCAATGTATGCCCGGTCCATCTCCATTTTCTCTTACAGTTTGTTGAGTGATCGGCTCTTGGTTGGTTCGTTGTCAAAGTTTCTTGTTACTAATTCTTTCTGGCTGGCCATTTGATCTTCAGTATGGAGCCACCGAAGGCAACTGTTGATAAAAGTCTGCAGTGGCCTGTTGGAAATGCTTTCCGCGACACGCACTGCAAGTTCCTAACCCGTATAGAAGAACTGACCGACTTCACATTTGTGTTGAAAAATCGAATCTTATTCTCTATGCCGTGGAGTTCAGAAGATTTTCAAACTTTTACCTATGTTACTATGGGGGAAAATTAAGTATTTTCTATATTCCATTCAGTATCCTGCATCACTACTTAGAAAACCTTCTCTGATGTGACAGTTTTACGTATTCGATTGATTACTAGATAGTCTTTTTGTTGCAAACTGGCATCACTTGAAGGGTTATCTGGAAAAACACCTGTCTGAGAAAGATAAAATATGCGAATTGATCAAATATCATAAACTAGGACAGTCAAACCTTGTAATGAGTACTCTTGATATACTTCAATCTCAAGCGGGAATTTTCTTCCTACTAAGCGATCTTCAAATACTTCAAATTACAAACAAAGCGAATTATTTTGTTATTCGGATACATTTTCTCTTTGGATAATCATCCTACTTGTGAGTAGCTGTAACAATCCCTATAAACTTACGCAATCAGACAAAATTAGCTTAAACGGAAAATAAATTGAAGAGCAAAAAGTATCACTCACTTGAGATCCCAATAATATTTTCTTCACGATAATCTATGCTGCACGTAGAATCCGATGTAACTGAAGCTAAAACATGCAATCTTGGTCTTTGGTTTGCATGGTCTTTGGAAGGCATTTTATGTGAAGATTTATGCGTGTGTTCACTAGCGTCCTTCGAAACCATTTTAGTTAGTTTGGCATGTTTATTACTACGACCAGAAACAGAAGTGGTATTATCTGATGAGCGTAAGCGACGCAGTGAATCGTGCAAACTTGATGTTCTCGGGGGAGTTATTTCACGATAAGATCTTTTACTGAAAACCTGTACATCAAGTGTAAGGGAGCGAAAAAGAAAAATAAGTTAGTTTAGAATTCGAAGTAGGTCTGATGCTATGTCAAAAGTGCAACTTTTATTATAACACCTAAATTACATTATATTATGATTATTATTCGTCCCTTGTGTTTCATTTCACTCTATTCGTTGGTCCCACAACTGCCCAACTCCTCACTTTCTATTCGGGTTCCATTCAAGGACCTGGTGAGCGTTATCACTCAACGGCCCGAAATTGCATAACTTATCCCTATTGGCTAGTAATCTTCTCAATGCTATTGATACAACTAATAGCGAACCATTCAGTCAGAACAAAGGAGTCGTATGTTTGTTAATTGGCTATTTGTTTAAATTAATAAAATGTTTATCTAAACGGTATATTTCTCTCATAATTGGCTTAAAACCTATTTCTGATCCCACACTAAGAAATTATAAGAGAACTGAGAGCAGGGTCTACACATGCTTTCCAAGATGGCTTTATATTATTTCCGTGTGTGGTTGGTTTATAGGTAGAATACTATTCTTTAGTTAACCCAGAAAACCTACTACAGTGTTTACATACATATGAGGAACAGAATAAGCGAGGCAACTTAGGTAAGTAACTCTACTATGCATATATTCCAATGACATAGTCAGTTGTGATCCACTAACTAACCTGTATTAATTACCAATCCTAATGATACTAATTTTAGGACGTGGTTTCATTTTATTATTACTTACTGATCGTCCTCAACTATTTGTTAAAAGCATCTATGATGACAATTATTATGCATAAAACTTCAAGTCTAACTCAAACAGCAAATCAGTCTTTCAAGTCACTCTAAAAATCAGAATATGATCCATGATATCAAGTAATGACGTGGAATGACTTATAGGTCAACGTAGAACTGTATGCAAAGTTCGTCTTTTCAAACTATCTCTCTTCAGAACACGAACAAGGGGATAGAAGTGATAGTGTGGTGAGAGCAGGCTAGCCAAAAATGGTAGACAGCATTTTACGTTAATGGGTATGTCGCAAATATTAGTGGTGAGAAAATATGAACAAGACTGATTCAACAACCAATCACAGCAGACTTGGCGTAGGCAGATACAGTTAACATATAGATGACCTGGCATTCAAGAAACAGTCTCAAAGAGATGCAAGGTCAACTTTCTGTAAAAAACAACCAATCAGAAGACTGTGTTTGTCTGCTTGAATAAGCTATAATAATGTACATGAAATATATATATATAAATACGTGTTGATTTCCTACGTGATTTCCTTAATAAACGATCTGTTGCTTTTTGATAGTGTTATTAGAAGACGGAGACTATCTGAAAAATGTGATGTATTAGCGCTATACATTTCGAACAATCTGATCACACATTTACTTGTCAAGTCAATATATATAGAAAGGTTAAATTAAACAAAGTGAGAGAAAACGGAATTAAGAATAATTAACACAAACGTTTGGTAATCCAATCAAATAAGGATTACCAAGGTAGGTTAAGAGTAATGACAAACTGTTTTTGAATACACAAGGGAGGCTTAAGTCTATGAATAGCTATAGCCTCAGCGTATTTCAGTAAACGCCCTTGACCGTTTTTATAGATGACCTTAAAGGCTGAGTTAACATCAATCTTATGGTTCATCTCGATTAGATGTTTAGCTATAGACGAATTTGGTAGTCTGCCACCTGCATCTATTAGCTTGTCACAATTCATCTGTTTTTCTAACCATTTTGGGATGTGCTCTCCCACCCTCACGTGCAAAGCGCGATTACTCCTCCCTATGTATGTATGTCCACACACACGAAAATTGGTAAATTGTATTTTTCAGATAGTCTCCGTCTTCTAATAACACTATCAAAATTTATAAAATGGACTAATTGTTTTAGATCTGTTGCCTGGTCCTTGTCTTCTGTTGTTACAATAGTCCAACAGCAGATGAACGTGATAATAAATGCAGAGAAAAAGAGTATGTTCAAAAATTCGAATATTATAAAGAGTGAATACAGTGCGACCATTGTTAGTGATTTTACACATGTCAAGGGATATTGGGGAACCATTCCTTATAATCCCAGAGACTTCAGATAGATATTCATCTATGTACATGGTTCCGATCATCAGCTACAAACTTCACATACTGACAAACCATTTAGTCTTGGTAAAGAGTTTGAGCATTGTCTTTGAGTTTGATTGCAAACCTAATTTTGCTTCAGCTAGCATTGTTAGTGTTAGTCTAGGAAAGTGGTAGCCTATCATATGAAACATAACCCGACCAGCGCAAAAACTGATTCCCTTTTTTATTCACCATTCTGAGTCTAATCCAAACGTCATGTATCATATCGAGCATCCCAAAGTATTCAAAGATATGAAGTAGTAGTATAACTAACTGATTTTATATTCGGTATCACCGTTTGATCAGGACTGACGGAATAATTTTATAGTATCTCTTCTCTACTACCACTCAAACAGTAAAGTATGTGCGTCGGTGGCACAGTGGTTAGGACTCTTGCCGACCATGCACACTGTCCGAGGTTCGAGCCCCCGCCGACGCACACCTGATATGGTCGACCTGTAAAATTTGGGCTACTGATATCCATGCTGAAAATTCCATACCTGTACCAAAAATACAGTGTGGAATCAAGCTGTTATCAAAAAATATTTTAAAAAAATATTACAAAAATATCTATATAACCATTGTAATTTCAGGTAGTCTGCAGTTGATGAGAACCTGTGAAATAGAATGATATCATTTTATGCTGCAAATTTCGTCTTCCTTTCTTTATCGAAATTTATCAAGGCAACCAAATGTATGAATAATTTTCTCCTGGGTCGTGTTATATGACTGAAACAAGCCAACTCCCTTTCATGTGTTTTACTTTAAGAACAGAACTCAAAAATAAGTCGGGAATGCAGTTCATATTTGTGTTATGGGGAAATGTTATTCATGGCTTTTTAAAATCGATGCTAAAGAATCTCTGCATAGTTTAGTTTCTTATGTGTTAATATAAATCACGTTATACCCTATCTAAACGCGTTAGCTGGATTTTCTGAAATGTTAGTGTAAGGATGCGAAATAAATTTAAAACCAACCAAGATAACTATTCCAACAACTCAATCTTCATAGTTTGTCTTGATAGTAGACGGAAACATAAAAGAAACTAACCAGTCATTTAACCTATTGTTCAAGTATTGTAGAGACACATATTAAGGTAGTTGAACTATATGCATTAAATATTTAACGTCACACTGATATTTCACAAGCTTACTATACAAGTCAATGTGTTATAACACTTAATAGTCTCTACATACAGCAGCCATCTCCAACATCATATATTCTCGTCTAAGAGTATCGTGATATTTTTGGATTCAAAGACAACTCCAGCTGAAGTTGTCTGTAAAGAACAACCATACAATCACAACCGTGAAGTGTTGTCCTTATATTCTTCATGGTGAACGTAAGCAAACGAAATTCAATGTTCACTGTCTGTTTAAAGATTTATATTTTGATCCTTGCGTAAATAAATAAATAAAGGTAAACTATACCTTGATATCGGAATTGATCATTTGAAGTTCATTTGAGAGATTTCTTAAAACAGAAGCGATAGTTTGTGGAATAGGCAAATGTAACCCAATTAATTTTTGGTTAACAATCTGCTGATATGCTTGTTCTCCTTGAGTTGCACATTGGAGCAGCGCCATCTGTAAAATATTAAAGGTTAGAGAAATTTAAAGAGATTCACAATATAGGCTAAAATAAAAGAAAGGGATATTCACAAGACTTATTTTTGACTTTTGGAATCCAGTTTCAGCCTACAGTTTCTTCACAACAGTTTATAACCACATAATGCTGTTTTAGTCGTCATTTTAAATTGTATAAGAAAATCAAGTATTAGAAGCAGTCGCGTTCACAGAGAATAAGATTTTGTTCGAAGAAAATGTATACTTATATATGTATATATATATGCTGTCTTTATTGCTTTCTTCAACAGCTAGTGAAACAAAGACTCATACGCTACTTCATACATGAATTTTGTCATTAATGGAGTCCTGTGCGCAGAAATAGGTAATCTTCATAACTTTACAAGATCATTTTATTCACCTATTGCAATGACAAAAGTTAAACTCCAAAACCAGACTGTTAGCTGATATTATCCAGCAAAACAATTATGGAAGCCATATCCTTAAGAACTTAACATCAGTAAAGTCACTGAATTAAACAGTATTAACCAATGAAACACAGCACTTACCTTCTCCCATTATAAGGCTGGAGAACGCAACGCAACATAGAAATCTTTTGTTATTAGCAAGGCAATCATACGCTGAGCTAAGCGATATTCTAGTTCCTCTTTATATTACTAATCTTAGGACGTTTCCCTTTTTTGCACTTGTTAAAAGGTACATTATTTTATTCCGAGGTAATCACCACTAGCTGTTTAACTGTCGATATCACCGTTATTATTCCTATTGATTATTGATGAGTATGATGATGGTAAGAAAATGTCAAAAGGTTGAGGATAACTCCAAAACTAAGTCATTTAGTGCAGTTCAATGGAATTCGGTAATAAAAGCAGTGCTAAACTTCATTCTTTTGACGGCAGAATAGAAAATAGAAGTGTTTAGCAATATGAGGAAGCGATAGGCTCCTTATCGATTCTCGTGTTGGCGGATTTCCTTCTGAGTAAACTAGAGAACTATCCGTTAGAGCATTTTATCAGTAAATTAACATTCTATTGTTGACAGATGGATAAAACATTTATCCTTCGTGAAAACGATTTAGACAAATTCACGTAATCTCTCATTTCCATGAGATGAATTCAGCTCTCAAATTCGTCTATGAAGAAAAATTCCAGGGAAAATCGCCTCCTTGGATGTCCTTCTCAAATGAAGAACAAACGTTAACATGAAAAGAAATCTACATAGGAAAAGAACATGGACAGTGCAATATACGCATTTACATTGCTTAATTCCCCTCAGACATAAGATAAACTTAATGAAGACACTGAGGTAGAGGGTGAGAGCTGTCTGTTCGAAAGATGTGGGTTAAGGTGAGCTGAAGAATATATCATGCCTTTAATAAAATTAACTATCCATAAAACTACGTAAGGTAGCAGATGATGACGAAAGTCGAACACTTTAAGAAGTTCCTCCATATGAGACTGTACCAAGAGAAGTTGACATCGAGGATGTGAGGAAACCGATTTACAAAATTCTAATACTGTTGATTTCAGTTCATATTTCCTAAACTGTTGTGATACCGAATCTAAAAAATGAAGTGCTTAGGCTTCGTGTATCTATCACAGTTTAACCAGTCCTATGGTGCCAGTTGTATCACTACTCGTGAACTCTTTGATATATGAGGAAATAATGATAAATTTTTTCAATAATTAGTAATACTCACTTTAAATCGTATAAACGGTAGTAGGTGAACAAATAATGGTGGTCTGTATGTCACAAGGAAATCAAAAAATTTCCACAACTGAATACCGTTTTGACCGTTCAAGGCTAGCTGGGTTAATGCAGCAATCAATAACTTCATTCTAACAGCTGCATGACGTGTATATGCAACAAGAATTAACTTCAGACCCAAAAATCCTAATCTATTAATTAAACAAAATGTTAAAAACAAAAGCATCACTAATAATGGCATGAATGTAATAAGAATATTATAAAAAAAAAAACAGGACGTAACACCATGTAGTAATACTGCTTTTGTACACCAGCCATATGCTAGTAGGAGGTTAGTTACTGTAACACACTATAAAATACGAAAAGCATTACGTCGTTGTTTCTATCTTACACATACTGTAAAGTTGATATCCGTTCTTAAAGAAATGACTATGACCACCGGTAAATTTTGCAGAATTCTGAGTAAAACTATACACATGAAATTGTTTTTTGTGACAGAATAAAACATTCTGGAAATACTAACACGGCGTAACAACGGTGCTCTCATGATGAACTTGTTTATATTTTAAGGTAAAAGTTGATAGCTATCGAAATTCTCCTATATAGGATAAGAAGCCAGCAAACCTTTATGAATTCAATACTTCCTGCCTTAATAACTTTAATTGTTTATTTTAATAAAGTAATGACTGAATTTTAAACAAAAAGTATCGACCATGGGTCAAATGAAGACAGATAATTCTTCTTTGAAATTGATCATTTATTTGTACTTCTTCTACAGCCATTAATACTTCATCAGAAAACTAGCTAACGCATATGACACATCATACACAAATAATTCTATGTTGCGTGTAACTCATAATAGACATTTTTCTGAAAACTTTCGTGTATGCTACGTCAAAACTGACAGAGACCAGCGTATAAAATTTCGCTTTATCAACCAAGTTGTCATCAGAGGCTGTGTGGTCATATTTACATTCGCTAAAAAACACAACAGTTCATTATTGTATAGTAGAATGGGAATACTTCATTAAAACAATTACCTAGAAATGGTTTCGAGAGAAATAGACAAATTTAGATTCTGCAAGAATCAAGAACCAAATGGGAATGGTAACAATCCAAAACCAAAGAATATTAATCATTAAGCAAACAAAATGCAGTGAATAAAATAATAGTTATTATAACTGGTGGACAAAACTGAACAGCTTACCAACTCACGAAACGATGCAACTGTGTTCTCTAATTATCATAATAGGAATATTTAATTTATTCGAAACAAAAAGATCAATGAAGAAATTTGGTTAAAAGTATTAATCTAGACAAATACACGACTGTTAACTGAATTGTAAAATACAAACAGTGGTGCTAGCAATTGTAACCAGAGCGCGTAACCATTAAACAAAACAACTGTCACTTGAAATCTGTATTTCGCCATGAATGGAAGAAAACAAAACGGCATGGTTTATTCTGTGCTTGTTTCTTCCAAGTGTGTAGCTATCTATGAAGTTGGACTTTAGAAACAAAATCACCGTCTTTTTTACTGTACTGTACTTCATGATATCAAGTTGCACTTTGCCGAATTTATGGATGAATTTCTACTGTCCAGCAAATTTCGCCAATAACACTAAATTCTTTATAGACATCAAACCTCGTCAGTTTAAGTGACAGGAACTTTTGAAATTAAGATAGAGTTTTGTAATGTGTTTTTCTTAACCTATAGCAATGTGTTTCGTCACAATGGCTTTGAAGTCGAATTGCTTCATATTCATTTTTTTCTTATTCCCTCACGTTCCCAGCAGAACATAGGGCGTCAAGCTAGAGGCTTGAAGTTTCTGTAGCAGTGTTTATTTTTACAGGATGGGGTTGGCAGCCTCATGCCCAACCTTTCCTCTTTACCAGAATTATTTCTGCCTCAGCGAGATAAAGGAGTGCGTCTGTGGCCGGGGATCGAACCCCGGACCCTGTGCATGGTCGACGAGCGTCCTAACCGGTGTGCCACCGACGCATTCATATTCATTATCCACTGTAAATTGTACATCTCAGCATTCTTTGATAAACTGGTAAAAGACACCTTAAATATTATGAACTATTAAGAATACATGGTCAGTGTATATATTATCACATGTTGCATGATTAGTGGTTGTTTTGACTTCTCTTCAGTAGGAGGCTAAGTGCAGAAATGAATAGCGTAACGAGCACTTACATTTCAGCTAAGGACTGTTGCTGGTATGAAAAATACAATGACTTACTGGGAAATATCACCTTATGCTAAATCATGCATACTATTTAGACTAATCAGTATGAAGGACAAAACTAGTCAGTGTGAGTAGTTATCAAACATCAGTTAGGCCATGTATTACAATAGCTCACCTGTGTGAAAACTCAGCCTTGAAATTACTGACTTTTTCTGTAGGAAATCCAAGACAAACTGAAGTAGGATCTAAAAGTTTGGAATGATAAACTTGTGGGCGATTTTTCTGAGTCAAAATATTTGTTTTATTTAACGGTGATATAACTGAAGGACGTGATTTCAATTGAAAACTTTCCTGTTTTCCCTGGCATTTGTTTGGTACAGTAATTTGTGCTGGAGCAACTGACGGGCCATAGTCTTCAGGTAGAATTGCAACTAGCGATGGACTTAGTAAACGTGTTAAACTTGCATATGAACCACCATCATAATCTGTTGACAGGTTGGACAGATTAATCAGTTTTATCAAAGTGCTATTATAATTACTAGTATTAAGGCTCGAAGTGTTCTCTTGAGCTATCGATCCAGCTGCTGGACGATTAAATGAAATACTTGGATTAATGCGCAGTTCAAAACCTGTGGTATCAGCTTGACTTTTATTAGTTTTATCCCTTGGTTTACTTGATAACGGACCAGATGGACTAGATTCGCATGCTTGTTGCTGTTGTTGTTGCGTTGAATTACTCATAGCAGTCAAGTTACGTGCCGTCTTCTGTCCAACAACATTAGATACATTGTCATTTGCAAACAAGGCTGTTATGCATACGTCCAGCGCATAGAAGACATTGTCTCTTGATAAAGTTGGTGAATCTATTACAGTTAAAAGAAAATATCGAGGCAAAATCTTATTGATTAAGATAGCTGTATAATGGCAGTCAGAAAACTAAATTTAAAGGAGTACATTAATAAGCGCCAATTTAGAATTAAGAATACAATATTCAGAGAAGACACAATTTTAAACTAATTTACTATCAAGCTATACATTCACAATATCGAGCTTTGCAATTTCCTATTGAAGTTATCCAAAGTAAAAATTTGGTACCATTGTAGTTCATAGAATCAATGTTTGAGTTTGTATATCAGTAATTGACGATAACAACAATCACAGTAGTGATGGTAATAATGGTAAAAAAATCATTCATGTGCCTCTACAACCTAAGCGGTAAGTTGTTGTGAGTGTGTAAGCAAATTGTGTATTTGCATTATGGTAGTGAGGAAAACTAACAGTTCTCTCAAAGCGATTACTGGTCCGACTAACTTACGAGATCAGTCTGATAAGCATGTCATCATTTGACTTCAACCAACATGAGTAGAGAACCAAATAAATAATTTAGAAGCCGTTAGTTTGAATTCTGCTGATATCTGGATTTTCACTTCACCTCCAATTATCACTCCAGCCCAAGGTCATATTATCATTTTAACGATTAGATAGCGAAGGGTTTGGATTTACAATAAGTTGTGAAACTACGGCCAAACAAGTAAATACAATAATATCAAAAATGAAGATAATTTTTAAGTCATAATCATTGAAAACTAGGGTGTACTGAGTAGCTGTTTTCATCTTAACTTGTGACTTTTCAGCAATACGCATCCATGAACCCATCGGAGACTAAACTCGGGAAAATCAGATTACGAGGTCAGCGCACTGTTATTCAGCCACTGAGACTAAATCCAATGGTATATGAATTCTAACTTCTGCTAATTTTCAAAGCTGTACAGACATAATGAATTAAGGTGGCAAAAAAAACGAATGATCATAAATGCTTATAATGACTGACCCGAAAACGTCTTATTAAATGCTTCACTTAATCATGCCGTCTAACCTTCACAATAAGAAGATTTCAACACAATAATAAATGATTATCTTTCTCTGTTTCATTCATTGGTGGATTTAACTTGTAGGTGAGCTGTATTGAACACTTCTAGAAAGACCTCAGCATCGGTGTTATTACTATGTAGGGTAATAATGTATATACAGTCAGTAGATAATTTGTTGATTACGCTTTTTATGATTCTTGTTTTATTTTATCATAAACATGTAGGCTCAAATGTGCCCTAGAGGTTAACTGTATATATTACGTCTATTTGTACTATGGTCTTTATCGCCACATTATCATCTTCAATAATAATTGCGTATTTTATTTTCACTATAACTACAAAACCAAACACGATGGTATCTAATTTCAATGAAACAAGAATTATTTTAATGGATGATGTGTAAACGAACAGTGTTGTTTGTAATTACATCTTTCTCAAGCATTAAATATACGTGAAACTCCAACCAGTGACAGTGATATACGGGTCAGTGTGATAAATTTTAAATAATATTGATTATACCAGTAATAATAATAATAGTGTCAGTGATAACATTGTACAAATAATTGATGCAGATGGGGATATGTTTAATAAAAGTATATATAAATGATAATATAAACATTTCATTAATTGAATTAAGTAGAGATCTCATAAAATCAGTACTTACGTCATATTAAATAAAGATGAAGCAGATAGATGATTAAAATATAGATAAACGCGATAAATATATGAAAGGGGTGAAGAATAAGAATTAGAGGAATTTTAATGAATTTATTAAATCTACCTAGACCAAGAGAGAGAGAGAGAGAGAGAGAGAGAAATATACCGGGAAAAACATAAACTTAGAGCGTCTAATTAATTCAGTGGTGAGAATAACCGTATAATTAGGATTCAATTCTTACAGCTTTACTTTATTGTTCTCAAGCGTATCGTATATTTCTCTAGGTATTATCGATCACATCTGTTTGTTAGTTTTTTGTGATTGCGGATCATTGTCTGCATTTTTGCTGCCTCATCTCAGCTACTCAGGCAATCAACAAGGTTACTAACACGCTAGGCTTACACTGCTTTCTTCTGCATGTTACTGTAACAAATATCATGACTAAGGATTATAGTAAGTAAATATATGCACGGAAATTATTCACCGTCAGTGAAATATATATCCACAGTGTTTTGAGATTTTCATATTTTGTTTTTATCTAAAGCTAATTTCGATCAGTGTCATACTATTTGTTACCTCAAATCTATGTACCGTATTCATGCATATTTTAAGACTTGAAATATATCCACGTGTATCTCGTGAATTTATTCAGGGTATTTTGGTACACAAGTACTTTTGTGAATGTCAAAGAATTACAGTTATTATCATCAACAGGAAGTTGTAAAAAATATTTACCGACAATATATATATATATATATATATATATATTTACAGGATGGGGTTGGCAGCCTCATGCCCAACCTTTCTTCCTCATATATATATATATAGACAAAGTTTAAATCACCTTTACGTCCAGCACAGCCTCTGAATAATAATGGTAATATTAGATTATTCAAATAAATGACAAGCGTCTGAAATCCGCCTTCTAGTAAAGTCGGGAAACGAATATTATAGTCTGGTGAGATTCTTTCACATAAATCTTTTAAACTGCAGTGAGACTAAAATAATAAAAAAAAAACAAAAATAAATATGAAACATGTATGAACCACTGTAAAAAAAGACCAGAAACATGTAGATGCATAACAATTCACACTAACCACTATGATCATCATCCAAGACAAATATTTGAGAGAAAATCTCCCAAAAAGTTAACAAAAACTTAAAATAATCCATAAATATGTGATTGATTGCGATGAGTAGTTGTATTCGGCCTACATCAACCAGTACTGCTTCCTGACTGGATTATCGAAATTATCTAAACACCGAACAACAGTTTCGCTCATTTGGCGCTAAGGTCATCACTTACCTGTTTACCCTGTTTAACTCACCCAAGAGTGCGGAATAAGCTAAAACCACCCGATTTCTAGCTAGCTACTTGCAAATTCGATTTAGAATAATCCACTTGAAATGTCATTAATACTAAAAGTACACCCTACTGGCACTATTGTGAATAATTTTAGGTAATAATATTTTTAGGATTAACAGTATCCTGTATGCTACTAAGTTATTCAGACACTCGGGATAATAGGTGAGCTAGAATTTGAACGAAATAACATCATTTTATTTGAATATCCCAGCAACATGTCGAGTACAATGAAGCTGACTACACCCTATAGGGAATTGTGGAGATAATTTTAACTTAACTGCTGAGATTTCTAAATAAATAGAAAAGTAAAAAATATTCCAAGTTTTTGAAGATCTTATCTGCTAAACTTATGATAATGTAATCACATAGAGGTGTGACAACATATTTTTGATTGTAATCGTAGGTGGACATCAAACGATTTCAAAATGTTCAAGTATTGTTTTTGCACAGACTTTATTGATTTCAAGTTAGATCATGAACTGACTTTAGTAAGAGAACCGCTAGACAGCTGTTTTCACCCTAGTTTGGAAATCTTCAGGGATTTCAGGTTATACGAGGCGACCGTGTTAACCATTCGGACACTGTGACGGGATTCAGTTACCCATGAATCCGAAATAATTCTGTCAATTTGTGATAGTTTAACAACCAGTCAAAATAGGATATTTAATGCATGAAAATAGTTATTGGAATACATAGATCTTAAGTGTGTAGAATTAATAAGATTAGTAGAAAACTAAATCATTACAGAAAAAGTTTCCAGTTAGATAGGATACAGTGGTTTTACATTACCAATAGTAGTGGAAACTGATATTAACAATAATAGAAATAAAGGAAGGATACAAAGATTGTTTAAACAAAACGTATTATAGGTAAATATTTTTTTTCACCCCTCGTTAATATTCTACGGCCAAGGTAGAAAGACAGACTGTACAAACTATTTTATACACAAAGATCTGGATTAAATTAATGAAATTCACTCATTTACAAACACGCATTATTCCTGTTGGACAGTTAAAAGAGAAATGCTCACTATTTTAGCGCAAACTGTGTAGCTTCTAAATAGCATGAAAGTCCTCTCGGATTGAAAATGACATGAACAAATTACGTGTAGGTCTAAATTCCTTTGAATATCGGACGATTAACCAGCTAAACAGTAAATTGCCATTAAGTTAGGTGATATATTCCTTTTAGTACGTATTTATATCGTTCTCAATGGCTGGTGCAGATACATCCACTCCTTGTGACTTACGATTTCCAATGAAACTATATTGTTCTTCGTTATTACTATTCCTTTGTCTCACTCCTCTGTTTACTGTCTCTAGTATGCATTTCTTCTACTTTCTTCTCTCGGTTTGTGTGCTACATGGAGTGTGGCTACTTGAACTCCCGCACATATGTGCAAAGTTCTATGTCGAAAACAGACAGACAGAGAGTGCGTACTTGTAGACATGAACAATGACTACATCGGAACTAAGTGGAGACGTCATTTATAAAGTGATAAGTTGATTTGTTGGAACTTTCAGAAAAATGACCAGTCTCATTAAGCTGTACAACTTATGTTGCGATTAGTTGAGGCTTGAAATTATCCTCCACAACGTCTTCTCATTTTCTGAGAATTCACGTTCCATGAAAGTCATGTTAAATCTGATAAGTTTTATAAAAAACAGTAAGGCTAGTAGTAGTTTCGAAAAGCTAAATGAAGGATTATTGTTTTCATGTAATTTTATTCAAATATTGTCTAATATTATAATAGCCTCTGGTACTACATTTGCATGGAATACTGATTATTAAAGCTTTGATGGTCACATTAGTCCTTGTAATTGCTTGTTATTATTCCTCATGTTTATTCAGTTCGGAACTCCTTTTAAATGAGGTGGGGAAAGTCTTACTAAACAGAAGAGAAATATTTTATGATAAAAATCCCACCTCACTCTTCATCTAAAGCATTCATTCATGAAAAATCTGTGGAAATTCCTCTTGTTTTTGACTGATACTTTCTCCATTTTTGAAGTGATTAAACTCGTGGGTTAAAATAACAATAAGAATTAACCGAAATTGTGGACACAACAGAAACAATATACAGTATATTAAAATTCTAATCTTAGAACTAACATAATTTTGGAATAATATGACCTGTAGAAAATCCGATTATCATACTTGAAAGACGAAATCGATTAACACATATATAATTAAGACTCGTCTGCAGGATCCACTTTGTTGTGTGCAGTAAACATCTCTGAAGTTTGGTTTTTTTTGCCATCTAGATCAGTTTTGAAACAGATCATCATGAACACAGTAAGTGTTTTTGTCATTGGTAAAAAAAATATTGTTCATTTGTGAGTGACAAAAATGAAACTATAAATGTGTAGTGTTGTGATAGCAAGAGAGTAATTTTCCTGTTTTAACGCATATTACTATACCATGGAATGTTAAACAGCTATGGAGTCTGTTTTCATTCTCTTATCAAGATTTACGTTTCCGGTCAGCAGCAGCAGTCAAACTGTCAAAATCAGCAAACAGACCAACAAAATCACCGAATCAAAATATACTTACGCCTAAGATTTGTGAGAACAGGGATAAAAGACGAATCACTTCAGCTGCAAACTGGCATGCGTATATATCACTATCATCAAATGTTGTTTCGTAGACATTTTCTTGATTACTATGTCTTGGTGAACAATGTGATCCTGCTTCACCATTCACAGGAGGATGTTGTTTGGATTTCCCAGCAGGTTTTACAACTCCAACTGAAGCACTTATACTACTGGATTCTTGTGATGTAATTCCGAATAACACCTCGCCAAAACTTGGTCTACTGTGATGACCTACGGTATGATTAGGCTGAATGTCTAAGCGTGACCTAGGAAAGTTAGATGCACATCCAGATATATCAAAAACAATTGCTTTTTTCAGGGTTTCAATTAAAATCTAAAATGTAAGCATACACAAATATCAAAGAACAATGACTTATTCGAGTTACAAATAAAGTGTTGAACAATAAGATTAATAATAAAATCTTAACAGAATGAAGTTGAATGCATAAATCCAAGTAACAGAATAAATAAAAATGGGCTTATAGCCTAAGGATATGTTACCATTGCATTAAAACATATAGTATTATAACTGAATTGTAATTTGAGCAGTCTGCTAACAGATCTAATGTCGTCAACGGAAAAATGGCTTTACTGTTGGAACACAGGCAAACCTATTCATTACATAAGGTCAATAAAAAGAAGGATCAACCAGATTTTACGGATTAAAGGTACATTAACAAACGATTTGTAACACTAGGCTTCAACAAAATCCTAATCTGTTTACTATGATGTCTAAACGGCAGACCGTATAAATCATGTGGCCAAACTTTTTCAAATAATAATAATAATATCAAAATGTGTCTGAGTTCTAGTTCACCCGTAATCTGATGTGTTTGGATCGTTTGAAGCAATATGTCTTATATCGTCAGCTGCAAGTTCAAAGTATCACGTGATTAACTTGTAAACAAACATTTTACCTTACGTGTAGGGAAAATTTGATAACCTGGACTACATGGTTTTACTAAGAGTTATAAGACCTATTGTTACGCTATTTCTACAGATTAGAACGAATTTATCCAAATTCTAGTTCGTTCGTCTTTCAAATTACTTACAAACATGTCTTATACCATGTGCTTATACGAATCGGAATAATGAATATAAGGGAATACGCACAAGTGTATTGTTCTTTCGACCTAACAACTTTCATGATTAACCAAGTGCAACTAAATCATTGTTCAGTTTGGATATTCAACTGGAAACATTTACCCTAATCGAAAATACTAAATATATTGAATGACTAAAACCCAGCTTTAGAGAGAGTAATTTACCGCGTAAAAAAACATAAGTGCCAACTTAATTATTGTAATCCTCCGCACTATGCAATGTGATAATAGAAGACTTATTGAATTAGTAAACTGAGGTCATAGTTGTAGTAAGTGATTATTCATTAGTGTCAAACCAATCCCCTCTTGTTCGTTATATGTTTGTTCAAGGTAAAAGACATTGGGATAGGGATAGGGATATGGAAGAATGAATTAAGCCGATTTTGTGTTTGACCTTATACTGGCATTATCTGAATTGTGTATATATGTAAGCATACAGTATTAGATGACTTACGCGAATTTCTTTCATATGTGCCACTGATCGGTTCTTTTTCAATACGCAATAAACTGATCGGATAAGCTTAACAATTTCATCCCAATGGTGAATCGCCTATAAGTATACATATAAAATGCATATGCTAATTAATCAATTTGTGAAAACACTGCTCATAAGTATAACAGTTTTATGAAAATAGTTGAAAAATATATATCTTTTTCGAAAGATTTGAGTCGTTAAAAAGTACTCCATCAGCCACAGGAGAATGTTTTCCTCCCATTAGTCAATATTTCCGACTATCACAGTAACTGATACATTACAGTTCATGAACTTATAAACTTTAAATATGTCGTCATTATTTTTGTGATTCCCCTTTGAATTGCTATCCATGTAAGTCAGCAATGCCGTTACAGCAAACAGAGGAAAAAAATGGGAAGGCTTGAGGATGAATTAGTCGTAGAAATCTGATGGCTATCTAAGACCTCAGGTATAGTAACTACCAATATGTATTGTGAAAAGTGACCTACAAAAGGCTTAAACACACTAATTTTGTCCAGACAAACCGTGTAACAATGGATAAAGAGTAGTCCGATGTATGTTGTAATAATGCAAAAAAACACTCGGGTTTATCAATTTCCACGAATTCGTTTAACGATTTATCATTGGGTTTTGTTGTTAGTAGAGTGAACTGTGTAACTGTTATCCATGATGAATGAGATGATAAAAATGATCTTTAGTTGACTGCACTTACATATTACTTAGAATGGATAGAGTATACCAAGAAGAGAAATTATTCCGATTAGAATTCCCACCTATTTAAATAACTAAATGTGTATAGGTGCCAAACTTTTATTAAAACTCAGCTATTATCATCTAACAATGCCTTTTACAGAATTAAATTCGATGAGTTAAGGAAATGAATTAAATTCATTTGCAAACAATGACTAACTTCACACGATTGTTTTTTTATTTGTGTACTGACGTAAAAAAATGTAGACAGTTACTAAAAAAGTACAATGGAAAAATCAACAAATATAACTATAGATTGCCGCATGTCAACTACAAAAACACAGACTAGAAATTATTTCCAACTTAATATTTCTGCATTTCTTTACTAATAGAAATTTATGTTAAGAGTCAGAATAAGTGAGTCATCAGCTGATGAGTCACAACTGTTGAGTCAGCCGATAACATTCAGTGAAATTGATTCTAAAAAGATAATATGAAATGGGACTCCAATATAGTGCCATCAAACTTAACCTGAAATACCACACACACACACTTTTACATAAAAAACCAGCCATAAAAGTCTCAAGAATGAATGACTGTTATCCAAGTAGTTGATGCAAGTGGACATTCACGTCAACTGAATTAGTTGTTTTACGGGACTTTTATCAGTGAATGCAACTACTGTGAGAAAGGTAAAACAAAAAGCTGCAGGTTAAATTCCACATGGAAGATTAGCTGACAAGTGTTACATAAAATGACAGAGAAAATCTACAAAATTTTCATGAATCCTATGAAGATCATCCACAAGCAGGTGAGTAAGTGTGAACAGTTATTTTCGTTCAACTTCTGCAAGAAAGAATTCCCATAATCTTTGAAAACATATTAATATATCTGTTCCAAAATCAATTTCAGTCTAGATTTTCTTTCTTTTGATTTGAATTTAAGCTTGCCTGTCAAAACTTACCTTTGATTTAATAGCGAACTCTAGCATTTTAGGTAAGGTTCTATTTAATCTTCCCAAAAGGCATTCCAATGCTTTGCAAGATCTTAATGACTCGTGGCTCCAGTCTATGACAGGAAGTACATCCAAAAAATAACGTTGTAAAGCTGTACTGGCCAGGAAATCTGGACTATTGGAAACATGTTTTAGCATTGATTGAGCTATATCAGCTAGTCTCTGTAAGAACAAACAAGACGTCACATTACCTTAATTAGCATAAAACAGACTGAAAAATTATTATTAATAATAATAATGATAATAATTGTTCAGGTTGGATACACAGTGTTACATAAACGCGTCTGATATCACTGTTTTCAGAAGTGAGATAACAATTAGCCTACTGACACGTTTGTTAACCCTAAGTACTATCGAAACGAATTTAGACAACAGCAACAATGGGAGGAAGCTGGAGGAAACAACCTCCTTTACCTACCCACCTACCTAGGAAGCATCGTTTCAACTACAGGCCGACGGAACTGACGAGGACATCAAAGCCAGGAACATCGGGAAAGAAAGACAAGCTTTCATTACTCTCACCAAGTCTGTGTGGAGGTCAACATCACTCACCATCAAAAATAACATTCGGATTTTCAACTCCAATGTGAAGTCAGTGCTACTTTCGACACGTGTCAGAGACTTGGCCAGCGCGTCATAAAGAGCATCTCCAACAAACTACAGACCTTCATCAACAGCTAGCTGTCTTCGCTCAATACCACTCAAGATCAGATGGCCGGCCAGAAAAGATCAGAAACAGAGATGGATCTCTGGAAATGAGCGAACCAACCCAGCAGGAACCGATTGTCAAACAAATAGGCAGGAAGAAATGGAGGTGGATTGGATTGTGGTGATACTCTGAGGAATCCATCAAGTGACATCACTAGACAAGTCATCGCTCGAGTGAAACCCGAAAGGGAAGCGGGCGGAGAGTTGGTCGTCAGTGCGAGAGAGAGTGGGGTGACTTGGAGGAGGTCATGTGAAGAGTAGATGAAAGCGTGTGGGAAGACTTGTAGCGGGGTGAAAAGTTGGCAGAAAACCGAAGGCAATGGAGACGCGCGGCTGAAGCCCTATGTTCCTCTAGGAATTAAAGGATATAATAATAAGTAATAATAATAACAAGTGAAGAATAACACTGATGAACCGTGTGGAGACTGAGTCACTTACTCAAGAGTGCAAGTATGAGGCCGATTTGCGGAGTTATCTGAACCATTATAGCGCGATCTGCATACTTTCAACATTTATCAACAATCAAAATACTCTAGTATTGTGTTACACTTGAACGGTAAATTTCAGTCTGCCTTTACGGACTGTATTGGCTAACTTTCGGCAAGTTATTTACGAAGTAATTATTACGTTGTTGATTTTATACAAATGCTTATTTGTTCGGTTGTTTTTTTTTATCTCACTTACTATCTGTAGTTCATCTGATGACCTATTCATATGTCTAAACAAAATGTGTGCGGTGTGTGCTATATTTTTATATTTATAATAACTTGTAGCTGAAGTAAAACTGTGAAATAAAAAAACATTCTTTTCATCCTGTTGTAAGTGTACTTGTTCTTGCTTTGTTCACACTAATCAAGGGAACCGTATTTAATGAATATGAATGTCACTACTTACGTCTTCTAGGTGTATCTACTTTCATTTGACCTAGGCAGAAATATTCAATACAAGTATACATTATAATAAAGGGGAAAATAGCGTTAAAGAATATTATAGAAACATCAATATTTAACAAACTAGTCAACCAACTTTATATCAACTAACACACAAACATAAAAATAATTTGACCAACACTGTATAGCATACGTATTCATGTAACATCTACTGGTTTAGAGATTCACTTATAATAACAACTATTCACTGTGCGCGTACAAGAAGCTTTGTATGTACTTGCTTATTTTGGATTCATCAATACTTCGGGTGATCATTAAATGCTAGAATATTTTCACTTTTACGGATAATATGCGTTCAATTGTTGTTACTACAGATCATAACTCACCATATGTGATTTAGTGTCCAGTAAATCAGAGACACGATGTTTTTCCTCCATTTCTAAAAGACGACCTGAACATGTAGATAAAAATTCACAGGCCAACTGCAAAACAGCTTCTCGTGGTTCGTAAGCCGTTGAACTCTGATGACCACTAGTCGCAGTAACAGAACTGGCCAACATCTGACTTGACTGGTTTTCTCTGTCACGTGATACATTTGAACCGACGGATAAGGGGAAACCTTTATTCAAAGGCAAATTATTGATTTCATTGCATAAGTCACGTTTTGTCTTCTTCTGAGCTGCTTCAGTGCCTTTTGTTTTATCCAATGATTTTGTTAAATTATTCCTAGCAGTTTCATAACTTCCTAATCTACTAGCTACACCAGTTAGTAAACGACCGGGTGATTCTTTACGACATTCTGCTGGTCCACCTGGTGCAAGATAGTTTAACTGGCGTGCATCTTCTGTTCGTCTGAATAAAAACAAGAAGGATTATATCAATATTCAGAGAGAGGGAAATAGTTACAAAACAGTTTTTAGCTGAAGTAGCGATTATTTACTACAATTAAAAGAAGAATACTGAGGATGAATTATTTTCTGGATCACCAAACCAATATCCATTTAGACACCATTATTATTATTACAGTTTCAAACAGTATTTATGAGTGACTATAATTCATACATAGGCTTAATTGAGTGGTCAAATAGTAGGGTTTTGCTTTCCAAGGAGAATAGTAGTAATCCAAGAAAAATATTTTAGGAGGCAACTCACAAACGTCAAGTTAAAAGTAAACAAGATAACTTGGAAAAGACTGAAACAATAAATAGTAAAATTAGGCCTCAATTACTTAATTTGATGAAATAATGAACTGTGAAACTAGTGCAATCAGACCAGAATATACATTGCTGAATACTTTTTCAGGAATACATGAAAAGCATAGTAAAATTAATTAACAGATGTTTACAACAATGTTTATAATACTAGACAGAGTTATTGGCTAGTGCTTCATCAAATGCGCCACCTACATTTGCGCATCTCATTGTATCACTGGTGGTGAGAATCAACTGTTTTACATTGTTTGACCTGAGACTAAACCATGTGACCTATACATGTATCAACTTAAATTGCCGTCTATCAACCACCTTTATTTTGTTTAACTTTGAAATGAAGACTATCTGTGGTAGTGATGAAAAGCTATAGCTTAAAAGTAAACGATTTTCAATCAATGCTTTCCTTGATTACGCATCTGCATTTGACTCTGTACCTAGGTCTCTCTTACTAAGTAGGCTTGCTGCAACACAGGCTGAAAGCTGGACAAATAAGTGGTTGCATTCCTATTTTTCTGATAGGAAGGAGTACACCGTCTACAATGGAAAGTCCTCCACTACCCCACTTACTTTAGCTGGTGTTCCTCAAGGTGCTGTTCTTTCTCCTATTTTGTTTTCTTTTTTCTTACATGACTTGCCCCATTCTGATGTAGCCACTTTTGTTAAGTATGCTGATGACTTCTCTGTTTCTATGCCTGTCAACTCTCAGTCAGATTGTTCCAAATTAATTAACGTTCTGTCGGAAACTAGTCAGTGGTCCTGTTCAAACCGTCTTAAGCTGAATCCGTCTAAATGTCAGGTAGTCAATTTCACTTTCAGACAGAAAACGTGACTTACAACAACTAGCTAGCTCACATGGCACCACTATCATTGACGGCACAGAGGTTGAAAATACATCTAATGTCATGTATCTTGGGCTGAGTTTTTCCACCGATCTTTCCTGGTCCTCCCACATCTTGCTAGTTACTAGAAAGATGTTTCGCTTAACGTTCTACATTAGGAAATTTAGGCAGTCTGGTATAAAGCAGTCTTTGCTTTCTCAGTTTGTCAATTCTTGTATTCTACCCACCCCCCTTTTACTGCTCCCCATTAATCTTTCCTGAACTACTTAAGAAAGACTTTGCTTTGCTGAGAAAGGCAGGCACTAAAAGCCGTTAGTAGGGCAAGTGGGATATCGTTAAACCAGGTGGTTAACACTATTGTGGATAGACATATAATGTCATGTAAGAAACTAGCGTATACAATATTGTCAGACCCCGAGCATCCTCTCTATACGCAGCTCTCTCCTTGCATTTCATCTGGTAGAACTAGAAGAAGCCATAGGAGGCTATATGCTAGGACTACCAAGTACAAAAGCTCCACAATACCATATTTGGAACAGCTGTTATGTGTGAGAAATCCGTTAGGTATGACACGATCAACTTACAGTGGCACTCTAACAAATAACCCCATTAGTTTTTGTTTTCCTTTCCTCGTTACTATTACACTGTTGTTCTCACCTTCTATTACACACTAATTTTAAATTTCATATCCCGTGGTGCATTGTTTAAAATATAAACGCAACGCTGTTGTTTTTTTATTTTTTTATTTATCTTCTTTTTAGGGGTGCTGGTTTTTGATTTTAAAATCTTATAAAATTTATGAGGTAATTAGATGCGATATATTGTAATGCACGCTGAAAATTCCATACCTGTACCATAAATACTGTTTGGAATAAAGCTATTATTATTATTATTATTATTAAAAGTATACTTTCTACTTAAGAATTTCAACTCACACTGTCATCAAGTCAGCAATTCATCACGCACTTCTTGAGCTTACACATGGACTTTTACAAACTGTTAGAATTTGTTAATCATTTAAAAAAAGTCCAGCTAGCAGATTACTCGTCAGCACGTGTGCTTTCATCTCCACATGGCTTTCGTAGATGCCTAATGTTGTTGCAAAGTTGGGTGTTAGTGTTTATTGCTTGAATGGAAGTTTTCTAGTGAATATTAGGCTTTATATCTGAGTCAACTACTATAATAATTATTGTTCTTTAAGCACATACTCGGCAAATCATAAATACAAAAAATACACCGAAGTAAAGTATATATATATATGTATAACAATAAGTGTATGTCGAAGTAATTTTTCCATTATGAATGATAGTCATTATTTTCAGTGTATAATGAGTCTAGATGAAACAGTATCAGTGACCATTTTCTTATGAGAAGAATTGTGGAGAAAAACAGATTTAGAAATAATAAAAAAGATATGTAACTCAGGTGGATGATTTGCAATTAGTAGTGTTCTCTGAACTGGTTGGTTTAGTTGCGGAGCTTTCGTCGTCAACTTGGACAGAACTCATAAAATTATGCCTTACAACATACTTCCAATTCAATACTCAAATATATGAACAAATAAAAGCAACACCAATGGGATAGCCCATATCAGGATTAATAGCTGAAGCCGTCATGCAAAGATTAGAATTATTAGCTCTACGTATAATTAAACCGAAAATCTGGGTACGTTACGTTGATGATACATTTGTAATCATTAAGAGAAATGATTTAGAATAAACCCATAAATTATTAAACAACATATATGAAGACATCAAATTCACAAGAGAAGAAGAATTAGATAACAAAATCCCCTTTTTTAGATGTCTTAATCAGGAGAACCAACACAGGAAATTTAGAAACACAAGTATATAGAAAATTAACGCACACACATCAAATACTCAACTATACTAGCAATAATCCAATTACTCACAAACGAAACTGTGTACTGACATTGTTTAAAAGAGTTCAAACACATTGTAGCACACCACATTTGAAAAGAATGGAAGAAAAATACTTACAAACGGTCTTCAAGAAGAATGGTTATCCACAAAATTTCATCAAAAAGTGTTTAAAGTCGAATCAGAGCACCAACAAAGAACCATCACCAAAGACCAAAAAGAAATTCATCCTACCATACATCAGAAATATCTCTGAAATAACAGCTAGAATACTGAAACCGTTTGATATAGATGTAGCACACAAACCAGTCGAATCGTTTAACTCCATATTATGCAAACCAAAAGATCCAACAGAAAAAGGAGATAAAATTAATACCATTTACAAAATAAATTGTATGAACTGTAACAAACATTACATCGGCCAAAGTGGACGTCCCCTTCGAATAAGAATCCAAGAACACAAATCAGCCGTGAAAAGACATGATATAAATTCTTTAGTATCAATGCGTACAGACACTTATGGATATCATTTTGATTGGGAAAAAGTCAAAATCTTAGACAGAGGAAACACCAAAAGTGCAGTCAGAGAATCCCTAGAAGCCTGGTACTCAAACGAAAATGCAATTAATAAACACGTTAATATAGATGAAATACACCAACTAGTATGAAGTAAATGAGGTGACCAGAAAGTTTAAAATCCCAGTCAATAGAAAACGGTCAATACATATGTAAAGATGGTTGGTCACCAGGAGACGCAATTGTATCATCATTCATGGAGATTTTAAATCATTTGACTTTATGCTAAATACTGCGCTGAAGATGTCGTCCAGAAAGACGATGAAAGCTCCGCAACTAAACCAACCAGCTCGGAGAACACTATTAATTGCAAAAAAAGATTTAATTATGTAGTCCTCCTACAACATCTGAATAAGATGTCATAAAATAAATGTGTACGGATAACAGTGTTAGCAATAGATAAGGTTAATTGTTCAGTGCTTAGAGAAAGCTTTTTTTTCTGCTGTCAGATAAACTTTGTATCTGCTAACTGCAAAATGATAATTCCGATTCTATCGCTATAAACATCTACAGGCTAAACTGTTTTTGAAGGCATTCCGGAGTAACTATATTAAAATTTATTCATAATCTTATATTTTAGAATGATGACGAGTGTCGTTAACAACTTTATACTAAGCCAAAATAATTGCGATAATGATTGAAATCATAGGTATGGATTGAAGCTACATTTCTTTGTGGTCTAAATGAGATAGGTAAATATGTAAAGGGCATGAGTATACCGAACGACAATAGGATTTTTTTTCAATGCATATTCTCGTTACATTGGCTAGCTGAATTTGTATTGTAGTGAGAGCAGGCTGCTAAACAATTGGTAGACACTAATTTACGTCAGTACCTATGTCACTAATACTGGCCGTGAGAAAATATGAACAAGACTGATTCAACAACCAATCACAGCGGACTTAACGTGGGCAAATACGAATCACAGATATATGGCTTAACTTTATGAGAAACCAGTCACGAGCAGTACAGAATAATCTTGAGCAAGAAACAACCAATCAGAAGACTGTGTTTGTCCGCTTGAATAAGCTATAATAATGTACATGAAATATATATAAATATGTGCTGATTTCCTTAATAAACGATCTGTTACCTGGCCCTTGTCTTCTGTTGTTACATTATAATGCGGTAGTGGGAGATATTTTCAGGTCAGATGAACTATTCTGCTCAAAAATAATAATAATAAGTAATAAACCATGTGAATAATCAGGTGAAGATAGTTGTATGTAGCATATGGTGAGTGTGATAAATCGCTCACAAAATGGACTACTATCATTCTTTAAGTGTGACAGTCATACTTAAAGTAAAATTTGAGCAATCAAATTATGTTTCGCAAAATTAACCGACTAAAAAATGCATAACAACAACTGTTTAAATGTGCTTCTGATTATAATAGGTGTTTAATTTCATACTTAAAAATGTACTGTTAAATTAAGGTATTGAGTAAAAAAGTAGTGAGAAAAAAATACAATGACTAACACACCTTGTCATAAATTCTGTTGTTGAAATTAACTGACGTATTGCAACTGAAATTTTCTGAATCGCTGTCAACTCAGCCTTTTTAGGATCGGTACCACTGCCTTCTTCGGCACAAATGTACGGTAAATCTTTCAGAATTAGTGGAAGTAAAGCTTGAAGAATTACCTAGGTGAATAGAATGAAGAATGAATTATTAGTTTAATTTGAGTTGATGAAAGCATATTTATACGAGTAGGTATTATATTTTATAGTCCAAGCTAGTATATGCTGCTAACAAAATACTGGCTTGCTGATTAAAACCATCAATGATTTGAGGAATTTCACGCATTTATGAATGGAGTGAACAAATTTATAAACTAACCATTACCATTCAACTTTTGATAGTTGTGTATGGGTGAATATAACAGCGAGAATAATTTGCATATGAGAAATAAGATAATTATTAAATAATAAATTTCGTATATCACTTCGTGTTTATACACGTTAGCTTTGCAATTTAATTAACCAGTAATTAAACACAAGTACAAAAAGATTACCATTTAAAGAAAATAGGCTAACAAAATATATTTTGGGAGGCCTATTAAAATGTGTCTAACTCCTAAAAGATGAAAACTTTCACGATAGTTAGCTACACAAAATCTACCCAAAATGCAACCTGAGAACAATTACAGCTTTTATCTAGCCCTTTAACTGAACTCTGGCATAATCCACAACGTTTCAGTTATTCAGTGAATAGATTAACAGAACAAAGTAGAATATAGGACATGGTAAAGTAAAATCTCCCACTTTTATATGGTCATTTGAAAAAAACACTGTCTTCATTTAAAAAGCATCATACAACGTAATTAAAAGACATTAGCAACAGACGCCACACTGATGTATTCTCATAAAACACACTTAAAATGTTACTTTTATCAGATATTTATGTTTTTGTGTTTTTAAGCATTGTCTCATGAATTGATTAACACTCATTTCATGCAACAGTGGCTTTCTGTGTTTTTTTTCTACTTTACGCTTGACTATTTCAGTAATTGTCGTGTTCGGGTTTATGGTTTTAGGACAAGTTGACCTTGAGAATTCACAGCCGACAAGGTTTCAGCTCTCTCTTTGTCAAGTTTTAGTTGGCTTTTTAACATTCGTAAATCATAATACGTGTCTCAGTCTGAGAAAGACATGACTACCCAAAGTAAATTACTTATCTATATGGAATACACTTTCCAATGTGAAGTCAGTGCTACTTTCTATACGGATCAGAGACTTGGCCAGCGCGTCATAAAGACTACCTCAAACAAACTACAGACCTTCATCAACAGCTAGCTGTCTTCGCTCAATACCACTCAAGATCAGATGGCCGGCCAGAAAAGATCAGAAACAGAGATGGATCTCTGGAAATGAGCGAACCAACCCAGCAGGAACCGATTGTCAAACAAATAGGCAGGAAGAAATGGAGGTGGATTGGATTGTGGTGATACTCTGAGGAAACCATGAAGTGACATCACTAGACAAGTCATCGCTTGAGTGGAACCCGAAAGGGAAGCGGGCGGCGAGTTGATCGTCGGTACAAGGGAGGTCATATGAAGAGGAGATGAAAGCATGTGGCCAGACTTGGAGCGGAGTGAAAAAGTTGGCAGAAAACCGAAGGCAATGAAGACGCGCAGCTGAAGCTCTATGTTCCTCTAGGAATTAAAGGATATAATAATAATAATACATTCCATAAATTGTTCAAATATAACAAATCAGTGAATAATATTCGTTAATTAAAGATATATCTTTCTAACTTTTGAACATTTCTTTGTAATCTGTTACTCAGAAAAAAAAAACTGAGTGCAATGTCTTTTTATTTGGAGTTCAAATGAATAAATGTAAGAAAAAAGAGTTTATTACTTACGAGCATTTGTCTGGCTCTATAGGAATCTGGAGCATATACGATTACTGCAACACACAGATTAATCACTTCTAGAATAGACCAGTTCGCATCTTCATCGTCATAACAGAAATCCTTAGAGTAAGAAAATGATCCAGGTAAGGGAATGAAAAAAACATACACTTGATGGAATGATAAACTTTTCAAATTCTCAGCACAGAATAACAGTAGAAATTATTTTATTTTAATCATATAACAGTATCACCGTTGTGGAAAAAAGTAAAATATATCAGCAAATATTTTTCATCTTTATTAAAGATGCTTAAATTATAATAATAATAATAATAATAATGATAATGGGCATCCAGGTTTGAATTATCCTGAATTTTTGTGGAATTTTCCTAATTTTAGTTGATATTCTATTTGCTACTATAACTTTATTATTACTATAATTTAAGCAACTTTAATGAACAGTAATTTCATTGATCTTACTTTACAAATGGATATTATTTAAAGAAAACACCAATTCTTTTTCATCTTCAACAGTAATCACCAGAAAAGTAGCATAGATAATACTTCTTGCATATTCTGTCCTGAATGCTAAAAGAAGTGGATTCATAAAGTTATCTAGCGATAAAAAGTTGGTAACTTCCAATTTAGGGAAATGAAGGATGATTGCCCCCTCCTGACTTTTAAGTTCTTGAAATAACAGTGGATGTTATGTTATTACGATTATTTACATATAAATTTGACCAGTAGGGTGCAGCTGGTTGGGTGTGAGGACAAATACTCGCCAAAGACATTGGCTAGCGGTTGCGCTGTGTCGTGAATTGGCAGAAGTTAGAATTCATGGGCCATTGGATTGGGTCCCAATGGCTTAATGGTATACGAGCTCGCTAACCTTGTAACCAGAAGGTCCTGGGTTCGAATCCCAGTGGTTGCGTACTGCCGAAGAGTCCCAAACCAGAACGAAACAGCTGTCCAGTACTCCCGGGTTTTCCAATGGTTCTCTAACTAATGTCAGCTCATGATGAAATCCTGTAAACCAATCAAATCCTTACAAACCAACACTTGAATATAAATTTATCGTCGAATGGTTATCAGGGCAACTGCAGAAAATTTATCATGTAGTAGCGTAAAAGGTGTTTCGAAGTTATAGGACATGATAATACAAGCTTTAGTACTAACACAATTCATCTGAAAATAAGTTACTCATTTGTGTACAGTGAGTGGACTGCAGTTCTTGTATTCAGTTAAAATCCAGTTACGGAACAAAGCAAACATTAAGTCAGGTGTTTTGCATAAGGACGCCTGGTTGTCGATTTATACTTATTTTTTGTGAGCTGAAAATAACTTACAAGATAACAGACGCAGATATTGCCACGGGATAACACAGGGATAATTTGCTACTGTTTTGCTTTTCAATTTAAATGAAATGTTAGAACTGATATTACCTACAGAGTTTCTCAAAAGGAGAAATTATCTCTAAAAGGTTACCAGATGACATGTTTGATCTCATATTTATAAACAAATGTGTTCGACTTTATCACTGGTAGGTCACTCAATAACCTCACACTTCATCACTGTGTGACTGTGACTAATCAGTAAAAGAATGAATGACCCATGAAAATCGCTGCATAAAAAACACACTTAACGACAACATTAGTGACCACATTTCAGATTTGACTTGTAGAATTCATGCAACACTAATACATATGCATATGAGACTGGTTATTACCTAGAGATATGTATCTCTTAGTTCTATGGTGGATTCGTTCAGCGGTAATTTCTCTTTCTGTAGCACTAGGTGACGTGGGCTTGAATATTCAGAGTGATAACAGTTCCTTTGAATGTCAAGATATACTACGCTAACAAGTGCCTGTAAGCACAAAACCTGGGTGAACGCACTGCTGAAGAAAACCTAAAATCAGCTAACTTCAAGTGCGACAAGTGAAAATCCAAATATAAAAATTAAGGAACAAAACGTCTGTTACGCAAGAAAAAATAACTACTTTATTAGTGATTCATACATTTTAATCGTGTGGGCTTAGGTAGACGGAAATATTTCACTAAATTTGTGAAGAGTGTTTGAAGCGTTCCTAGAGTCAAGACGAAAAGTTCTGAGGTGTGGGTGTACGTAAATTCACTGGATTACTTACTGTTTATAAAGCTGAACTGTACGGCTAAGTTAGTTAACATGGAAATTTTTCTTGACCATCAAAGCTACTATAAAATTAATTTCGTGTTGGAGAAAAAGTATGAAACATCATTAAAATGTATCAATCAAACTCAGCTAATTCTAAACGAGTAACGATTTACCTGATTTTTAAAGAAATAAGTGACAAATAGTTGGGCTTATCAGTTCACACCTAGAGCAAAGGTAGACTTACTGTTTTTAAACTGTGACCTTATCTTAGTGTGTGTACTCAGGAGGCCTAGACATATTAAGCGCAAGGCCCATCTGCAAAGTATTACTGGTGATGATGACTAGAGGTTACAGGAAACACTTCATTAAAGCGAATATCAGCTATCCAAAAAATACCTATAGCTACTATAAAATTACATCACCATACTACCGCCTTGTGGACTCGCGATGCACTAATGAATTCCATGAAAAAGTAAGTGCAAATGTAAGTTCCAAACAGCAATCAAAGATCCGGATGCAACTGTTTGATTGCATTTCATTCACCAATTTTATTATCATTTCTAAGCACACTACTCTATGTTTTAAAAAAGTAGTCTTATTATGACTGAAATTTTGTTAGTAGTTCAGCTACTTATTGATCTAATCAATTTCATGAAACTCGGAAATCCTGAAACAAACCAAGTCTTTGGAATTCACGAGAAAAGGGGAATAATAGCAAATTACTGGATAAGCGACAGTGACAGAATATTTACCGATGTGTTATGATTGAAATAAAACAACGAAGTTTCATCTGGCAGTCTGGCAGAAGTTTCTTCAAGAAAATAATTATGATTAAAATATTGTAAAACAAAATAATCGAGCAAAGAATTTTCTTGTCGATAAATTCCTCTTCCAGCTCTACAATTATATATATGTTTGTATACATAAAATATTCAAGATTGGCAGTTAATAGCAATATTAGTGTTTTTTTAAATAATATCCATTTGTAAAGTATGATAAATGCAATTACAGTTCACTAAAAATACCTAAATTACAATAGTAAATAAAGATATAATAGCGAATAGAATATCAACTAAAATTAGGGAAATTCCACAAAAATTCAGGATTATTCAAACCTGGATGGCCAAGGTAATGATAATGTCTGAACTAACCGCTTTTTGGATGCGTAAATAAGGCTTGTTAATGTGGATCCCCACAGCCTCAGCAATATTTAGTAGTCGAAATCCTAAGGCAAAATTGAGATTCGTAGGTATGCGGTAAATGACCCTGAAAGCATGGTGAACGTCAATCTTGTGTTCTGTCTGCACAAGATGAGACAGAATAGCGCTACGAATGCATTTTGTTTGACCTTTGCGTAACCACCCAGGGTGATGTTCGGAAATTCGACAAGAAACACGCCTAACAGTGCGGCGTATGTAACTGGCTCCACAGGAGCTGATAAATTGGTAGATACACATGGATGAGGCGAAATTAGGCAGTTTGTCTTTTACTCCCGAACGCAGAAGAGGAGTGGTCTTAAAGATACAATGTAATTCAGCAGCAGGGAATGCTCGTTTTACCGCATTTCTAATGCGCTGAGTTAGTATCTCGCTAGTGTTGTCCCCAAGGAACTGCATCTGTAAGAATAAGACCTTTTTCAAAACTGTTGGTATTTTCGGCTGCTTTGGTTTCAAATTCATATTCTTATCAATAAACTTTTCAGGATAACCATTCTCACTTAGCAGCCGTTTAATATTATTCAGTTCTTCATCAAGATGTTATTAGTGAACTCGATTTTTATTGTTGGTACATAGATGATACTTTTTTGATTATGAAAAACGAGAAAGAAGCAAAGAGCATCCTGAATAAATTTAGTGAGGTATATCCTGCAATAAATTTTACTATTGAGAAAGAAAAATACTCTAGTATTCCATTTTTAGACGTCTTTATGACCAGAAAAGAGAATGTCACAATAAGAAGAAGTGTTTATAGAAAACCTACATCAACGGGCCAGTACACACATTTTCTCAGTTTTGTACCCCTGAAATACAAACGCAATTTGATAAAGTGCCTCGTTCACAGAGCAAGAGCGATTTGCTCGGACGAATGTCTTGATGAGTTTGAAATGAAATCTAGCGATTGTATTGGCAACACACAAGCTGGTAAATATTTATACATAAAACATCATCAACGTTTGGAGCTAATTTCTTTAACTTAACTAGATTTTTAAAACGTGAAAGAAAAACGATCAGCGACTACATATGATAGAAAAAACAGACACAAAACTGATTTTGATGGAACCGATAGTCTACAAAGAGGTTTTCTATCATACAGGGAAAAACTGATTGAAGCTTTGCACAAAAATAACTAAATCCCAGGATTTTATTTTAAAAAAGCCGCATGACATTAACAGATATGGTTGACAGGTGTTTATAAATATATGAGGAATACAAAAAGTTGGTTCCAATCACGAAATGTTTCTCTTCTATGACGCTTTTTCTTCTCTGTAAGCATCTCTTTGTTTTCCCTGTAATCAAATGGTTAAGCTGCGATGAGTAAACAAATCCGAAAGTTTTTAATTGTTGCATCCATGTTCTTTTCACCTCTATTACCAGCAACAACATGTTTTTGATTGTGTCCCCAACAGAACCAGGAATTTTATAATTATCATTCCTTAAATGTCACTTTGATTTTCATTTGAACATACTAACATGAATGATTGGCAGATCTACTTCATTTGATTTTATTTCATATACAAATATCTTAAGAATGAGTAAACTACCATTTTGAAATTAACATGTCACGATTAACTTTTTTTCAACAAGTAGTCACACCTCAAAAATAAATAAATGAGGAGACTGAATGCATATTTTTGACTTCATTTGTATTACCTTCAGTATTTTAGCCCATATTATTGCCTTAAAAACTTGGGCAAAACATCGTTCACAACCTACTTTTATAACATTGAGATTTGTACAAAAAAACTTCTGCAAATGTGTGAAACAAATCTGTCCGATATCGAACCAACTTCACAAAAACTATATATTAGCTAAACTCTGATCAATTATGATGTGCGTCGGTGGCATAGCGGTTAGGACGCTCGCCGACCATGCACATGGTTCGGGGTTCGATCCCCGACCACAGATGCACTCCTTTACCTCGCTAAGCCAGAAATAAAAGCTGGTAAAGAGGAAAGGTTGGGCATGAGGCTAACAACCCCATCCTGTAAAATAAACACTGCTACAGAAACTCCAAGTCACTAGCTTGAAGCCCTATGTTCCACTGGGGAACGTGAAGGAAAGAAAAGAAAAGGATCAAGTATGATAATGATTTGTCATTCAAACGAATGCATGATGACTGGTAACACACAGAAAGCTGTCGATGTGTTCACTTACCAAAGATAAAATCTGAACAGAATTATTATTGTATAGAAGATTTCACCATCAGCTGACATCAGTTAGAAAACCACTGGAAAACCTGAGAGTACTGGATAGTTGTTTCGTCCTAATTTGGGACTCTTCATCAGTACGGACTAACCGCCAGGGTTCGAACCCAGGACCTTCTGGTTACAAGGCAAGCTCGTAGACCATTGAGCCACTGGGACCCGATTCAATGGTTCTTGAATTCTAACTTCTGCCAGTGCACGACATAGCGCGACCAATTCGTAATGTCCTCTCCGATGAGTTACTGCCTCATCTTCGACCTGCTGTACTCCCAGGTTTTCCAGTGGTTCTCTAACTGATGTCAGCTCATGGTGAAATCCTGCATAGAATCAAACAAAATCCCTACAAAACCAATAATTGAGAATTATTATTATATATTTCACTAGATTAGCAGCATGCTGAAAGCCATCAGACACACCTCTGTCATGTTTTCTTGTAAATTAACTATTAACTAGACGTTCAGATTTGTATGACAACAGCTTGTATCATTCCTGTACACATCGTGTTGATTAACAATGCTTGCTTATAAACAGTGCATCTAGAATCTAATCGGCTCAGTTCTATGAATTCAAGGCTGTTTTCCGTCCTTGTTCCGTCTACCTAACCACGTACCTTAGGATAAAGTAAATGCTAATGATTCATATATTTCTTTTAAGGAAAACAAAACAGACTGTTATAAATTGAAACTCAATACAAACGAATCATTAAGGATCATAAAGTGCAGCTGTACACTGTATACACTGAACTTACTAAAGCTTCTAACGGTTTTTGAATATTGCACAATTCCAGAATGCGGAGATTATCATCTAACGGACGACTTATGACTCTCAACAGTCTGTACAAGGTAGCCGGCTGGATCTATAATAGATAGAGAATTATGAGAACAAAACATCGTAACTAAACTATGCATTCATTCATGCAGGGTAACATTTTACCTTGTTATCATGCGTTCAAACCCTGGTTATTGATTTTTGGATTTCCAAAAGAATGGATACTGAACAAAGAGTACTCTTTTCGATAAATTTATCATCAGGCTCTATAGTTATATATACGTTATATAGTTTCATATATATATATATATATATATATATATATATATATAGTTTCATTAATGTGAATGTGTATAGATTTATATTACTCTCATTGATACATTTCATTCCATAAGAGAGAGTAGTCAAATGATAGAGAAAGTCAGAAGTTATATGGGGAACAGTGAATGCAGCAATTAAGAAAAGATGTGATTAGCAAACTTGTTGTTAGCATACATCAACATATAAGAATAAGTGAGGCTTATTCTGATTTCGAATTTAAGGCGTCATAAAGTATACTTAAAGGAAGCAGTAAAGTAGTATTCTCTTTACTTCAGCATTCATGATTTAGAAGTCACATTCTTAAGCTTTTATTCAAGGCGAAGAAGAAGGAGGATAGAGTAAGCTTTTTCTTACGCCAACTTCATTTTTCTGGCATTGTAAATATATTTTCTACACTCCTATATAATGAACACAAGCATATATTCTATATTATGTATAACTGAATATGCGGAGTATGTTTGTAAATTTTTTTAGTTGAAGATGAAGAGAAATTCTACAAAATGTATATTCATATCCACAGAGGAGGTTTGGAATAGCCTGGCACATGAGTGAAGAGTATCATAATAAGATATGTCTGTTCAAGTTAGCTATACCAACCTACATAACTGGACTAAAATCTAGAATAAAATTCTATATCAAAAAAATATTACATTCATATTCACTCACCCGATAAAAATCATCCCCTACACCAATTATCTCACTGTTGATTGTTACGTAATTAGCAATACTTCCCAATAATTGTAATATAAAAGGAGTTCGGTGCATCACATAAAACTGTCTAAATGTAAATTCAATCGCCTGTGTAAGCACTGAATTATGCGTATGCTGATTATAAACACGTATCATTGTTGGTACAACACCCGTATAGCCTGTAGTTGAAAACACTGTTTTGAATTGGTAACAACACTAAAAATAAATTATGAAAAGAATTAAGATTTCAGAAGAAATAAGAACTCTAAAATATTTATGAAATGCATCCTAGTAAAATGGGATGTTATGTTACTAATGACTGGTCGATATAAGCAGATGGAAGCCATTCACGTAAAACAGTAAGGCTTGCTAACCAGATCAAAGAAACCTAGGCGCCTGACGGCTGTTTCGTGCCTAGACTGAAGTAAACATTGATTAGGAAACATTATTAATCATAATCATAATTAATGAATATGATTCATCAGCTAAGATGAATAAAAAAAACAGCTAATGTTATTTTAACTCTGATTCCAAGATGAGAAGGGGGAGAGATATAAAAGTCTGTCTGGACGAAGGATGTTCTGTTCAATAAATTCAGTTTCTACGTTTATAAAAAATAATATTTATCATTACAATAATTGCTGGTTATTCGGCGGATAGATGGTTACTCTGAGAGGGAAAACATTTTGACAAACTTATAGAAACAGTAAACACTGTGTGGAATATGTTTCACGATCTAAACTGACCTGTATAAAGAATGCTAAACACTGGCGTAAAACGGATGAGTCTTCTGCGTGCAATATCAATGTTCCATTATATACATTTAAAAATATTTGTAGGTCTGATGACCATGGATATGTTTTAGGCATCATCATAAACAAACTAGACAGTAAATGACACCAAGATAGTTTATGCACTGTATCCAATGCAAACAGTGGACGTCCGTATGTTGGCCATTCATAAAGACTGAAATCTGACTCAAGAGCTTTACGCGGAAATGACGGCAGCTTGTTTAGTTCTTCGTGTAGAAAGAAAACATGGTTAGGAATCTGAAATATAGCAAAATGAGAAAAGTAAGGCTAAGGTTGTAATTCAGTGCAAACGGTTGAAAGGATAAATAACACCTATACATAGTATTCTGAGTAGACTATAATTAGGACACATTTATTTCCGTGCGTTTCAGTCGCCTAGCAACATTCTCAAGCCACCCAAAGAGTTTTAAGCACTAGTTTCTGTTCCAGAAGAAATCAAAATAACACAAAACTAGGGTTAAACAGTTCTTATCAATTCAATGACTGATTCCATTCAAAACATTCCTTGGAGTAATCAAGAACATTCTGTCTGTCTGTCTGTTTTCGACATAGAACTTTGCACATACGTGCGTGTGTTCAAGTCGCCACACTCCATGTACCACACAAAGCAACAAAGAAGAAATGCATGATAGAGACAGTAAACAGAGGGCTGAGACAAAGGAATAGTAGTAACAAAGAACAATATAGTTTCATTGGAAATAATAAGTCACAAGGAGTGGATGCATCTGCACCAGCCATTGAGAACGATTTTGAGCCATGTCACCAATTGTTTCCAACCATTGGTTTTTACCGTCCCGACGACGCCAACCAGGAAGTCCACACCTTCCTAACTGGCTTAAACTAACTGTTGTGGATTTCATTGACTGGTGCCATGTTTTCCTTTGACCACCGCTAGCTCTTTCCCAGCCTGACCCTATATCAGCTAACATTGCCCATTGTCGAGGAAGGCGATGACTAGGCATACGTAACACATGTCCTAACCATCTCAGTTTATGTAACTTCATAACCTCGTCGATTGATTTCCCCTCTCAGCTACCTAGAACTCGACCGAAGCATAACCTCAATATTGCTCACCTTATTATGCCACTTCACACGGGAGATAGAACACAGGCACCTATGATCAAAGACAGCTAATCTTTTCATGTCTTCCACTCTAAATGGCCAGGTCTCACAACCAGCCATAAAGGAGGACGGAGCGGACTGATGGGCGGTACACTCGCCCTTTGGTCGACAGCCAGCCGGATATCATGTCCACACCAGAGACGGCGTAAACTGGCATATGAGAAACTAGCCCTCTGTATCCGTGCTGAGATTTCGTCAGAGATCAACCCGTTGGCACCGGCTGATGGTACTTCCCAAATAAGTGAAGCGGTCAACGTGCTCTACCACTTCGCTTCCTATTTTTAAACTAGGCGTCGATGTAGTCCAGTCCTGTAACATTATCTTGCATTTGGCGGGGGCGAACAGCATGCCAAACATTCGTAGATTGCGGCTCAAGGTGTTTAGAAGACTCTGCATTTCGTCAGCGTCTTCGCCTAGCAGCACTATATCGTCTGCATATTCCAAGTCAACGAGATTATTCCCAGGTAGCAAGTCAATCCCTGAGTCGCTGAAGTTACTTAGGGTTAAGTCCATTAGTACATCTATGATGAAGTTGAATAGAAATGGGGATAATAGGCATCCTTGACGGACACCACTAGTCGTCACCACTTCAGATGACAACTCGCCGTAAGCCCTCACCTGGCTGCATGAGTACGAGTAGAGTGCCCTAATCAGTGCAATGTATTTTCTCGGGATTCCCTTTACACCCAAGCATCTCCAGAGAACTTCTCGATCGACAGAGTCGAATGCTGCCTTTAGGTCAAGGAATATAATGACTGTTGGACGCCGGTAGGAATGACTATGTTCAAGAATCTATCGGAGGGTGAAGATATAATCGGTACACCCTATTCCTGATCTAAAGCCTGCCTGAAGAAACCCCTATGGTTTGATTGTGATTGCTGCGTCTTTTTTATAGAGTAACAACTATCTGAGCAGAATATTTATTTTATTTACAGCTGCTGTTTTAAGAATGACTAGGAACTAGCATATGAAATACTTTCCGAGCCATCGTCTTTTCAACCACTAGTGTATGATATTCATGGTAATGTGAAAAACAGTTCCTTATATTCAATGTCTTATCAATAAAAAAACTTTCAACGTCAGTTGGCCTGCCGAGCTACCAATGTTAACAGAAGTTGATATATTTTTGTAGTGTGGAGCAAAACCTGTAAATATACATGTATGTATACGTAATGTGTTTTTTCCCGCTCATTAAATCATATAATTAAGGCAACTGAGTTAGTATTTCTCATTTGAAAGCCAATCAAGCACTTGAAGAAATTTATTTCTAAAACTATTGTACTCATTATTTTCTTCAATCCTCTCTGTGTATGTGTGTGTGTATTATGAGCTGAAATAATCAGTTAGTTAGGCAGCACAAAATTCATAACCAAAGTGAAATAATCACTGCATGACTCTGAAGATGACATAGGAAGCAGGATAATAACGACAATCAGTTAATATTCTTTTGATAATCTGATGTGAACACAGAGGTCGTTTAACAGTTCGAAAAAGTGGACTACTTATCTATTGTCAGTTTAATGAAATGTATTCAACCGGGACGACTAAGACGTCTATCGTCACGATTGTCATTTATAAAAGAAGAAGTAACAAACTGACATCTTGGTCAGAAAATACTAGAATAATCCAAATAGTATCTAATCCTAATTCTCAAATGCACAGTAAGGTAACAATGAAAGTGGTTTATAATTTGAATATAACACAACTGAGAGTTATATGTCTGGAATACTAATCAGTCTAACAATTAATTACTTTTGCCTAGACAACAGCATCAAAACAACACAGTTAAAATGCTGACGAAGTAAAAAAGAAATGTCGAACTTAGAAATTGGTTTGTCTTAACGCCAATTTCTTTTCACATAATCAGGAGTAACACCATTACGACTGCACTTTTACCCGTTTTGATGTTGAAGTTTTTCACCAGGTGGAAAAGATTTCAAAACACTTTGCAATGAAGACAAGCTAAGTGTTATAATATTATAGATTTCGCGTATTACATGTGTAAAAAAGTTGATTAATAGATTTAAAATAATTGCAAACTGAATTTTTAAAAATATCAAGTATATTTAAACATTAGCAAACTCAATCGGAGTTTTGAAACGTCTCCAGCCTACTATATACCCACCTGTGCTGTTGGCGTACATTTAAGAACTGAGAGGGTGAAGAACACCTTACCAATTTCTTGGAACTTCAAATTGAGAGCATTTTGTTGCAATAAATACATGCCGTGTTTCTTATCGAATTGACGCAAGCGTAGTTTGGGTGTGTGATTACGTTTGAATGGATAGAAATCACGAATATAATGTGAAGAATTGCGAATGATATCTGCAACAGAATTTAAGCAAACAGATCATCACATATAACAAAGAAGATATTTTTAAGGACATACACAATCCAAAAATATAAATTTTGCTTTCAAGTGTGACTAATCTACGACTAATGAATTCATGAAGAATAGAAGTGCTTGGAAGCGTTCAGAGTTTAGGCTGGTCAGGCAACAGTCATTTGATTACCGTTGTAATGAGTCGATATATTCACACTGATTACTTAACTTCGAAGAATTGCCACTGGTATTTTCAGTGGATTCGGAAAATAAAAGAAAGATGAAGAGTTGTTGAGTTTGTTTACCTAAACACAGGAACTAGTATTATATCATTTACTAAACTCTGCTTGAACACAGCCGTGTAAGGGCTTGTGGAGAACTGTCATCTGAAGTGAGGACAGCCATCAGTGTTTGCCTTAGTTCCCTAATATCTTCACTTTTATTTAGTTTCGTCATAGATGTACTGATGGGTGTGACTGTGATAGGCCTCGGTAGCTTATGGATTAACTTGTTATTAGGACACAGTCTTGTTGATTCAGAAAATGAAGCAAAATATACTCTTTCTAGGTGAATACGCTAACTAAATGCAATCAGTAATGTAAGGGTCATGTATATAGTGCTGTGTGGGGAGGGGAATCGTATTCGTAAGTCTGTGAAGCTTCATCGATTGAGATGGCTAACAAAAGTGTTAAACAACGCAACAACATACATGTTTAATAACATTAGTTTACATACGATTAGTTTGAAGTGAATTAGAGTTGGTCAAATCTTGGTATCATTGCATAAACGTTTTGTCTTGAAACGCGTGGCAAGGTGTTAACTGCCTGGTTGGGATGTTCTAGACGATAAGAACCTTTGACTGGATGCTGTAAATGACTGAGGCTCTTCCCACTATTCTGGAAGTAATTATTACTTATCCTGTACATTTCTGTTCTTTAACAGTTTTTTCCATTTCCTTTCTGGTCTGTCTTTATGTGTTTTTGATGAAGTTTAGCAATTTGAACTGATGCTATTTTGTACAAGTTTCTATGTTGAAAATTCAGTTCACTTCAATTAACTAACCGAATCACACATGCACGAGTATATATAACAAATAGAATTATCCCTTTAACACAAACCATTGTCTTCCATAAATTTTTACAGAAACTGTGCAGTTAAAAATTTATAAATATGATTTTACGAATCCTAACATCAGGGAGACATAAATTTATGATATGTAAAAGTGTTCAGTGGACAGCCTTCACTATAGTTATAATTAATCATGGTTTATGCAGGCAAAAGTGGGTGGCCATGAGGAACATAAAGGCATACACTTCAGTTGATAGTATTGTTTTTTGTGTATGGAAATAAGAAGGAATGTTATTGTTACAGTGACTTTGTAACGAGGAGAATAATGTGAAAAACATAAAGTGAGGCTAAAATATCACTGACAGTGGTCATGATAGTTGTTATATATCACCAACAGAATACATATGGTGGAATAATACCACACTATTCGAAGAATTCATGAATCGAAAGAGATAAGGTGATTTGGAGAGTAAAATACGGTGGTAAAAATGCTCAACTGCTATGTTGACTAACATGCTGAATGCTGTTTCAATCATACACAGATTTATATTTGTGTATATGGCGAAATCGCTTTGAACTCGATAGATGACAGGAGAAATGTGTTAGTTTTCGCAGCCATTCTGCAGACTAGAATTAGAAAACTTTCACATTTTATTGGGGGCATTCGGTGAATAATTGCAAGCCCATAGGCAACAGTCTTCCACCAAGCTCTTAATTTATAGTTACTATCTTGAAAAAATTAGAAAATTTTAGCTTCGACTTCTTGCTAGATTTGACATCTTTTGCTTGGTGTTTCGAACTAGATGTACATTTCCTTACAAATACTTAAAATACAAATTTTTCAAGGTTATTTTTCTGGAGGTATACTCTCGCATCAAAATAAAGTACTAAAAACAAACTTCCGTAGTATGTCAGCCTACAACCAAACATTAGCCTTTCGAGTGGTAGGCAAACATTTCACCAATCAGTCACCCATGCGCATATCGTCCTATTCTGAGACTCTTCGGCAGTTTGCACCTATGATCCAATCGGAAATCGAACCCAGGCCCTTTGGGTTATGAGAGAATGCAGTTGATCATTCAGTTTCTAGGTTTCAAGGGTACTTAATCCATAGATAGGAAAGAAATCAATCTTGTTCACTGATCCACTACAAACAAATTACTATGTAGATATTCAAATATGAAAGAGTACAAAAACAATGAACTTACGAGAACGTTCATCGCAAAGGTAATAAGAGCTTCTTTCGTCATCAGGTATATCACTAGCTGATAATACATCTTTCACAATATCATCGAACTGATAATCCTAAAATATATGTTAAAAGAAATAAAAAATAAATTAAACATTGTGGTCTAATGGACAAGAAAGGAAAATGAAGCTAAAAAAGATTTGGATTAAGCTGAGTCAAAATATTTTTCATACTTTGGGTGTTTAGTTTCTTAATGACGGTAAAAGTTTCTGTTTCTGTTTATGTAAATGCTAGATTATTAATTGTTTTGTATTCATATCCTTTGTTCCACAAATGTATCCTTTGTGTTGAACTAATTTCGGAAGTATGTTACATATTTTCGCATGACTTATGTTACTTCTGAGCTGTTAGCAGATGATGAAAAGCTATGATATAAAGAACATGAACTCTTTATGTTGTGCAAATATGTTCAAAGCTTTTAAAGACTGTTAGAATAGTATGTGATGTGCTATGTAATTAAAAGACGATGGGGGCGAATGTTTGTAGATTATTCTGATTTCATTTTTCTAAAAATCGTTTTCCTAGTTATGGCATGGGATATCGTTGCAAGTCCATGCATAACGATGACAAATATGAAATGTTATCTACATTTATATTAGTAAAAAGTTTGAGCATTGTGGATTAAATCAAATAAAGTGTAATTACATTTCAATAGTTTATACACAAGCAATAAAACAACTCCAACAGTGGTGTGAACACGAGCAGTAATTTTGCTCAAAATATTACCAATAACAAAACTTATCATTGTGTGTAAACTATTGAAATATAATTATACTTTATTTATCTACATTTGTAAAAAAGTATATTTGTAAAATCTCGGTGACATTGAAATGAGTAATTCCAACGTTTCGTTCGGAAATCTGGTCCGAACTTCTTCAGGGAAATTAATCGAAATTATCAACATAACAGAGGTGTATATATAAAAGGAACATTTCTTTTTCTAAAAACTTTGTCCAATCATGAGTCATAAAACAAGTATTAACAAGTATAGTAAACAAAATTGTATGAGTTGTGATCAAAATTTGACCTCGAACTTACAAATATTTGTCTACCTTTGTTAAACACTTAAAAAAAAACAGTGTGTATGTGTGTGTGTGTGTGCGGGTAGACAGTTGTAAAACAATTTCTTAACGTCTCCATAAGTAGATATAGACAGTCGGGAACTTTGACCAAGTATTATTAGTTAGTGATACATATCCATTCTTATTTATTAATCAGCATTTCCCATGCATCAGCTAACATCATACCTTCATGTCTGTTCAAACTGTTCGTAGCTAGAATTTTATGATTAGACGTATATTCAAAATTATGGTGTTTAGAATTAGAGTTTAATTTAAGCACCCTGTCGAACTTATTGCTTTGTCTTCTTTCTGAATATTAAGCTGCTTTATTCCACCTACTGGAGTTGTCAGGCGACTCGACAGCTACGGATTTAGGATACGCATTCACTCTCCGTTTTCTGCAACAAAGTTTTCAAAAACAAGAGATGTTCCTTTTATATATACACCTCTGTTATGTTGATAATTTCGATTAATTTCCCTGAAGAAGTTCGGAGCAGATTGACGAACGAAACGTTGGAATTGCTCATTTCAATATCACTGAGATTTTACAAATATAATTTTTTACAAATGTCTACTTCTCACTCGGAGCCCAAATATTTTAGAACTATTCTGTCAAATCTTGACGACAGTTCATTTGAAATGTTATCTACCTTAATACTGACGTAAATAAGATGATCAGATGTCGTCTTTATCTGAGAAATAACTTGACAATCAAAGTTAGTTGACTAAATCCACTTAAATATAATGGTTAATCGGTAGTTGTCAGTTTGGTAGACACGATCAATGCCTCCTTCTACAGTTAATTATTTGCTTAACTTTTATACTTTAATAAATATATGAAGCATAAACATTATAGGGAAACCACTAGTTTACTGTTATGTAGACTCCTATATCCACCCACATACAAGCACCTGAATATTCGGAATATGAAATTCTACAGCATCAATTTTATCATCAAATTGATTAATTTACTGGCTGTGTTCATTTATTTTCCTAGGGATGTCATAAATTTGTAGCTAATAAAATACATTTCAGGCACAATGCACTGTTCATTAGGCTTTGTTTGTTAGTGACGTAGTGAAGTAGAATAGTCAAGCAATACAGTCATTACTTTATTCGATAGATCAATTAAGTTTTCCAGAATTGTTACTTCATGAACAGAAATTCAGCCCTATGGCAGTATATAGTTCCATATTAGTAGATAAGTTTATCTGATATAGCATGCAGTTATATAGAATTATAAAAATGGCAGAACATTAAAGAATAATAATTTGTTGTTCATTTTGATATGAGTATGAGCAATGAATTATGTTTTTACTTAATCATGTTGCATCGCTATGTGCTATACTAATTAAACTTACTTAACATGCTGTCAGTTGTCTGGTCACCAGAATGTGTAAAATTAAGTACAAATTTACTACAGCCGATAACTATCTGAATTTATTGTAAATATCACCTATGTGGTTTGGAATGAAAAATCTGTAAAGGGCCATTGAGAAATGCGATTTATAAATCTAATTATTCATATGATTTCTTTGCATAACTTGTGTAAATTCATAATCTTCATGAAAGTATACTATCGTCTGTCCATCAGCACAAAATAATACAGCATAAATACTTTGGCAAAACTTAAGCAAAACACGGTTTTCAGATGTCTCGCAATCATAATTTGTGATCTAAGACTTCTAAAATTCTTCCCTGTGAAAAAGGTTGTGTACCAAGATAGATGACTATTTTACCTCAAAGCTGACAACACCATCTGACTTTGCTAAAACACCATACAGTTCAAAACAGATGTGTCATGAAGTTGTGCGGTTGCTGAGGAAGTATGTAATGTAGGTATGTGACGGCATACAGATGGTATATCACAGCCTACCTTGGTAACCTGGATGGTGATAGAGGAATGGCGGACTAAGACAGAATTTGACCTGACTCCAAAACCTCTACCCTATGAACTAACGAAATCAACACAAATGTCATAAGTAACTTCATTGCGTAATCACTCTGTTTTTATTACTTGGGAGGGCGTCGGTGGCATAGCGGTTAGGATGCTCGCCGACCATGCACATGGTCCGGGGTTCGATACCCGGCTACAGACGCACTCCTTTACCTCGATAGGCCAGAAATAATGCTGGTAAACAGGAATGGTTGGACATGAGGCTAGCAACCCCATCCTGTAAAATTAAACACTGCTAAAGAAACTTCAAGCCACTAGCTTGAGGCCCCATGTTCCACTGGGAACGTGAAGGAAAAAAAATTACTTGGGAAATAATGGATATCATAAACCTAGTGCCCAGAGTTTTTCAAACTATTAATTGTGAACTTGTTATGGATACGTAGACACTTTTTCAACGTCAAAAATTTTCAAACGCTTAACTTCTTTATTGTTTGTATAGTCAACGTATATGACTCAATTAAGCAATACATCACTTTTATTATTTCACGGGATAAACATGAAGTGCATTTCTTCAATTACCTTATTTTCATCCTGCAGACGAACCAACTGAGCGACACCAATACTATTATCAAATACATTGAATTGTTTAGCACAAGGTAAATTGGCTGTCAATAATAGCGTTGACTAAAAACAGATAAGAGAAAACAAAAGTAGAAGCTTACATTTTTGGAAATAAAAAAGACATTTTATGTTCCTCATAACAAGACAATACAAATTCCTTGAATTTCAGACAACAGAATGATATTTATACGTAACTTACTGTTTGATTTTTCTGGTTCTAAGTGTGTCATGTGTTTAGGAGTATGTATCGAAAACTTTAAAACTTGTATATATTATCACTCATCAACAGTTTCGTAGTGCATGTTGTCTTTCTCAAGCTTAATGAATAAACTAAAATGTTGTAGTTGAAGTGTTTTGTCGTTGAGCTGCTTGACCTGCAGTAAATTACCACAGATTAATGTTAAAGATTACAGCTACTTCTATGCTCCAGTTTCGTAGAACTGACAAAACCTTATAAACGCTACCACATTCTTCTTTGTTTCTGATATTATTAAAAGAATATTTTATGGAAAATGAAGAAAAAAACTTCTACTTATCATCTTCATTCTTGACGGCAAAAGAGCTAAGGAAGGCTGACTAAACCACTAGGAAGCTTATTAATACAATCACTCCAGAAGGACAGAATTGAAGACATGGCAAATACGTATAAGATATAATTAAGAACACATAAGTCGGCAGAGAGACTTCTTTTCTTAACTTCTCTTCAAAGCCGTACAGTCATTTACGGATTTATATGTAAAATGTTAGTTGACAACAATAATCAGAGGCTGTTGTGAGTTGGGAACAAAATAAGTCAGAGTGTAGGGCGAGAGATAACAATGTGTGAAAAACAGCAGATGATTTTACGTAAATGGAGAGAGTTGGAAACTTATTAGTTAATTGGATGAATAATTATTAGGAAAAAGTTGATAGAAAACAAGAGAACAAGGGGTTGAAGTGGGTTACAAACACAATAACAAAAAGATAAGACACAGTTTATTATGCAACAAAGAAGGATTATAAACTTGACATGAATGTCATGATAATGAAACACGTTACATAAAATATCTCTAAACACGAAGTTCAGGCTGTTCATTTCATAAACGTTTTGTTAAAACTGCTACCATCATGATCTTACTGTCGAGTTGATTTTCCTCATTTGATGCTCAATAAACTCCATGAATTCCCTTTATTTCATTATTTTTATTTTAGTAAACCATTTTAAACTCTTTTTTCTCTTGTACCTTATTAGTTATTTCCAAATAACTCTTCATTATTTAACTAATTATTTGTTGACTCTCTCTGAAAATATATAAGATTATTTATTATTTTATTTTTTTACCATATTCTTGTCTCTGAATACACTTTGACTGGTTCTGTTACTAACTGACAATAAATTTTAATCTTTTAATCCTAAATAACTTTTCAGCTTTGAAGTGAAATTGTAAAAAAATCTCTTCGTTGACTGTATCCTCAGTGGAAGAATTCTTGAAGTCTATAATAAAATTTATAACTATGACGTATTAAATAAGAATGTGAAGCGAAAATGCGTTAAACTTGTGTAACCATTCTCCAGAATACACCGAATGTATTTGAAATTACTTTGGAGAAAATCGTTACACTAGGTGAATCAATACTGCCAAGGTCATTCTGGATTGTGATAGATACGGCATTGTATCCATTTTGTTTTCAGCTAATAACCATAAGTCGGTTATGCGCTTATTGTTTCCGACTGTATTTTTCCAAGTAACATTTATGCCTAGCATTACCAACCACCCACTCAATTAATATCTCACGCGCCTTGACGACTGCTTTTTAGTACACATCACTGAGATTTCCTGAGCATTTTGGTAGGAAACGGTTAAAATTTCAAGTTTTGCTAGCTTGGTAATAGTTGAAAGTAAGAACCAGTAGATTAGGTGGAAAAATAGCTGAAATTTCCGCGTGTGCAAATATGATACAAATAGTAGAAAAACAACAAGTGACCTTCACAACTACCAAGGACGTCCAGTTAGACTTCTTTGTTAAATAATTTTGGATAAATAGATCTTTTCCATACGATAAACAGGTTATTTGTCTTCAAATTTTTAATTCTAATCAATAAGATGTTCAGAAATTCAAACATCTTGTTCAGTATAAACTACATACATTTCTTAGAACTATCTATTAAGAGCACAAGAAGTTGATTTTTCAGACAGGATAACTGAATTTTGCACAAACTGAATATTATTGGCTTTCTTCTTTATTCATCCGGTTTTGAGTGGAACAGAAGGCTTCAAGTCTTGAAGTTTTAGTGATGTTGGTTTCTTTCTCACAGGATGGGGTAGCTGGTTTCACGCTCAACCTTTCCTATTCTCCGGGTTCATTATGGCTGGTAAAACAGACCGGATTTAGGATTGCACCGACCGGATCTCATCTCCTACGTGGGTGACGAGCATTCTAGCATTTACCCACAGACACAGGAATATCTCTGTAGAAAAAACAGGACTCTAGGTCCCGACAACGGGTATGTGAAGTCATTTATAACAACATCGAATCTTAAATGTCATTATTTTTCCAGGTGAATCCTACGCTAAATAAATAGTTTTGCTTTCGGAAAGTTAAGCATATAGCAGCAATCAACACAGTAGCCACAATTAATAGAACAAGTATAACAACAGAAATAATTTAGTGGCCGCAACTCGTATAAACAAGAAATTCATGAAAATGAATTAATCAGTCAGAGAAAAGTTGATATTCGGAATAAGGTATAAAACTGACAGATATAAGTGAAAATATAAGTTGAACATCATTCGATGAATTGATAACATGGATTTATTATTATTAATACAACCTATGTGAAAAGTCGACTCTTACAGAATTGTGAAAGATATAAGAAGTTCACAATAATCACTATATGGGTTATTGTGACAATTCTACACAGACAAAGTACGAAACGAATAACCAAGTGAAATTTAACTTGATTGCGTCATCATGAAAACTGTGTCAGATGTCCACTTACCAAGTGCTTCATGTACCATTTTCCAGTAAATTTGCAATATTCCTCTTTTGTATTTTCAGCTGTAGATAATTTAACCACTAACAATAAAATTTTACATAGATTGAATGATATTCATAAGAAGAAAAGTATTGTAACCTTTTATTATCATCATTTCAGTGTAGATTTCATTGGGAATCCATATCAGCCGAGGAACCATTGCGAACTATGAAGCAGTGTACAGCTGTTCCATCCCAATCTATTCTCTTCTCGCAGCCCCACTTATGACACTCCACCAAAATCGAACCCAAGAGATTCAGGTTACGAGGCATTGTGCTAACCGCACTGGAATCCATTAACCAATACATTATAACTTCCATCAATTTACGGTACACTATTACCCCTGCGTCAGTGTTTAAGTGTGTCAAACTAGGATATAACACATGCCCAGTGTACAATGGTTTTCAGTGACTCCCTCTATAAATGACATCGGTTTGTAGAGAAATCTAAACTGAAAGTGATCGAAATCACCCGAAACTCAAAAAAAGCTATAACACTGTTTCTATTTCTATTCTACCACAACTTACATCAATCTGTTCTCGCCTCATTGTTTGTTTCAAATCTTTAAAGTAAATATTTTGCACATGTGGTATTACCTAAAAATGAGGAAGAGAATTCGGGTAATGGATTAAAAAAAATTATACAGACTGAAATACGAGTGTAGTAAAAAAAAGTGACAGAATCTCGGAACCGTATTAGGGAATTTCTGTATCATTTAAGATTCTTTTCAACTTCAATTATTTTTTGGTCCCTCAGATTCATTTCAATTTATGAATCAAAGTTATGAGAGAAAAAACATCTTTCTAACTCAGCACCATTATAATGTTATGATATAAAGGTGGTCGCATCATAGCGTAAAGAAATATTTGCAAATGTTGATTTTAAAAAAAAATGGCCAATTTTGAAATTTCATCATATTACATTTTCAATAAACAGTGTATACATTACATGTTCAAAACCGAATGTCTGCGTTAAAAATAAGACAAACCCATAACGTTGAAAAAAAACAATTCTGATATTTGTAATAAATTATGAATTAAAGAAATGTATCTGATATTATTACATTAAAAAGGCTTTCCACCTTGCTTGGCTTAGAGCTGAGACAGGTTCACAATATCTCCAAGTGCTTCACAAAGTATGTAAACTCAGACACTAGTAAAACTGTCGTACGAGAACAAAGACAAAATTTTCTATATAAGTGTTAAAGGATAAAGTATGAGCTGAAAATGTTGTCTAACAGACGACGAAAGCTTCGCAAATAAACCGACCAGCTTAAAGGACACAACTATTAATTATATTTATTATTTATTATATCCTTTAATTCCTAGAGGAACATAAGGCTTCAGCCGCGCGTCTCCATTGCCTTCGGTTTTCTGCCAACTTTTCCAACCCACTCCAAGTTTGCCCACACGCTTTCATCTACTCTTCACATGACCTCCTCCAAGTCACCCCACTCTCTCTCGCACTGACGACCAACTCGCCGCCCCCTTCCCTTTAGGGTTCCACTCGAGCGATGACTTGTCTAGTGATGTCACTTCATGGTTTCCTCAGAGTATCACCACAATCCAATCCATCTCCATTTCTTCCTGCCTATTTGTTTGACAATCGGTTCCTGCTGGGTTGGCTCGCTCATTTCCAGAGATCCATCTCTGTTGATGATCTTTTCTGGCCGGCCATCTGATCTTGAGTGGTATTGAGCGAAGACAGCTAGCTGTTGATGAAGGTCTGTAGTTTGTTGGAGATGCTCTTTATGACGCGCTGGCCAAGTCTCTGATCCGTATGGAAAGTAGCACTGACTTCACTTTGGAGTTGAAAATCCGAATGTTATTTTTGATGGTGAGTGATGTTGACCTCCACACAGACTTGGTGAGATTAATGAAAGCTTGTCTTGCTTTCCCGATGTTCTTGGCTTTGATGTCCTCGTCAGTTCCGTCGGCCTGTAGTTGAAACGATGCTTCCTAGGTAGGTGGGTAGGTAAAGGAGGTTGTTTCCTTCAGGTTCCTCCCATTTATGCTGACTGATTGTTGTCTGTTGTTCTTGCTTTCGTTGTTGCTGCTGATGTTGGCCAGGAATCTTCATCACCTCTGTTTTATCTATGTTCCCCTGAAGGAAGTCCTATCTTCTCTGGATGCTTGTTCTGCCAGCTTGTTCCTTTTCACTTGCATATCTTCCGATTTGTAGGAAATCAGACATATATCATCAAGGGCGAAGTCCAAATCCTCCACGTTTTTTGTGTGAGTCCATTCGATGCCTGTTTCCTCATTGCCCATTGTCTGTCACATTATCCAATCTACAGCAATCAGGAAGATCATTGGCGATAGTAGACAGCCAGCTTGCCTCACTTCCGTCCCCACTTCGAAGGCTTCCGTAAGTTTCCCGTTATGGATTACTCGGCATTCATCACTGTCGTATAACTGTTGGATGAGATGTATAATTGTCGATGGGACCCCGTATTAGCGAAGTAGTTGCCTAATCACCTCTCGATAGACGCTATCGAAGCCCTTTTTAACTATACTAGAATCAAATAATATGTGCATTTGGTATATGCATTCAAAATTGACTTTGAGAGTCATACTAAATTGTGAAATATTATTGTGGTTACCTAAAATGGCTTCACTTAACATTATTAGATGGCACACAGGTTGAAAAAAATGGATTCTTACTACAATCAAACATTAATGTAAACTACGCCTTATAGTTGCTAATACTTATTAACCCGATAGTAACAAGCATCTGTACTTCGTTGGTTCAATGCTATAGTATGCTTATTTCCCAAGTGAGAGGTCTCAGTTGGATTCCCTGCCAAATTACTCCTTAGCTGTGTGCAGTTTAGTAGTAGCCCGTAGTAAGTCTAGAAAAGAGGGGAAGTTGGCCGTGTGGTTGGCAACATTATCCTCTAAAAAAACATCACCACGGCTACTGAAACTTCAGAACTTGAACTTCCACATTCCACATAGAATAAAAAGTATGGAAAAAAATCTATTTCCATTAGTTGAATCTGTATTTTTATCGAAATCTATTTATTTGTCTTGACTACTACTATTGTTTCACGGCAATCATCAGGATAATAATAATAACAAATTATACTTAATTCTTATTAAAGAAATCTTAAAAGAAAATTGTATAGACTCCTACTAATTTTTGGATTCTGAGACCTTATGAATCATCAGCTAATGGACATGCAGTCGAAATCATATTCAGTGGCTGATTAATTTTGATTTTTAAAAATAAACTTGAGTAGAATACCTCATGTCTGTTGATATGAAGATTATCTTCATCCAAAAATAAAACTGTAAAGAGCAAATTATGATGTGTATAAAGTAGCGCTGTTAGCAATTTGAAGAACCTACGCCTTCCAAAAACACATAACACTAGAGAATTTTACGCGTTGATCACAAAATTATTTGATAACTGTACTACTTTATAGGTATAAGTGAATGAATACTTACCAAATGCAAAACTGAAAGTGCACCAGCAATAGACTGAGGTGCATTAAAATTTGGTGTACGTATGTGAAACATGATGTAGCCAACCTGTTGAAATAAAAAAGCAAACTTTAAGCTAACACCATGCATACTGAAAGAAAAATAAAGTAGATTACTTACACTATGATTTAGCATATATACACCAGTAGTGCAGGCAAGTTAAAATCAAGTTACAATATAATTCATAAAGTGTAAATTTTTTGCGCAGACTGATTTGTCTAAATTTATACAGAGCGAATAGAGATGTAGTTTGACAGTTTTCTGAAGGGTAATGACACTTGTCTGTTTTTTTCCCACTCATACACTAATTAGCCAGTTAATTATTTAGAGAATTTATTAGTACATTAGCAGTATTCCCCCGCCTAAACTATATGTTTAAAGTGTTTTAACATGCCATACGTAAAATGTAAAACAGAATACAATTTTGATTTATCTAAGACTTAGAATACAGAAATTATTTTGCTGATGATTATGCCGACTGAGTTTCAGAATTAGTGAAAAGCGACTTCGTTATAAACAGAAACAATTTAGTTCATTAAACTCTCTTCACAAAATTTATCTGCATACTTCAACCTGAGTTAGTTAACAGAAGATTAAAGGCTGTGACACAACAGAGTAGGTGGTTTCAAAACACATCTAACACACATTTCCAGAGTAAAAAGTTTGGTATTAACAAAAAGTCATGTTTAATTTCCTTCATTAATAAAATTGCTTCGAAATAAATTTAAATAAGTCATACTGCAATTGGTGGATGGTGGCTAGCAGTGGAATCCAGGATGTGCATTCCATCCTATTTGGGACTTGTCAGCTGGATGTACCTGCATTTCTCATTGAGTGATGATGCTCCCACCGAATCCACTGCTAGCCACCATCCACCAATTGTATACTAATTAAATTTCCAGACATCATCGAAGTATCTGCACAAGAAGCCGACATGTCAACCTGAAACCGAGCACTTCGGTCCAGTCAATCGACGGGAAAATCAAAAATTCAATTCGATAAGTCATACTGCAGTTTAATTTCTAGTACATTTGTAAACTATTGAATCGCTAGAGCCTCACAGACATCATATATTCGCTCTGTATGTCATAGATGCCATAACCATATATGAGATCAACGGAAACAAAGGAAATATACTTTTCTTTGCCTATGTTACTAACATTAAAGTTATTACATACATGATATATGAGTGTAATCATAGCGACTTATCCTCTTGTGTTTATCCAACATTTTAATTCTCTAAATTCACTTCATAAGTATGGCCAAAAACAAACACCATAATGTATATTGCTTGGCTCAAAACTTGTGTCAAATGTTAAAATATAATTGGCAGTTTATATGCTTTTCGTGAAAAAAACTGATTTTTTTTAACCACTAAAATACTTCAGTGTACAAGATTCCAAGATTTTCCAAGATCTTCCGAACTACCAGACTTTCACTACCACTAAAGACAATGTTTATGGTTTACTTCTAAAATTTCCTTGGCTTTTGAATAGAGGGTTTGTATTAGTTTCATCGGTCGAGATTCAGAATCACAGTTATTTTGCCAGTGATCATAGTAAATAACTTGACTGACAGGTCCCATGAATTTAATAATTCCCAATGTGACATTAAAAACACAATATTCAGCGAAGAAACTCTCCTCAAAGAATTTATTATCGAGCTGTATAATCGTATATATATATATATATATATATATATATATATATATATATATAGTTCTTAAGAAATTGTATCTCGTCAGGAAATTTAAACGGTGTGAGTACTAAAAATTTTTACGAGTTGATCACGGATTGACATCAGTTAGAGAACCATTGAAAACCAGGGAGTACTGGACAGCCGCTGTTTCATCCTAGTTAGGGAATCGTACTTAATCACGAATTGGTAGAAGTTAGATCTAATGAGCCGTTGAATCGGGTCCCAGTGGCTGAATGTTATACGAGATTGCCTTGTAAGCGGAAGGTCCTGGGTTCGAATCCCAGTGGGTGCGCCCTGTCGATGATTCTCAAACTAGGATGAAACAGCAGCTATCCAGTACTCCCTGGTCTTCAATGGTTCTCTAACTGATGTCAATCCGTGATCAACTAGCAAAAACATAACTAACCCTTACAAACCAAAAGTATAGAAAATAGTGTGAAATGCAGTTAAAATCTTTTTTATTATTGTCATACTGTTGACTTCAGTTTCAGATGCGAACAAGATTCTATGATTCTTGTAATATTGACACCACTATAATAAGTAGAAAATGGAATATCTCTTATCTCATTATCAGTTTCTTTTCAAGTCTATTTTGGTGGTCTCATACCATGTTGATTCCTGGGAAAATTTTCGTTTGACTCATTGCATAAAAAGCTGAGATCTTACAGCTTATTAATTAACCTATTCTACCCATTCCCTGAACTTCTTATGAAAAACCGCATCATATTACGTAGGACACTTAAGGTTGTAGGTAGGGTTAGTGGTGTCCCTCTGACTCAACTAACTGACACTGTTAGCGGTAGACATTTAAATTTTTGCAAGCAGTTGGCTAAAATGATCTTTTCTGATGCCGAACGTCTTTTTTATTCGCAACTTTACCCTTGTATATCTTCGGGGTTTGCTCGAAGAAACTTCATAAGAGTTTATGCTTGTACAGCTGAATATAGAAAACGTCTGCCATACCTCGGGTTTCGTGTTAAGAATCAGATATCAAATAAAAAGTTACAGAATTTTTAAATCAGTAAATGAATTGCGAAGAATATGTAAAGCTTAATAATACACGTATTATCTATGATATTATCTATTTATCATTCAGTATTTTTCCAATAATCTTCAGTTTTTTATGGTTTTATTATTAATTTTTAATTTTATGTATCTATATATTTATAAAAGGAGCTAAACTGATGAAATATGTGTTAAAACACTGGGAATTCCCTTCTGTAAAATTAATATAGTCAGGAATAAAGTGATTATTATTACATAACGTTTAATATTTGGCTATGGATACAATAACTTCCTATCCCCTTTCCAAAAGGTATATATTCTATTGACGTTTCTAAATATAACATTATTTTTTTGAACCCAGAAGGTCCTGGGTTCGAATCCCGGTGGGTGCGTACTGCTGAACAGTCCCAAACTAGGACCAAACAGCTGTCCAGTACTCCCAGGTTTTCCAATGGTTCTCTAACTAAGGTCAGCTCATGATGAAATCCTGTAAACCATTTGATATTTAATTGTGATTTTGATCACAAACATTTTAATTGCATATCGTACTATTATTGTTGTAAGTATTCACACTTACATTTAAATTTCCTCATGGGGTACATTTTCTTGATATATATATATATATATATATATATATATATATATATATATATATATATATATATGGTTGTACAGTTTGACAGTAAATCTGTTGAGAAGAGTCTCTTCGCTGAGAGGTTCAAGCTAACACATTAAAGTTCAGCTTGAAACAAGGATTACTATTTGTGTATGAACCTCAGCTGGTTATGCCTACAATCATTAAGTCTTGTTGTTTAGTTCTACTGATAAGTGACAAGAAGAGAAAAACCTGTTGAATTCTTTCCAACCATAAAATTGTATTGTTTACAAACCATATTATAATACTTCGCCGATGATATATATCTGATTTCCCACAAATCGGAAGATATGCAAGTGAAAAACAACTAGCTGGCAGAACAAGCATCCAGAGAAGATAGGACTTCCTTAAGGGGAACATAGATAAAACAGAGGTGATGAAGATTCCTGCCCAACATCAGCAGCAACAACGAAAGCAAGAACAACAGACAACAATCAGTCAGCATAAATGGGAGGAACCTGAAAGAAACAACCTCCTTTACCTACCCACCTACCTAGGAAGCATCGTTTCAACTACAGGCCGACGGAACTGACGAGGACATCAAAGCCAGGAACATAGGGAAAGCAAGACAAGCTTTCATTACCCTCACCAAGTCTGTGTGGAGGTCAACATCACTCACCATCAAAAATAACATTCGGATTTTCAACTCCAATGTGAAGTCAGTGCTACTTTCCATACGGATCAGAGACTTGGCCAACGCGTCATAAAGAGCATCTCCAACAAACTACAGACCTTCATCAACAGCTAGATGTCTTCGCTCAATACCGCTCAAGATCAGATGGCCGGCAGAAAAGATCATCAACAGAGATGGATCTCTGGAAATGAGCGAACCAACCCAACAGGAACCGATTGTCAAACAAATAGGCAGGAAGAAATGGAGATGGATTGGATTGTGGTGATACTCTGAGGAAACCATGAAGTGACATCACTAGACAAGTCATCGCTCGAGTGGAACCCGAAAAGGAAGCGGGCGGAGAGTTGGTCGTCAGTGCGAGAGAGAGTGGGTTGACTTGGAGGGGGTTATGTGAAGAGTAGATGAAAGCGTGTGGCAGACTTGTGGCGGGGTGAAAAGTTGGCAGAAAACCGAAGGCAATGGAGACGCGTGGCTGAAGCCCTATGTTCCTCTAGGAATTAAAGGATATGATAATAAAATAATAAATAATTATAATACTTATTTTCAAAATAAAACAAGCAGAATTTCTGCACTTACTAAATTGTTGAACAAAGCATGTGCAGTTTGCGTAGGCAACTCTGGTAAACGTTGAATCATTTTACGTAGAATGAACATTAGTTCATCTTTATTTTTAATACGTGTAAGACGTTCAAATATAAATCTCAGAAATAGTGTTGTATCTTCTAGTAGACAATTGAATATCACGTATTCAGCGATTGTATTAACTGAAATAAATTAGGAAAACACATGATAATTGAACAATAGTTAGACATTTTCAGAAGTGAGATTGACCTTAAGAAATAATCTCTATATAATTCTCAGATGTAATATAACATTCTAGGCGCTGACTTTCGATTCCCCTTGTTTACCACCTAGTTTAAAATTTAGTACATTTAAAAGTCAGAAATGCAAAAATTGTGCAGGTCGAATGGAACACGACAGAAAAAAGAGGAATAAAGTAAATTCTGGTATACACTCCACCTATTGAAACTCAATAGGTGATTTTAGAAGACAGTATTGCGGTAAATGGCCGTTAAACGAATCTTTATAATATATGAGTGAACATGTTAGAAATCTTGTTTGATTTACATTTTATAATTATTTGAGTAATTCTGCTAAATAGTTGGAGGCAGTCCCTACAGGAAGTCTTGGACTTAGTTTTCATGCTAGTTGGTAATAGTCAGCAAGGCGTATCTGCAAGCTTGAAGAAACCCATATCCCTTTTGAGATTCGAACCCGCGTCACCCGGTGCTGCAGTCAGAGACGTTACCACTGAGCTATTCGACCTCGTGATCGACCTCCAGTGGGACTGTAGTGGGTATTTTGATTGGACACTAGTAACTGGTGCGATATGTCTAGTCCTTTCTTTGGTGCAGACTGAATTCTGTCAGTCAGGTTTGCAGTGTGGCCACCATTCTAGGTAGATCGCCATCACGGTGCACACTGATTTGATGATATTAGATGGCTGGAGGCAATCGGCAGGAAGCCTTGGACCTAGGTTTCGTGCTCGTTGATACTCGTCAATAAGGCGTGAATAATCTTAGTTTAGAATGTTTGGCATTAGATTATGCCTCCTTAAAATACACAAATAAGTGTAAAATTATAAATACAGAGACACTAAGTAGATTAAATTGGTCTAATGTAATGTTTGGTGATTAATAGAAAATATGTTAAATATTAATGATTGTGATAGTAAAAACAATTTTTAGTCACTATCCAGTTTCATAATCAGCTGAGTAAGATCCGAAATAACTTACCGGCTATTCCATGTTCATTGATTGCAGTATCATCTAAAAGATGAATTAGTGAAACGGATGCAGAGCATAAAGCTGATGGGAATACCATTTGAGCTTGTTGAAGTGGTTGTGATGGAAATAAAGAATGGAATCCACTTAACCAACGATCCTCATCTGAATGGTAAGCAAAGTAAATTTAAATCAACAATTAAAGTTAGTTTTATGATAATTTATGAAACTAGAGAAAATGTCGTTGATTTACAGTACAAAACAAAGATGATGTAGTCCTCTTGAGTAAAGTCTTTCGAACACTCTGGGCAAAAAAAATTACGTGTATTTGGCATAGTCTTGTCTTCGATTCTATCACATGTACGATTATGCTGCAGATATGAGGTGAAACAATTACTAGTTTTAAGATGGTAAAATATTCATTATGTTCATCCGTTAAGTTATTTGAGGACATCTGTCAATAATAAAGGGTTGTTTTTCGGCGTATCTCTAGTGCAGAATGTGCCGTTTTTCAACTTAACCATCTCTGACACATCTGGCTTTGCTTTATGTTGCTTTATGCATGGCATGATCAGTGAAAGTCAAAGATGTGAAATTTTATAGGTTTTTGATTATACACGCCTTAGTTCAGTTTTTAGGTGCAGCAGTATGACAAGTAATAATAAGGTAGGTGGCGAGGGTAGATAAGTGGATAGAACTGGAAAGCTCAATTCATTGAAATGGTTAAAACATATTCTGCACTTGCTGGTCCGCCCAGCTTCCGAAATAAGGCATTTCAAGTAAAGTGGAATTAAGTCTTAAAAGAGTTAAGAGTGATTAGAGCAAAACACGGTATCAATATAAAAAGTGTTTAAGCAATAGTCAGTCTTATTTAGGTACGTTTGGATGCAATTATTGAGATGTCTACGAATCTGTAACTAGGCTGCTGGTGAAATAACCTAAATCATTAAAAATGATGTAGATATATTCCAGATGTATTTTTCATCCTCTACATGTAGAAAATAATAAATAATCATATATCTTCATCCAACACAGATGTCTCTTGCTAAATAAGCTCTCCATGACACAAACTGAATCCTGGGTCACTAACTGGTTGCATTCCTACTTTTTAAACAGAATGCAGTGTGCCGTATACAAAGGCAAATCCTCCTCTACCGTGCTTACTGAAGCTGGTGTCCCCCAAGGTGCTGTACTTTCTCCACTTCTTTTTTCTTTCTTTCTACATGACCTACCATCTTCAAATGACATTAAGTTTGTCAAGCATGCTGATGACCTGACTGTATCTTTACCTGTCAAATGTCAAAAGGACTGCACTAAACTAAACGGCTTTTTTATCAGAAGTCAGCCAATGGTCTAAGGAAAACGGTCTCACCTTAAACCCCTCCAAATGCCAAACAGTTAATTTCACCTTTAGGCACATATCTGACCTAAACAAACTCATTAGCACTCACGAGGTGTGCAACATTGATGGCACTGAAATAGAAACCAAGTCAGAAATTAAATACCTAGGCGTCATTCTATCTGCTGATCTTTCTTGGTCGTCTCATATCTTGATGATTTCTAAGAAAATATTCCGTCTTACTTTCTACATCAAGAAGTTAAGACATTCTGATATAATCCAACCCAACCCTTACTCCTATAATTTGTTAACTCCCGTATTCTGCCTATTATTCTCTATTGTTCCCCCTTAGTTTTTCAAGGGCTACTGAAGAAAGACTATACTTTATTACGCAGGATTTTAAAGGTTGTCAGCAGGGTAAGCAGTGTGCCACTTAACCAGTTTGTTAATATTCTGGTTGACAGGCACATGGACTCATATGAAAAATGGGCTGAATCCATCTTACCTAACTCACATAACCCTCTTCATTCACAACTCTCCGCTTGTATCTCATCAGGGAAAACCAGAAGCCTATATAGAAAACTATATGGTCGCACTAGTAAGTAGAAAAACTCAACCATACCCTACTTAGCTCGTGTTCTGTACGATGAAGAAAGCATTAGGCATGAAACTTATTATTATTATTATTATTAAATAGTCAGCAGAACAACTGGATCTCGTCTTTCCAACTCATATCATTTATAGGTACAACGTTTTCTTTCCCTTTTCTCTCTTTTTTTCTGTTATGTGCTGCTTTGTTTCTTTCTTCTGCTTAAGCCAGTAAATATGCTAGAACCTACTTTTCTAACACCTTCAAATACTGTTCAATTTTGCTCTGCTACCGACATGCTAATATGTTGTTGTCAAAGCTAACTGAGATTACCCTTAATCTACGTAGAATTTTATTTTACTGTTAATTTACTAACTGAATGCAATACTGTAGTAAAATGCTGAGAATTCCATTCTGTATCACAAGTACTGTTTTGGAATAAAGCTATTATCATTAGAATTAGTTTGTTAATGTTTTCATTTCCACTGTGTTATTCAGAACCTATCCTAATCACACATGAGTTGATTACCACATAGTACGCAATCAGTTAGCTAAGTTTATCGTTATTGTTGATTAAAATCTCTTCATATGGGATGATTTAAATTACCACATGAGGATTCAATATTTCCCTCTGCACTCTACTAAGAATATAAATTGGCAGGAAGTAAGTAAATGGATTATACAATTGAGTAATTCGTAGATTTTTTCTGAACAGTTCATGCTGAGCACATTTATGAAAACAGTTCGAAACGTTTGTTAGCAGTAAATCGTAATAGTTTCACCGGCCAACATTACTCACAATGACATTTTTAAAATATGGTTGAATGAGAATTCTACTACCAAAATAAAATGTGTCACATAGCTTTGTTAGTATTATTCTTACTTACCGTCATGTGCTACAACACTGTTTCTTAACCAAGGTATTGAACTCTGACGCCAAGATAAATTACGCGCTTGATTTAGCACAGTGCGGTTAATTGGTGCAAGACTCAGTCTTCGAACAGCTGCAGTATATTCATCCTGTATTGAACTGGAACCTCCAATCTGTCCAGCAGTTGTTCCACTGTTCACTGTACCAGAATTCGTCAGACCTTGAGTGAGATAATAAATGAAAACTGATTGTTTATTTCACAGTTAGCTAAACTAGGGCAAAAGTATACAAACTAAAAACAGAGTTTAAGATTGCATTCCGAATATTTCACTGTTAATATTTTCAACTTCAAAAACAAATTTCCAAATATAAACAATTTTAAAGAAGAGCAAGAGAGTCAGAAAAATCTTATCAAATCCTGTGTGAGCCGTTTTTAATAAGCAAGAAATCCTTTGTTCATTAATTCTTAATAGTCGTTAGATGACAAAGGAAAGGTGGGAGTATGTTCAAAACGTTATGAAACAAAACATTCACGTGAAACATATTACTTAGGTGGATGGATATTAGGTAGCGAAAGCATATACTCAGAAATCTATTTTACTGATATACTGTTTTGCATATAACTTCATAAACTGAAATTACCTAGTTAAATCATAAAATTATCTGTTATGCTCTGAACAGGTCAACAAAAACTGATTATGGGTAACTCCACAGTACCACAGTGCCCAAGTTTTATACTGATTAGGAGGTAAACTATTTTTGTTCCTTGTCTCGTCTCCTTAAGTAGTAAGTACTGATTACACTGATGTTGACTGATAAGTTTGTGAATATTTGAACTAACCACACAATGCGAAACACTTTTAACTTAACAAAGTGTGGCTCATGAATGTAAAGTTTTATTATTTAGACCACAGACCATCTTAAGGTTTTTTTTAATCAAGCCAAATGTTCAGAATACAATTAGTCAAACAGGTCTATACAAGGAGTAGACACACAGATGAAATAATAAACATACTAGAAGGAATGTTCTTTTAATTAAGTGATAGATAAACACTCTCTATGGACAATGTAGACAACCCACTTATTGAAGTTCATACTAGGGAAAAAGCTATACTGCACTATGATATAAATCACCTAAACTTATCCACACACTATCCACATTTAAAGTTATTCAATACTGGTTTGCCCGTTACTCCGAATATTATTCATCATTGTGTTGTGATACGTGTTTCAGCTGGTCTTCATTGAGACTGCCCTTTTAGTAATTTATGCTGCACAAATAACAAAATTTAGTTGGACCCTAATACATTGAAATATTGTAGTGCATTTTTATTTCAACAAATTTGTTAGTAACTTTTAACGGTTTTTATATTATATTAAAATGCCTTCAATAAAATGTGGTTTGTTTTAATCAGTTAATAATAATGACAATAATAATCAAAAATATATTTTGATCTTACCATCATCAATGTTACTTTCATCTCTATGTTCTTTATTAAATGCAGGTTCGATAGCAGCTCGTTCTAGAACAGGACACGTTGTCAGGTGAAACGACTGCCTTGCTTCTCTTCTTCTCAATGTTTCTGTGGCTATGGCACGAGCTAATAACTCCTGTTGTTGCTTACGCCTAGATGTCGAAGCTGTGACAAACGTTTTCTGATAAGAAAGAGAAAGAACATTTTGTAGTAACAGGGGGATTAAAATGGAATCAATCAAACATGGAACTGCATCCAACCCAGTTTTATGAATCTTTTCAACTTGTTTTGAAGAAGAGTTTCGGTTATTCAATCCAAAAAGTTGGCTAAGTAATTTTTGCGGTTTCACGAATATTTTTCATTCTATCATTTTTTATACGCTGTACAGAGATTATTTTTGATTCACATAAAAACAATGAAACTCGTGCATCCAGCTGAGTAGTTCAGGTGAAATTTAGAAATATAATCTTATTTTAAATCAGTAGTTATAGTCCTTCGTGGCAAAATAAATCCTGTTCCCAGTAACTAAGTTGCTAGGGTCCCCTTTGCGACTAAGACTCACATCAGTCTAAGCAAGATTTTTTCTTTAGCAGACTCGGCATTTATCACTCCAGGCCACTTTAAATATAAATCCACAATAAGCAGAGATTAAAAAAACGGTCACAAAAATCTGCGTGTCTCACAGGATGGAGAACGTGGATTCTTCAACGATTTGTGTTTAAAATATTTCAGACAGATAATTATCAGATTAACAACATAAGTTTTCGTACAACAGGATGTTAAGCGTGCTGATGTTCTTTCTTTTAAGGCGTGCAAAATTAAAGTTGGTACAGTACATCTCAATGCAGATGAAATAAATATTACACCGTTCGTATACAAAAATGCTTCAGGACATAATGAAATTTGATCTCTTTATTTAATGTAACTGTGACAACTTACATTAGCTACTTCAACCATATTTTACTGTCAACCAGGAATGGTAAGGTTAATAAGCAATCATTGTCATTAGAAGAACTGCTGATCGACGTTATCAGCGTGTGTTAAATAGTATATATAAATAGTATGTATTCTGCATTGCAGTATAAGATGGTTTACATGAAAAATTTGCATAGATGGTAAGTTTCAAAGCGCAGTTCTTTTTGTTTTGCACCTACAATAAAACTAGTACAGACAATAACAGGCGTTACAAGCAGTGTATTCCACAAATGCATGTATGCGTATAGTTTCTAGAATATTCTTTTTTTCCGAACTCAAAAGATAAAAGTCAACAGGGTTTTATATCTTCATTCCAAGTTTCTACTTATAACTCATCTTTAGTTAGAATAGCTAATTATATCCACATTTTAGTAGTATTTTAATTATATAATGTTATAGCAGTAAGACATATTTTATAACTTGATATTCACCGGTGAGATTTAGAAAATGAATTTACATGATGAATTATTTTTATAACATTTTATTTTCACCAACATTCTGATTTTTTTAAAACACGTATAACGGTTGGTTAATTAAAAATTTGACAAAATAATTTGATTAGACGACGAGTTATAATACAAAAAACAACTCACTGTAGCTTCGTTTTGTTTCAGTTGTACTTCTTCAGCCGATGTACCTTTACGGATTTGCCAAACAGGGTCGGGTGCTTCAAACCCAGGATAGCCCAAAGTTGGTGAAGGCAAGACAAATTCAATAGATGGTGGTGGTACTCTCAGTTGATTGGATGCATTTTCTTCGAGACGTGACCAAACATGAAAACGATGACACCATAGTGTTCTGAATCTGTAGAGTGTTACACAAAATAAAACCTTTAAAATCGCCCTATACGAAAACTTTTTAAGTGATTGATAAATTAACAACTAGGTGCACTTTTCTGCAGATAGAATAATTGAAAATGAAATCTAATTTTTTTCCGAATATTTCTAGTTCTTTTTCGAGAAAGAGCAGAAGAAAGTTAGTAAGTTACTGACGCCTAAACAGACAAATAAATAATAATTAATGTAATTCAGTTCTTAAGAGATACCGTTAAAGTTATATTTCATTTAAATATCTTTGAGATTTCCGAAGAATATCAGACAGTATTGATGGCAGGTCATTTTTTTCCTGTGGTGGCTGTATAAAATTATTTTACAGGCAAGAGGGAGGCAGAAAAATAAGGTTTCCCTGGTTGTTAAGGGCTATTCATCTTTTAATCTAGATAAAACGTTAGTATACAATTGGTGGATGGTGGCTAGCAGTGAAATCGAGGATGCGCATTTCGTCCTATCTGGGACTCGTCAGCTGGATGTACCTGCATTTCTCAGTGAGTGACGATGATGTTCTTGGTCCAATCAATCTACAAGGAAATCAAAAATTCAGTTCAATAATTAATATGACCTATTGCACAAGTGATGGCTCTCGTGGCTCAAGTCGTCTAGTAGATAACGCTTTGATGTTTGAAACTATGAGCACTGGGTTTGAGCCTCGGTGAGAACATCATCATCACTCACTGAGAAATGCAGGTACATCCAGATGACGAGTTCCAAATAGGACGAAATGCGCATCATGCATTCCACTGCTAGCCACCATCCACCAATTCTATACTAATTAAAGGCCCAGACATCGTCGAAGCATCTGCACAAGAAGCCGACATGTCAACCTGAGACCAAGCACTTCGGTCCAATCAATCGACGGGAAAATCAAAAATTCACTTCAATAGATAAAATGTTGATTTTAAAAGTGACTAGAAGTGTAGGTTTCTTTGGTTGGGATCTGATTTAAGATCTAAAATCTATGAGTAGTGGCTTGAAATAGCTCAAACTATAGAACATCGGTATAAATGCATTGTTCTTCACCTTGATGTTTTGGTGTTTTGAGACTTCCAGTCAATATAAAATACATTTCTTTGTTTTTTCTTTTAATATTTTCTGCCATGAGATGGAAATATCAAGTGTGACAGATTGAACTCTATGATGTTCAGGCTAACTCACATGTCAAGAATGGTACTTCGAGTGTTAATTTTGAATTCTAAATAGACCGATCGTAAATCAGTACCGCTATAAAGAGAAAACTGCATGCGTGAACGTTAAATAGTTCAGAGAACAGGATATTTCTTACATTATCAAAAAAAAATAGCAAACTAAGAGGTACTTTCACCAAAATTATTCTTCTTAGACAATATGAAAGGCCTAAATGTTTTCGTGCTAACCCATGCTCAACGCATCAACATTAGCTACATGTTCTAAATAATATACACAAATATAAACTCGTCAAACGATTAAAGCGTTTTTCATCAACCCTTATTTGTTTTTAAAACTTAAAAGGATAAATTTACATATATCAGCAAATACTGTTTTTCAGAATAGGCTAAGTAACATGTTGAATAGCGTTTTTAATGCTTCTGGCAAACGCATTTTAGGACGGAAAAAGAATTCTAGTAGGTAGATAAACACCACTCACCTTAAAATAGCATTAAATCGTTGCGTTGGCTTTTCGTGCCTCATTTCTTCCAAAATCATTTCTTGAACAATTTGTGGACACCGTACACCACAGAACAGTATGAAACAAGCTGTATGAATGCCAAAGTATACATAAGATAAACAACGATAACTTAAAAGAAATAGTGATTCATCCAAAAGATAGGCTATTGGAGTCAAATGATTTAAAATTAGGCTGTTTAACTATCAGAAGTGAATAAGTACTAGTGTAACAACAGAAGACAAGTGTAAGGCAACAGATCGTTTTTAAGAAAATCAGCACGTATTTATATATATTTCACGAACATTATTATAGCTTATTCAAGCAGATAAACAAAGTCTTCTGATTGGTTGTTTCTTGTTCAAGGTTAATCTGTACTGCTTGTGACTGGTTTCTCAGAAAGTTAAGCCATCTATCTGCGAATCGTATTTGCCCACGTTAAGTCTGCTGTGATTGGTTGTTGAATCAGCCTTATTCATATTTTCTCACGGCCAATATTAGTGAGCTAGACATTGATGTAAATTAATGTCTACCAATTGGCTAGCAGCCTGCTCTTACTACACTAGGTATTTGTTGGTTCGCTATCTTCCTCATGATTGATTGAATAACGTACAAGTAGCTTCACTGATATCCATTCAACTACCTACCAAACACACGGAATACACTAGGATATATTTAACATCAGAAATAATATGTACTCAGCAATCTACTTCTTAAACTTTAGTGAAATCAGAAGTAACTCTATAGACTGTGTGACTCAATAGGAACATCAAAGGCAGGATAAACGCATAAGCTTTATTGATCACACAAACAGCCAATGGATGTAGGTTATCGTGGTCTTTTGTAAATGCCTTTAACTAATTAGCATACAATGATTTTACTAACTCATTATGAAAACGACTAGTAATTAGTTTACCAATGCAAAATACGAGACTCGATGCCAATTTGTATACAATCCATTCACTTGTCTTCTTACCTTGTTAGAAAATGTATTTTTAAACTTTGCAACAATTTGTACTTATCAGATCAGCGTGAATATACATATGTGTTGCTAATCACTTTGCCTCTTTATATTAACTATGATATTTGGTTAGATATTAAGAACTATATCCATGAACTTTTGTGGAAACATGACGTTATTTGGGTTTTTTATTTCCACGTAGTCCGCCGTAATTTCATTAGTATTTAGGATTAGTTTACAGTTGATGATATTAAGTGAATGAGCGATAATCTCTATAGTAGATATGTTACAAACGAGATACTGCTTTAGATAAAAAAAGGGAAATCAGTTGCTAGTGTGACTTTCAGTAGGCTTCTTTCCCTATAGCGATCTTATTTAGAATACAACTTCGGATATCCAGAAAACTCAGGTGTGCACAGTCAATGGTTACTCATATAATCTGCTAAGCATGCAGTTCAATTTCGCAACATAGGAAGAGCAATATCTATCTTACCTGCACTAGATGATAGTTCTGTTTCCGTTTCCAATAACAACTCCCATGCCAATAAAAGCATCTTGGCTAGCTGATTATTAGTAAGAAGCAAAGCTGCTTTATTTAAAAGATTGAAAGTGCTACTGCACAGATTCTTTACCTGAAAGAAGAAAAATTGTACGTGGGTTTCTTCTGTGAATACAAACAATATAAAGCATGCAATCGAATAGTAGTAGAAAAAGTTTTTCAGTCCTTCCAACTATTAACGAAACCTCCATAAGCTTATTACCTTGCTAGTCCAGGGAAAAATAGAGCGTTGGGTGTGGGGCTAGCGACCCAACTGCACATAAGATATCAAACTGCTACAGAAACATCAACGCAGTAACAATATATCAACAATGCAAAAATTTAGAAAAGGAACGCATTCTTAGCTCAAATACGAGAGGCAAAATGACAGGTGCTGGTGAAACACTTCCAGAAACCAGTCAGCCAGCCATCGTGTCTTCGCCCAATAACAACAATAAGAATGTGAACGTGGGATGCACGCACAATGCACAAAGCCAGATGGGAAGGGTGCCTAGGTATTCAACGAAATGTGAAGATATGGCCTAGAAGTACTGAGAATCTGCAAGAGCAAATGGAATCGATGTGCGTTGTCAAAATTGTCGACAGTGAGTCAGTTATCTACCTCGACCTGGTCACCCAGATGACAACCACGAGCACACTCAGGCATTGATTGGCTATCATGATGTCACCACTGACAGCCAGAGTCCTAATGCAGTGGGGACAAATTTCATCCTGCACCACCATGACACAAAGATTCAACTCAAGGTCAAGGAAGGTCACAATTATCATGCAATGCTAATCACACTGATACAAACAACACGAGACAAGAGAAAAATGAGGATTTCTCCTGACAACTACAAACAGTGATGTACATGACGAATGGCGACATCACATTCCCCATGGACGATATGAATTCCAACCGAACTGGGAGCAGACAACATAGGAAGAGAGGTCATCATGAGTCAACAGGCTCTCCCCCCACCGCTCAGCGAAATCAATGACAACAGAGAACTCTTCACAGACCACTGCGCTTCTAATGATTTGGAGGTCGGAGGGAGCGTATACAAGCACAAGCATGAAGTTCGCCTGACGGACATACCACAAACCAGATAGATCGAATCTCAATATTCCTGAAGGAAGTGGAAACGCAGCCTGTAGGACACTCAGTCGAGAAGGTGAGCAGATGTGGGTTCAGGCCATCATCTAGTTCAATGAATCTTCAGGGTGAAGCTGAAATCTCTAAAAACAACTGACGACGGGCCGTTGTATTCACGTTCAACATTCGGAAACCGAAAGACGCAACTACAAAAGAAGAAATGTTAAAATTTCACTATTTCTGGAGACATTAAGAATTCGTTGAACATAAGATGTAAAGCATTTGGTTCATTTTATCCTTGGTGATGACATCGTGCTACCAACGAAAGAATCTTTTGAATACAGTAAAAGAAGCCGTTAAACAGTAGTATCACCATCCTCAACCTCTAAATAATGCAATAAAGAATTCTTGAGGAGAGTTAGTAAACGGAAATTCCATGAAATCCGTTAGTATGAGAAACTGAAAAAATAATGAGCTTTTTAAAATTACCTGGAGAACAAGTAGATGTCTCAAGTAGATTTTTGTCTTCATGCAGATCAATATACAAATTATAAGTACAAAACTGTAAAGGATAAGTTGAGACTAAGTTGGAAGTTATTCAGTAAAATTCCACTGAAATAATTCATATCTGTCTCATCTTTATTCATATTAGTGTTTACGCATCACCAATTAAAATCAGTCAATCAATGTGACTAGTTTTACACGCAAAACTATCGCTTGCCACCCTTAATGCTGATCATACGATATATCTAAATTGGTAAATTACGAGTCATAGCTATTCGACCAGCATATAATCAATTAAGATGTAAGAAAATTTTGAAATTTTGTGAAAACAGCAGAGTACTATGCAACGCAGCGACACTTACATGATTATCCAAATAACACTGTATTGGTAGTTCTCCTATATGAGGTTTGCGAAATCGAACAGGTCGTCTAACCTGTCCTCTGATAGCATCATCATCATCATCTTCACAACCTGGCAAAATGTCACTTGTTCCATCTGCTTCAATCCCAAGTAGTGGTGGATTTAAACTAATACTTGGACGAGAATTTCTCAGAAGACCTGCACCTGCTCCAGCCAACATGCCTAGATTGATTAGACCTGTCAAACCAGGTGCATCACCTTCGAAAGAACTCAGATTAATCGAACGATAAGATGATTTCATCCGAATTTTATCGAGTAGATTCATGTTCTCACGACTTGAACTTGGTCCGATCAAATTTGACTCCTTAATTTTATTGTAAAATAAAGAAAACACAAATGAACTCAACAGAGAAAATTGATGGGTTCAAAAGACGGATGAAAGTATCACTCACTGCTATTTGATGATTCGCTTTTCAGTTCCACGCCAAGATTTACATTGTAATACAAAGTCATTAAATTTTTAGAAATGAAATGAGCTACTCATGAGTATTCAATGTCGTTATGCTGAATTATTTCCTGCTAGATTAGTCGAAAATATCGTCATCAGCTTAACACATAGCTTGAAATAACCAGAATGAAATATAAGAATAAGTACAGCCTACCACATCTGATGATGTCGGACTGAGATAAGATACCGAGTCGGAACTCTATTTCGCCAACCACCATACACTACTTCAATGAGCCTGATTTCCTAACCAATACATTGAGACTAAAATATTGAGTAGGTAACTAAAAATTAATTTAAAGTGTTAATGCATGAAAAAGTTGTCTGAGGAACCAAAAAGGTTAGCTGGTAAAGCCAATTTTGAGCAATTTTTACTGCTGCTGTGACACTTTTATTTTATATTATTTCCTTTTGAACTTACCGCCATATGTACAAGCAAGCGTACTCTAATGACTACAAGGCAGTGAAAAAAGTCAGAAATGCCATTTTTTCCTGCACGTTCCCAGTGGAACATAGGGCTCCAAGCTAGTGGCTTGAAGTTTCTGTAGCAGTGTTTAATTTTACAGGATGGGGTTGCTAGCCTCATGCCAAACCTTTCCCCTTTAGCAGGATTATTTCTGGCTTAGTGAGGTAAAGGAGTGCATCGGCAGGGGATCGAACCCAGGACCATATGCATGGTCGGTGAGCGTCCTAACCGCTGTGCCACCGACGCGCCATGCGTTACACTAAAATATGTCAAACTGGTAAATTAACAGCAGGGTAAACCAGTCTACACCCCGAATCTCTCAAGCTTCTGAGCGTCGGTGGCACAGTGGTTAGGACTCTCGCCGACCATGCACATGGTCCGAGGTTCGATCCCCTGCCGACGAAAACCTGATATCTATGGTCGGCCTACAAAATTTGGGCTGCCGATATCCATGCTGAAAATTCCATAATTGTACCAAAAATACAGTGTGGAATCAAGTTGTGATTTAAAAAAAAAATAATAATTCTGAAATTGAATCCCACAGTTCAATTTTCTACCATGTGGTTCATTCATTGAAGACTTAGGTATGTAGCCGTATATAGCCATTAACCTAGGCTAGACGACAAAAAATTATTCTGAACTGTAGTGTACTACACTTGCGATTGACAGAAAAACTCAGTACTCAATCCTGAAGATTTGAATCACGGAGGATTCATTATTTTCATCAAGACAACGCTCATTTCTGATGAATTTTAATAACTACAAGACCAGTTACTTCTAATACGTAACATAAAAAATGTTAGTATTTCTGCTAAATTGCTAACTCAAGGTAACTTCAATAAAACTGTAGACCTTATCGGCCAATATCTTTTAGTTCATCTATGTATGTCTGATTTCACTCTGATCAACCAGGCAACCAGACATTCAAACGAAAAAAGTCTTCATCTGTCTCGTGACTTAAAAACATAACTGCTGTTCCTTTGAACTCTTCTAATTTTTTTAAGCTCGTGTAAATTAGTTAAGTCAAGAAATATTTCTAAGAAAACAGTGATTGGTGAGTAAAATCGACTCACTTTTCTCTTAGCAGCTTTAGTGAACAGTTTTGATTTATTTTTCCAAAAGTCACTTCCAGGTCCAGATGTTAGGGTACCACGTTGCATCAACAGATAATTGTTCACATCAACATCATTATCACCTGATTTACTTAGACCGGTTAAACTGTCATTAGACTGAATAATATTTGTTGAACTTCTCAGTGTTTTATTCTTATTTTTTAAATTTCTGGCATTAATTTTTTCTTGATGTGCAATATCTGAATCAGAGAGATCTGTAGACTCTGCATGTGATGAATCTTCTTGGTCAGAGGAGTTTTCTGAACGTGAATAGTTTACCTTATTTTGGTGTATTAAGTTAAAAGATGACGGGGATGATGTGCCTGTATCACACACTGTGTTTGAACCACGGTATGATGTTGTTCCCATTGTTGCTGACGACAAAGCAGTAGTGTTAGTAGAAGTAGCGGAGGTTCCATTCGCGTTAGTACTACTACTTGGAGAACTCATATACTGACGATCAACGGATATAACGAATTTACTTTCAGTAGCTGATTCATATACCTGTTTTATTGCATTCAATAAATTTCGACACTGATGCTGTTGGTATTCGAAACAGTTTGAAGAACATGAGTTCTGATGATCACAATTAAAGTTTGTACTACAAAGCACATTGAAATGAACAAAATGATATTGTATTTAAAGAACCACTACCAACTGAGAAGCGAAATAAAGTGAGTTAAATAAATGTACAGAATTGTTTACCAGTTGTTTGGATTGATTAAATGCAAACTTTGAACTTTAAATTTGACATCACTTCTTATAAGATTGGTAAATACTTTGTAACTAGGTAGTTAGTTCACTTAGATTGATATGTACTAAGTTATTTCGAAATTTCACCATCAGGAATAGTCAATTCTCAGAATGCTTACTGAAATTAGGCCAAAAGCAGCAATTTAAACAGCAGAAATAATCTTCGGGTGTGTTAACTGCCGATATGTTAGAATGTCTGCGATCTCTCTCTCACACGATAGGTGGTATAATAAGGTAAGTAATGTTGACGTTAAACGTACAGTGTTGGGCAAAGAGGGAAAATCAATCGACGAGGCTGTAAAGTTACATAGATTGAGATGGTTAGGTCACGTGCTGCGCATGCCTAACCATCGCCTCCCCCGACGGGCATTATTAGCTAATGATATAGGTGCAGGTTGGAAAAGAGTAAGTGGTGGCCAAAAAAAACATGGCTTCATCAATCCATGAAATCCTTGACAGTTAAACTGAGTCAGGTAGGGAGATGCAGACTTCCGGGTTGAGGCCCTCGGGACTCTAGGAATCAATGGCTGGAGACAATAGGTGGCATGGCTCAAAATCGTTGTCAATGGCACAGATGTATTCAGTCACTGTCATCTTTCATATTTCTTTCTACAATTACCCACTGTGTTTCGCTCTTATACCTGTCAATCTCTATTAGTTCTATTCACTCATCTTGTCTACCTTTTTGTGCTATTTGGAACGTGGCAACTCGAACTGCTGCACTTCGGTGCCAAGTTCTATGTTGAACACCAGAGAGACAGACAGATGTTAGAATCGAAAAGAATATGCCTTTAAATTGATTGTAACTTCAAAATCCACAAGATATAGGTTTATATTCGTGTTCTGTGCAGGAACAAGGCTTTAGCAATTAATTCCAGTGATCAAGGAAGTTCCAGGTTGCCAAAGTATATATATATATATTTAGGAGAAAAGGATTAAAAGTTTTCAACTTTAAGTCATTCAACTTCAGAGAGTGGAATTAATGCAGCCAAACCTTTGATGGATTATTATATGTACTTCAACACTAGTTAAGGCAACAAAATGGGATACAATAACTTCACAAACACTAATAAATTCCTAATTCACTGGCATTTTAACTTTATCTAGTAATATATGATAATGACATACAATTTTCTCTACCAGTCTTGTAAAAACATTTCACATTTATATTACTGAAAAGTACACAACAATTGTAGACAATAATCGACAAACGATTTTATGTATATTTCAAAAGACTTTTATATTATAATATGACGTATTATTTATCCCAACAGCCATTCTTCCCAAAGATGTCTCAAGCTTACCATAGATATCACTACTAAATTTCGGTGCACACAAAATTACCTTAGCCACACAAAGACTTTACATTCATTGTCATCTATCATAAAACAGAGACTAAACTGAAGAAAGCTATTTTCAGGCGTTGGGTTGTTTTGATTAATTTGATTTGAAGGTGGATTTTCAAACAAGGACGATACAACTGTCTAGTTCATGATGATTTTTACTGGCAATCAGCTTGTGACGAAATTTACCATGGAATCAAATAAATCTCAACAAACCAATACATGAAAACTAATCCACTGCTTCATTGTCATTAATTGTGTAAAAAACTTTGTGGAGTTCCAGCGAAAAGTTGTGAGTGATGGGGCTCGCCAGGTCGAGTATGAGGAGAAATGCTAATCGATGTTCTTGGACAGAGGTGGTAAAAATTAATAATAGACGGGTCAGTGAATTTCGATTTGATCACTAACCACAGACGGTCTTGTTGAAGATCTTGCGTCCGATCCTGGGTGGGGATTTGAGAGTGAATTACCAAAAGCGTTCATCAATGTGGCAAAACAGTTCTGAATAGTTCGATTTACGATGAAATTCACTTTTTTAAAATTTAGATAAAGAATTCTAATTTTAGCAGCTTTTTGTTTATTTTACTTAGTTAAGCTTTGTCCAACTTAGTGGAAGCCGCATGTGAATGAGTGTTACAGATATCTCAGAAGGATTAAAGGTTTGGTTAAAAAAATTATATCCCTGTGAAAAATTATAACACCCCTATTTTCAGCATGCGAAGCATCTACGAAGTCTAAATATCATATTTGAAAGTTCAACTCACTAGTTTGCAAACTCTATAACAGCATCAATCCATGGCATATGCGATGTGTAGTCATCGGTATGATACGTTTCACCTTCTCCAGAGTAAATAGCGTTGTTTTTTAATGATCGTTTGGCTGAAAGAGCAGCTGATACTGAGCGCCGAACAGATGCATGGGATTTAATTGCTTCATCATGCCTAGAATTGTGTCTTTGCCTTGATCTTGAGCGTAAAGGATTCGCATGCGTTAGTGGTTTGCTTATATGACTCATCTGTATTGAGTTATGTTCTGTCTCATGATGAACTTCTTCCTGAACGTCATCCTCTGAAGCTGGAGTCCCCGGGTTATCAGTAGAATCATCAAAAATTTCAGTACAGACATCACCGCTGCTGGCACGATTCATTTGTCCTAGATGACTTGGATTTTGATCAAATCCTATAAATGATAAGATACAAAATAGCCTGTGAGACTTTAATGAATTTTGCCTATACATATTAGTAGACTGATTAAAGGGTTTAAATGATGTGCTATACAGGAAGTGCCTATCTAGTTTTACTTTTCTTCAACGCATGCTTCCTGTTTGACTTTTCTATAAAAATAAATACGTAAACGTGAAAATGAACCTGTGAAAATCAGTATGAACATTATGTTATCTTAAGATTTATTATCGGAGCAAAATCTTTAAAATGACTGACCGTTAAGTAAGTCGGATCCACGAGAAGTGAAACATCTAAAACTTCCAGATCCTCGATGACGACGAAGAAGACTTTTACTGACGGATAAGCGATCTGTGAAGAATGATTAAACAACATTCGGTAGTTTTTGAAGCTCAGATGAATATATATTTATACGTTAGCAAATTTTCATCAAAGTTTTAATTACGACAGTAACTATTTACCAAAGTTGAATACTGTTCATCAGTAATCTCAGACATCTTCCATATAAACTTTGATGTGGAGTAGAAGAGACCTATCAAAGACACGGAATATGCCCACTGTAAGACTTGATATACCGTTTAGTTGTCCACTGAAAGAGCAATGCATCATAGCATTGAAGATACTGAGCAAAAATATGATGCTGTGATTTATCTTTGACATAAAATATATCCTCATACAACACAGCCTAACAATGAGGCTGGTAAACAAATTAAAGAATATAGACGCTATTGCCAACGCAGTATCACTTCAAAGAAGTAATTTGCTAAAATGTGAAGACTCTTAGGCAATTTATAAGTGTGCAGAATACGAGGGAAAAAGAAAATTAGAACGTTATATTGCTGATAAGTAATGTAGTTCTAAGCTTTACACAAATCAATACTTTTTTGGTGTATTGGCTTGTTCAGTTGACTTACAGGTGGGGTGATTTATACACCTCAAACATTACTTCATCTACACTGAAATAAAATAAACGTATGGTATGATAAGATCTCAGGCATCAAATTTGATTAAGCAGCCAAACATAATTCTATGCTAAACTGAATTTTCATTCACAGTTTGTTATAATAAGTTACCACTTTTATGAAAGGTATAAAGTGATGTTGTGACTTGACTTACGTTGTGGTTCATTTGCTTCTAATGACTGATCAAGATGGTTTGCACTTGCAGCTGTAGACTCTGATGATTCTTTAGAATCTCCCAAGACTGCAAAGCTTATGCGTCTTGAAGAAATAGTTCGACGACCAGAAATCGACTGATCAGTAGCTGAAGCATTGTGTTTTATAACAAAAGAAATGTGTGAATAATAAGTGTAATTCAGAAAATTGATTAAAGAAAAAGAAATAGTGGAGTAAATATCCATCTCATTATTTTAATAGAGTTCAGAGACCTTTCCATGTCATACAGTTGCAAACTCCAAAAGATTTCTGCATTCGTCGAGAAACGCACATTTTACTCGCAGCCACTGCCAATAGAAAAATGTAAGTAGTAATGACAGAGACCAAAAGTCTAATATCAGTAGTATCTTGAAATCTCATGTCCTACTTAGTTCCGTTAGTCTGAAACTAAAAGCCATTTTGACGTGTATCAAAAGCATAATTACTGTTAAATTTCGGTCTTGAGAATAATACATCTAGCCAGTGATTATCGGGCTAAATTCTGGACCACACATCCATCTCACTTAGTTTAAACAGATAACGTAACAAGTCCTGAACAAATTTTTTAGGTCAGTGTGCATTTCCTGCCGATAGATTATACTGGATCGAAATGCTTGGCCTCTGTTGACAAGCCGGTGATTAGTATGAACGCTTCGAAGACTATTAAGAATTAACATGAAGTATTTCTAGGTTAGTGGTAATTTTTGGATGTATCTGCATTTCCAGTGTGTTATGGTGTTCTCGAAACTCAAGTACAGCAATCATAGTTTCAAATGTCAAACCACTACTTCCTAGGCTCCCGTGGCCTACGTGACTAATGCTTTGGCATCAGAAACGATAGGTTCAGGGTTCGAGTCTCAGTGGGAACACCACTATTCACTGGGAGTGGAGGTAAATCCAGCCAACGAGTAACAAATAGGAAGAAATGTGCATCATGAATTTTACACTGCTGACAACATCTACTAAAGTAAGGCATTTGCATTATTAGGCAGTCATTTCAAGAGACTGGTATTAAATTGTTGAATATTAACAGCATTTTCTGTTGATTTCTTGACAGTGATCCTGGTTAGTCAGCAAGAATCTAAAAGGTGTTAATTGTGAAGTGGATTTTTCAACTTATAAAAAGCGTTACACAACTATGACCTCAGTTTATATTTGATGGGCCATTCCAGATATTAGTAGTAAACTGTATATCATGATAAGTGTAATGCGGCAAAAAGATTGTTTTAGTATTACCTGAAACGACTTTATTAGATCTCAATTATCTCAACGTTTGTTTACTTTACCGCATATGGATAACAGAAAAACTGAAGAACAAAGATACACTGAAGATTTTCTTCAGTACAAAAGTGCTTCATTATTCGACTTTCATAGATCTTCTATGGATGGCATTCAAGCAGTTTGATAATATGCATGCTGAAAACATCAAACACTAAATCTAGTATATTATCACAAGTATAAAATTAAATCAGAGAACAAATTTTCCTATTTATCTGAATTCTTGGGTGTAACCATTTCAGGTTTAACATATACGTGAAACAACAAAACGCGATGTTATCCTCACTGCATACATAAAATGTGTGGTCGTATGAATTAAAGTGAACATTGTTTACATTGGAATTATATGTCGACATAACGGCTATAAATAAAATGAGTGAAATAAATTCGTATAAAATAATTCAAATAATTCTACAAATAAATATTCTGTGTTGAGAAAAATAAATAAATAAAACTGCAATCTGTTTCTGTAACAGTTAACAGCCACTTTAGGAGAAATTCTCCTCAAGATTTAACCTACAAGTTGCAGCCATATTGAGCATCGAGTGAAAAGTAGACATTTTATAGACACGTTTACAGCCCGTATTTGGTGCTACTTTTGAATAAATATCATCTGGTGACGTTTAAAATATTAGTCAACGACTTTTATGTTAGCGTTTATATATATATATATATATATATATATAAAACGCAAACATAAAACATATATATGAATTAGCATATTTATTCCTACTCCAAGTTGGGATTTCCGTTTTAATGGGATTGCATAAATTATTTTCTCAAAATAGCATTTTATTTCTATAACTTGACATACTTGATTTAATTAAGGTGGTTCGACTTTATTTTAGGAATGAATGCCATACTTAACAGTAAATCAGTGTTCCAATAGTCTCATTTGTCAAATCAGCCTGATTAAGCTTGGTAATCGGAAGGTAGCTAGCATTATGAAAAAGAGACAGCTGTGTATCGTTTGTCTACAATATGATTCGGCATAATTCACGATACGAAAAAGAATTAATTTCTGACTAGATGTCGGGTTTCCTAGTCAAGTCAACAAATAGACAATCTGATTTACGATGCAGAAACCAATGCTTGTTATTATGCCTGTGTACATTTAATTTCACTTCAGGAATTTGACAGGCTGAGCATCAAAGGATGCCACGAAGAAGACTACGTGATGAGCAGTAGACAGCTTGTGGGCAGTCGTGTAATCAGCTGAAAGTGATGGCAAAGGGTCAATTGAAATAGAGATGGACCGCTAAATCAGTAGGTTTTATCAGAAATGCAAGGAATGAGTAGTCATAATAATAATACTGGTAATTCTAATAATAATAATAAGTCAGTTTGTCCCTCAATTTCTCTGTATGATTTCGAAAGAATTTTATGACAGTAAGTAATACCTCAGAAGTTGTCCATCTGGCTCAAATAAATTACACAACATGTGCAAAAGTAGGCAGTTTTAACAAGAGTAATAGTAATCCAATGATGTGTAAAATATTCATTAAATGAAAAGGTTTATTTTTTTTATTTTTGATTACAGCTTGATTCCACACTGTATTTTTTGGTACATGTATGGAATTTTCAGCGTGGATATCGGTAGCCCGAATTTTGTAGGCCGACAATAGATATCATGTGTGCGTCGGCAGAGGATCGAACCTCGGACCATGTGCATGGTCGGCGAGAGTCCTAACCACTGTGCCGCCGACACTGTCTTATCTAAGATAAATCATAACTTTATTTTTTACTTAAACATTTTATCCTGATTTAAGAATGAATTCAAAATAATTTGACGTAATGTACCTTATCCTAATAATGGTCTTCGAATTTACATATTTACATATGTTCACCTCATATGCATTGTATAAGTATTTCCTGAAAATTCGAAAATATCTAGACAACTTTAATAAAGAGGGATTATTGATGTCAGTGTAAACATAGGAAGAATAATAAATCTGTTCAACTCTCACTGTTCGTGAATCTCCATAGGGACAATATTATTTAATAGAGAGTTAAGAGGTGAGAAAAGAGACTTAGGTCGTTGTTATTTTGACCTTCAATATGTCCTTTTAACTTGACTTAAGATTATTTTAATAGCTTGTTTAGGCGAAATTTTGAATTTACATTGGTTTGTGTAGACGAAACATACAGAATTCATTATTCACTTAATCATTTTATACGTATTTTCTTATTTATTAAACTTACGAGTAGCAATCACAGGTTTCGTAGTTGGAGTTGTTTGTTTCTCTGAATCATCTTCTGGACTGTTGTTACCTGTACTACCAAATATTGGCATCAGTATACTCAAACGTCTTTTGGCACTTTTAAAAGATGTACCACCACTCCCAGTAAAATAACCATGCTTGAAGGCATCGGGTTTTTTATCACTACTACTGGTTTCTCGGGATAATGAACGCTTGGTCATTGAATTTCTTGATGAATTTTGCGATGAATGACTATATTTTCCATCATAATCCAAATTGTCTTGCGGTAAACGCTGGTGTGTTTCTCTAAGATATGTTGTTATTTCAAATAATAGTTGAACGCCAATTGTCAACAATGCATATGGACAGCTTTCACCAGTTGGATTAACTGAAGCTAAGATTTCAAAGAAAGTTTGAAAAAATGTTCATAGTTTAGTGAGCAATCACATATAGTCTGAACAGTTTTATAGTAAAGATTTCTAAGGCAGCTTAAAAATTAACTTTCATTTCATAGCAATGTAATCAAAGCACCTATCATGGCTTTGAAGAATTCTTTGTAAAAAAAACTTATTATTCCTGATGAAATGACTTCGAATGTTTACAATATTAAAACCGCTGGCAAAACAAACTTCCTCAGACTGTAAATTGATACAAAGGCACTACTCCCTTTGGTTTAAACAAAGATAAACACAATCAGCAGTAGATAAGTAAGTCGTAAAAGTCAAACAAAATCCCTACAAAACCAATACTTGAAAATTAATCTGATGCTCACTAGCGACTGGCCCTATTCAGGCAGTTAACCTGGGGTTCTAGTGGGAAGCCGTGACCAGTAGGGTACAGCAGGTCGCAGATGGGGCAGTAACTCATTGCGAAGTGGTCGCGCTATGTCGTGAACTGGCAGAAGTTAGAATTCAAGAACCATTGGATCGGGTCCCAGTGGCTCAATGGTCTACGAGCTCGCCTTGTAACCAGAAGGTCCTGGGTTCGAACGCGGCGGGGGCGTACTGTTGAGGAGTCCCAAACTAGGACGTAGGAAACAGCTGTCCAGTACTCCCAGGTTTTCCAGTGGTTCTCTAATTGATGTCAGCTCATGGTGAAATCCTCCATACAATCAAACAAAATCCCTACAAAAACCAATACTTGAAAAGTAGTATAAACACTATAATAACATAATAAACACATGCTCTTGAACTAAGTGACGTGCATGTTACTGAATTTAGCAAAATTACTTGATTTCAAAAGAATTTTTTAACTATTTTGTGGTAAGCAGTTCATATAAACTGTAAAATTCTACGCAACTGAGCCTGAGCAGAGACATCTGAATTTAGCTTCAAGATGTTTCAGCCAACTGGTTCATAAAAAACTGGGAAATAGAAATGCATTCCCCTAAAATTGTTTAGAATTCAATTTTGAATATTGCTCCCTGATTTTCAATGGTTCTCTAACTGAAATTAAATCCATGGTTGAACTAGAAACAAATCGAATCCCCACAAACTAATTCTTGAGAATAATAATGATCTTGGATGATGAATGAATTAATTTGTTATTTTTATTTACTAATCTTCGAATGGTGTTTCACGTTGTGTTGAGAAGATTTAATGTAGTGTTGCCTGTCTGTTTTAGGATCGTATATCTGGTTTACAGATCGACTATGAAAATCAGTATGCTGTCGCTTGGTCTAACACCTCCCGCTTTTCAAATAAGTTTAATTTTATTGGTAAACACCATCCAGATAGAACATAGTTTTCATGTCTTTAAATTGTAACTAAGTGTAATATCTGTTCTTATTCTCTTCTTTCCTGGAGCAATATATTTTTGAATTCTCAGTCATTCTTCTGTCTTTACCAGTGTAGAAGTAGTTTGTGAGTAGTCAGTCGTGTATTGTTGAGGCGAGAATAAGAACGAACAAAAATCAAATAATTATCTCCGACACAAAAGAGAAATAAAAAATCATTTAAAAATACTATGATTGAGAACCTCGCCTATTAACCAACTTACTAGATTTCCAGCCAGTACCGAACCCGGGCAAGGAGAGAGGGTTTGGCGTAGGACAAGCAACCCTACAACACTAAACCTGTCAAACCACCAAACAAACTTTAACTTACAGACAAAACATTACAAATACAAGAAATGCAAAGGACAGTATTATTCTTCGCTCGAATCAGGAATGGAAAATAACACAGCCAGCTGGTGAAACCTTCGAAAAATCAGTCAGCCAGCAATCATGTCTTCTGTTGATGAAAGCAAAAATCCGAATGTGGACGTGATATGCAAGTAAAATGTACGAAGCCAGCTGGGAAGACACCTTCACTGAAGCTATCGGAGCAAAGTCAGAGACACTACGTAGCATCACTGAGGAAACCTGAGTGGAAGAATATTGGGACTAACCCTCTGCAGGCGATATCCAAGCGAACGCGTACACCTATTCTAGGAAGAGAGAAGAGATATAACAAGGAATGACTCTCAACGGTCATCTGGAAGCTAATACAAGAAAGGAAAGGAGAGGAGAAAGGAGGACAGTGAAAGAGAAGAAGACTCAGTGAAGAGATGGACAAGAGAAGAAGAGGCTAAGTTCAATGAACACTGAACTGAATGGAGAAGAGAAGAAGAGTGTTCAGAAGGACAAAAGACAATTCTACAACATACAACATTTGGAAACCGAAAGACGCAACTACAAAAGAAGATACCTTGACTGGAGCTATCGGACACTACGTGACGCTACTGAGGAAACCTGAGTGGAAGAATATTGGGACTAACTCTCTGAAGTCGATATTCAGGTGAACGTGTACAACTGTTCAAGGGAGGGAGAAGAGACACAACAAGGAATGGCTCTCAACGGGCATCTGGAAGGTAATAGAAGTTAGGAGGGGAGAGGAGGGGAGATGAGAGAGGAGGACAGTGAAAGAGAAGATGATTCAATGTAGAGATGGACATCGGAAGGAGAGGCTAATTTCAATGTACACTGCTCTGAATGGAGAAGTGAAGAAGAGTACTCGGAAGGACAAAAGACAATTCTTCGACTCACTGGCCGCCAACTGGGGCACAACAGGCAGGCTTCACGTCAAACAGACCTAATGACGTTATATCAGATAGTCAGGCTGCTCGCTTTCCGGCGTAGAGATCAACCCATATGATAAAACCAATGAAAGATGCTCAATGGAACCTGATCACCATGGAGGAGAAACAAGTAAGACAATGGACTGATCACTTTAAAGGACTCTTTAATCGACCATCACCTGAAACTCGAACAGAAATACCACCACTGGAAGCACGCACAGAACTGACTCCCAGTCGACACCACCTATCCTCCAACCAAAGCACAAATCTTCATTGTGATCAAGCCATTGAAGTCCAATTGGGGATGAAGCAGGGCCAGACGGAATTTCTGCCGTCTCTGAATCACTGTAAACGGACCCAGAAACTGCAGCTGATATGCTCATTCCATTATTTCGAAAGGTTTAGGAGGAAGGATAGGTGCCTACTGTTTGGAATAACGGCTAGCTGTCTTGTCTTTCTGCCAGAGACAACCAACTTAGGCCTTAGTCTGAATGAACTGGAGTGGAATAATTAATTCTCTTGTCCACGCCAAGTGAAATACTAAGTTACCTCATCGTGAAGAGAATAGAGAATGCATTGGATGCACAACTTCGCACCGCGAATGAAGCTGATTCGATTCATGAAAGCCAAATCAAGTTCTGATCAAATTTCAAATCTACCCATCGTCATCGGACAGAGCACAGAATGGCAGTTAAACCTCTACCTTAAATTCATCGACTTCGGAAAGGCCTCCACCACACAGCGTTGACCGAGAAGTAATTTGGAAACTATTTCAACAGTATGGCGTGCACTGACCCAAATCCATACCAACCTCATTCAGCAGTTGGCTACGTGACAATAGCACGTGTCATTCAGGTGATCCACAATGGAAAATACACTTTGTTAGACTCTTGACGTGAATACAGGAGTACTTGAAGGCCACTGCATATCGTCACCGATGATATTCCTTACTGTGGTAGACTGGAATATGCGTCAGATGGGACATGTGACGGGAGTGAAAAGACAGGAATACGTTGGATCACCGAGGACAAGACTCTAGATGACCTGGATTTTACAGATGATGTATGTTTACTGTTACACAAACTCGTACATTTTCATCAATCATTCACAGCAAGTAGTTTTTCTTGATGTTGGATTATCTTCTCAGTATGTGTATGAAAAGTGACTTCCCTTTCACGAGTCAATCTGAGGCAATTATGGACCAGAATCCATAACTTTTAATATATTTTTGAGCAGAATTTCTCGAACAAGAAATACATCTGATATATACATTTGTACACCTTTCATAACAACAAAGTTTAGAAAAACACTGAGGAAAGCAAAATAGCAGTCAAATGCATTGACAAGTGTATGTTGTTCCGTTGATTTCGATTTAGACTCGTATTAGACGAAGCAGTTACTGCATAATTTAATGATTAGCAAAGTCTGGTTATGATTCTAGGTATGTAACTGCTGTTTAAAACGTAACAGCTAGTAGTTTTTTTCTTATAACAGTATTGCTAACTCCTCAGTAATTCGACTTACATTTTACTACTTTGATTTTATGCTTATTTTTACTTGAAATACTTCTGAAAAAGTTTATGAAACTATTTCATTAGTATGCATTTTATTAGCATGACATCGCTCTACAAATTACTATTTGAAAAGCACACTGTTATCACAAGAGCCTACCGTATGTTATTGTAGCCTTGCTACCATTTTTAAAGGTCAGAGTCACGTATAAAAGTATAGTATTACTTAAGTCAATGTAAAAACTGGCGTGGAATTATGCTTCTGTCCATTCCAAGCAAAATACTAAAATGCATCATCCTGGAGAGAATCAAACAAGCCCTGGATCAAAAACTTCGTCCAGAACAGGCCGGATTCAGGAGAAACAAATCATGTATTGATCAAATCGCCACTCTACGGATCGTCATTGAACAAAGCTTGGAATGGCAGTCACCTCTCTATCTCAACTTCATCGACTTTGAAAAGGCCTTCGACAGCGTCGATCGAGAGGTCATTTGGCAACTACTTCGCTAATACGGGGTCCCATCGACAATTATACATCTCATCCAACAGCTATACGACAGTGCTGCATGCCAAGTAATCCACAACCGGAAACTTACGGAAGCCTTCGAAGTAGGGACGGGAGTAAGACAAGGCTGTCTACCATCACCAATGATCTTCCTGACTGCAGTCGATTGGATAATGCTACAGACAACGGCAACCAACGAGAGAACAGGCATAAAATGGACTCACACAAAAAACTTGGAGGATCTGGATTTCGCCCTTGATGATATATGTCTGATTTCCTACAAACTGGAAGATATACAAGTGAAGAGCAACAAGCTGGCAGAAGAAACATCCAGAGAAAATAGGACTTCATTTGAACATAGATAAAACAGAGGTGATGAAGATTCCTGGCCAACATCAGCAGCCACATCAACAACAACAGACAACAATCAGTCAGCATAAATGGGAGGAACCTGAAGGAAACAACCTCCTTTACCTACCCACCTACCTGGGAAGCATCGTCTCAACTACAGGTCGACGGAACTGACGAGGATATCAAAGCCAGAATCGGAAAAGCAAGACAAGCTTTCATTACTCTCATCAAGTCTGTGTGGAGGTCAACAGCCTCACTCAGCCCGAAAAATAACATCCGGATTTTCAACTCCAATGTAAAGTCAGGGCTACTATACGGATCAGAGACTTGGCGAGTCATAAAGAGTATCTCAAACAAACTTCAGACCTTCATTAACAGCTGTCTTCGCTCAATACTCAAGATCAGATGGCCAGAAAAGATCAGCAACAGGATCTCTGGAAATGAGCGAACCAACCCAACAGGAACCGATTGTGAAACAAACAGGCAGGAAGAAACGGAGATGGATTGGCCATACGCTGAGGAAACCATCGAGTGACATCACTAGACAAGCCATCGCTCGAGTGGAACCCGAAAGGGAGGCAGCGAGTTGGTCGTCCAAGGGTGACTTGGAGGAGGTCATGCGAGGAGGAGATGAAAGGATGTGGACAGACCTGGAGCGGGTGAAAAAGTTGTCAGAAAACAGAAGGCAATGGAGGTGCGCAGCTGAAGCCCTATGTTCCTCTAGGAACTAAAGGATACAATAATAATAATAATTACTCAAAACAAAGGACTTGAGGTTATACGACTTCATAAAAATAGATATGACTAATTGTTTTAAGTATATGACTTTGAGTCAATAGTTTGGGAGTTCAAATGTGACTGTAGCTATTTGAGGCTAAGAAACTGGTTAGGTATCATCGGTCCTCATACAATAAGTGTCACTAATGTTCTTATGTGGGATAGTTGAGTTCTAATCAACCAACATCGACATATTTTTAATTTTTGATAGTAACTGTTGTATGTCACCAACCTTAAATGAAAATAGAAACAAAACTAAATTCTTCCTGTCAATGTAATATGAACAAGAGACATTGCCTGTCAAATACTTCCTTGAATAAACAGTTGCCATTTGAAACAGATACTCTAAACAAATAATACACACGTGACAAACTTAATTATCCTATTTTGTAACCTCTTTTTTAAAATTAAAGTCAAAGCTTTTAATATGGCAGCGTCCAAAAAGTGATAGATTTTTAGGCTTGATTGTGGTAATTTATGTAGAACGCTGGTAATACGCTGTCTATGCGACATTTTACAATTGTCTCCTATGCAGATTTAAAGCAACTTGTCTGGGAACCCGAAAATCGCTAGTTAAAAATTTTATCTAGCAGTACTCTGACCATCTGCATAGAAATATTGACGTTGCCTTTATTTATACTGCTGTTTGTATCTCCTGACTAACAGACATAACAATATTTTTGCTATGGCAAAGGAAAGATGTAAATAGCATGCACCATAAAAAAGTATACACAAGTACACGCCAAAACTCTTCTACATCTTGCAATTCTTACCATCATCTAGAAAGTTTTGTTCAATTTCAGCGTTTGAGAACTGGGGACGAGGATTTGAATCCTTGCTTTTATCACCTCCATAAGTCTTTTCATTAGTTGTGTTAGAATTACTAATAATGGACTCCTTAGATGAAGACAGTAAAGCTGTAAAATATTGCAGTCTGTGTCCTAAAGCCTAAAACATGATTAAAATAAATAAAGAGACTTGTGGAGAACTACAAAATCATCTAGAAGTATTACAAATATTTGAAATATCTGAAAACAATTTTAACCACATGTTGACATCATCTTTATGATAGTAGGTAATAAACCAATAATGTCAAATAAAGTATAATTTTATTTCAATAGTTTACACACAATGATAAGTTTCGTTATTGGTAATATTTCGAACAAAATTACTGCCAGTGTTCACACCACTGTTGGAATTGTTTTATTCACACATTTATGATTTGTACTCATATATATAGTTCATTATTTTATTTTGCTCATTCATGTTTTTGTATTCAGAATTATATTTCAAGTTGTTGATAGTTGTACTGAGTCACCCTTGTTACATGTATCCGGTGTGACTTTAATGAATATAGATTCTGTTATAAGTCTCTCTTTCCCTTTGTTCATGTTAGATTTTAGAATACACACATTGAATTAAAAGTCAATCTGACACACATTGTTCCAATCGATATTCGGTTTTTGTCCAATGCATGTGCAGCTATCGATGAATTTTTTCAAGATTCTTGTAGGCTTGTGTTCCTGTTGGTTGACCTTTGGTTAGGCGTTTATGTTCATTCACTCTTATTTTGAGTGATCTGGACGTTTGCCCCACACATCTAGTCGGACACTCAGCACAAATCAAATTGTTTTTATCCACCATTTTTATGGGATCTTTCAGTGGATTTATTTTATTTTTGATTAGATTCGTCGGTTTAAACGTTGTTCGAATGCCGATATTTCTGAGGTTTCTTTGAATTGCCTCTGATGTACCATTTTTATATCGTACGGGTAGTAATTTTGCTCGAAATATTACCAATAACAAAACTTATCATTGTGTGTAAACTATTTAAATATAATTATACTTTATTTGATCTAATCCACAATGCTCAAACTTTTTACTGATATCAATAATGTCAACTTACAGCATTTGATCATGAGACTTATAAAGCAGATTCATCGACTCTTCTTTTCTTGATTAAAATTCATGATCACGTAACTCCAGGTAATATTATGTCATATTACTCCGGAAATTTTAAGTTGATTACTTGAACATAAAATTTTAACAATTGTTAAATAACTCAATGAGATATATCAAAAACACCATGATATAGTGTAGGTCTTGGTGTCAATTACACTGCCTACAGAAATGAAAACAGCAGTTTGACGCCACGGACATTATCCAATGTGTTTTGAGACAATTCTCTTGTTGACTCAGAGTTTTCTCAGTGTTTTGATAGTGAGTAAGCTTTGAACCTAACGTACTTTGATTTCAGTTTAAATTAAGCAAACATATGGATATATGACTGTTATTTTTCACTAAACATGTTATCTACCTTAGGCCTCTGGTTCATTAAATTAAAATTATTTATAAAATGTGCAATTCACGACCACTTAAAGTCTCCTTGACTATGCTTTGGAACGAGATGAACAATGAGCTGTCGAATAAATAACGTCTATATTTTTTTGTCAGTTTCTGTTAACATAAGAGTAGTTGGTAAGAAATAACTTTAAAATTGTTATCCACTATTTTATGTTTACATTTCTATTACTTATTACTACTTCAAGTATACATATAACCTAAGCAGCAATTCATAATTCATCAGAAATACCATGAAGAATGCTTCTATCCTCTATTTTAGTATAATTCCTGTAATTCAAAACTGTTGTTTTTTGCATTTGGTCATTTGAGATTAATTTGTGCACAACATGAATTGTTTAAAAACGCAACATACCATTCAACTGAAGTGTAACGTTGTTGGTCATAGTTGTGGAAACTTCTGAATGTGACGAATTATATTACTTAATGAATAAAAGTATTCTTAGAGCACAGTCAAGCATATTGATTTTTTTTCACAGTCAGATTTAGGTTAACAGATACACGTCGCTTTTGCTTTTAAAAAAAACTCGTCAACTCCCCAAGACATCTTCAGATACAAACACACTGGTAGTCGATGGAAGATTCGGTGCACTTTTGAATACAAACATATATTGTGAATAGCTCTTCATCCGCCAGTCAGACAGTCAGTTAATCAAAGAATGCGGTAGACAGTGGCAAAAGTTATGAAGCAGCTTTCAGCATAAGGTTGTATAACTCTAGGCAGACTATAGTTATCATTACAATGTTACTGTGTCTACTTTGCATAGTGAAAGTATTTTCAGTCAGGTAACCAGCTGAATGTGCTGATTCAGTGACCTACCGAATAGTGATATGCGATCATGAAAATTATCTGTACAAATTAGTGTGTAAATAGCAATGTTGCGGATTTAAACAAGTAATGGTGATGATACATTTGGTGAAAAAAACATCTAGTCTACAAATCAGTACTCTACAGAGAGCATATTTTTAATAACTGTACACACAAAAATCTTTTTGTATTTCGCACTGAAATGTGTCACTTTCTGTGTCTTACGGAATTGAAATGCTATAAGCTAGATCAGTGATAAAGTAGGTGAACAGTCTGAGATTCACATCTGAGAACCTTTGAAAGTTAGACAAAATAATATTACACAGTAATTTCCAAAAATAAAACAATACAATTCGTGCTTACTTCACCCCATGCATAAAAGAGATAGCCAGCTAAACGTTTAATTTCTGATATATCCATAGGTTGGTTACTGTTGCTATTAATATCATTCGCTTGTAATAAATTGCTGTTATTACTGCTACTAATATAGCCAGCACTTGAACGAAATGAACTTGGCAAATTGAATTTCATCCATCCAGCCCATTCTCCATGATTACAACGATGAACTAAGAAAGCACATTCAATTAGCAAACAAGCTCTTGCTAAAACTGGTGCATCCTAAAGTAGTTATTATGAAAGTGAAAACAGACAAAATTTTCGATGAATAAAACTGTCTCCCATTCAAATAATTTAGAAAAAATCAATGCTGGTTTAAGCATACAAGAGTGCAACTCTGCATAACAAACTAAATGGTGTAATACTATTAACTAACTGTACAATGTTTTTGTGAACAAGTGGTTGTAAATTATAGCAATGGCACTATTCAGTTATCTTCCTGTGATCAAAGATATTGATCAGCGTAACATATTCTCACTGTTACCGAATACAATCCATAGCTTAAGGTTCAAAACCACTTTTAAAAATACCATATCCTACGTTATAATAACAAGATGATCATTTCCAAATGAAAGCATTTTTGAGCTTTGAATTGACACTTACCCTTGTGAGATTTTAAAATCCAATCAAGAAATCGATTCTTACCCCATAAACACAGTTATCTGTTCATGAATACGTATGTCTGTTTCAAACTGCATAGGTAGGTGGGAATATGTAAAGTATTCCATATGTGAACAGGTAACAACAGCCCAAAAAGTCACAGCTTTTCTTTTCATAAAACATACTGCTCGTAGGGCTTAAAATCTTTACACACCTTTCATTATATATATTATCATATTCCAAAGTCACCTTTTATCCATGATTTCTAAAAGTATGCATACACTAGTCCCTTGAGTTTCAAATTAAATCTACCATGTGTAAAAGAATACAGGCGACCTTTTTGTCAGTGACATTCAAAGAATACGCAATACTGATGCTTAAAAAGATAAAAATAAAATTATACAGAATTCAGTATGCTACTGATTCAAACTAGTATTCCTTGTCATGACTTATATTAAGAGGAAGATTAAGAGAAAGCCTTGGAAGACCTGATGTGTATTAATTTAGATTTCACGTTAGTCATGCAGGACGACATGGATGATTACAGAAATTCTACCTTTCATAACACTGCAAGGATGTGTCGGTGGCATAGCGGTTAGGACGCTTGCCGACCATGCACACGGTCCAGGGTTCGATCCCCGGCCACAGACACACTCCCACACCTCGCTAAGCCAGAAATAATGCTGGTAAAGAGGAAAGGTTGGGTATGAGGCTAGCAACCTAATCCTGTAAAATAAACACTGCTACAGAAACTTCAAGCCAGCCACTAGCTTGAAGCCCTATGTTCCACTGGGGAACGCGTGAAGGAAAAAAATAACACTGCAAGGAAAAAGTGATTGTCAAAATTTCTATCTGATTCACCGTCTCTTTTCATCTAACAAGAATCTCTTTGCCCATCAAAGAAACTTAAAAAAGTTTGATAAGTTGTTGTTTCTTTTCTATGTCTCAATCGCAATGTTTATTTCTTTTACTAAATGTTCATCAGCTAATAAAATAAAAAGTTCGCCTTACTTATCCACACTAATTCTTTGCATTAAAAATAAAGTAGTAGTCGTTTTCAGTACTTTTCATAATAAATATCTGACTGAGATAATCTCCAGGATACATAAAACTCTAATTTTCTGCGTTTTTAAATAGATCCTTTATAATGAATTCAGAAAAATCAATACTAACCTCTATCAAGACATTAAGCTCACCTATGTACACAAGGATCAAGGTTGAGGATGACAAATTCACTATACTGCTAACATTTCTAAATGAAATTTTCCACTCATCAGACTATAAACAATTTTCTCAAGTATAAAATTAAGTTGCATGAAAACAGCTGATTGAAACTAAAGTTTTGAAACAAAACTTGTCATTTATTTTGGACTGTTACTGTTTAAAATACTAATATTTTTCTGCGAGGAATATGCAGCATTCTGTTCTGAAGTTTAGTGATTACTGATTGCTGCGGAGTTCATGTTATGAAAGTCCAAAAAGTCATATAAACTATCATTTATTATGAGGAAAATATTACTTAGAAAACGTGGCATTGGAAATTTTTTATGAAGAGTGTAAATCGTTAAAGTAAATCTTCACAGAAGATGTTTTTTATATTTCCAACTGTATAGTCTCTTCACTTAGATATCTACTGTCTCTGCACTTTTACCTTAACCACCGTTTAAGAATTACGCGCTTCATTTCAACCAAGTATTTCACTGAATAAGGCTTATTTTAAAATAACCGACTCACAATTACTATTATTAGGGGAATATCGTGTTTACGTAAATTAGTATGAGATTAATTTGTGCAAAACCATTCCTTTCAGTATGTATGGTGCAACTGACGACTACGCCAAGGAAACTGAATTCATGATTTTACAGTAATTAGCTTTCAGTACTATCTTTATCTCCTTTACCCATCTCTACGTACTATTTGCATTACTGTTATTTTTCTAATACAGAAATGTGCGCAATACCTGTTTCCTTACCTTTATGAACAGATGCAAAAATCTGCTGAAATAATTAATTCCCTTACGATTGAACTGTTTTATCAGCTTTTAAATAGTACTACGATTTCCCCTAAAATAATTTCATTAGTCAAGAGACAATTCACAAAAAATCGAAATCTGTATTGGTTTCTTTGCATAATTTGAGAATTAGAAACATATTTAAAGAGAAGAAGCTTCAAATAATGATTGTAAAAACAGTTTAACTGATGCTCAAAAACATACACAACAACAAGGCTGAGGGCTTAAAGTTTATGAATAGTAATGAGAGCTTAAGTAACAAGCGTACAGATTCACTGGACATAAAGGTTTCGGAACCTTGCCTAGACTACTAGCTTGCTAGTTTTCTAGCCGGTCCCAAGCCCGGATAAAGAGGGACGGTTGAGGCGTGGTGCTAGCAACTTCGACCCCAAAACTTAACCAAACCGCTAGAGAAACTTCAATGCACCAATATATTAAAAATTCTAAAAATATTAACAGTAACCTTATTTTTCACTGGAATAGGGGAAGTGAAATGAGGCAGGCTGGTGAAAGCCTTCGGGAAGCCAGTCAGCCGATGTGCCTTCTTTCGATGAAAGCAAAAATAAGGATGGGTACTTGGAATGTTTGTACGATGTACGAAACTGGAAAAGTCTTCCCAGGTAGCCGCAGAAATGAGGAGATATAGAATAGAAGTGTTGTGAATCTGTGAGAGCAGATGGAACGGATGTGGTAGGTGCCAACTACCAACCGGGGGGGAGACAATAATCTATTCCGGTCACCCAGAGGACAATCACGAGCACGCCGAGGGAGTGGTCATCATGATGTCACCAACAGCAGCCAAAGCTCTCATGCAGTGGGAACCAATCTCCTCCAGGATAATGACAGCCAGGAATACTATGCAACAGGATCTAATGTCTGATTGGAGCTCTTGGTGTTATATTATGACACATTGTGCTACTGCTAAAGCATATCACTATCCATTAGAAAAGCTTCTCTTATTATGGCGCTTTTCGCCCGTAGAGTTTGTCAAAAAGAGTAATGCAAAATAAATCTGAAAATTTTTCCTACTCATAGCTTAAGCAATAAAGTTTGGTTGAATGAAAAATGATTCTGATGGAAACTATAGCTCACCTTTGATATAATTGTGTGCGATGATGTGATATGGACAATGTGTTCCAACGGAATATAATTCTCACAAATTCCCACAGTTCAATAAGGCATTAACAGCTGAATACTATGTGTATTTGAACATTCTATTTCATGTTGTTTAATGTTAACCAAAATCAGAGACTCAGTCATTGGTTAGCGAATATATATATATATATATATATATATATATATATAAGCAGAGGTTTGATCAGTGGAAAATATACCTTGGCTTCCCTGTCTTACCTTCTGCTGTTACAAGTGAATCCATGAGTTTCGCCAAGTGCAAAACGCCAAACTATGCACCGCTACATATTAAATTATTCAATCTTCAAATGGGCTTCAAAGGCTCCCCTATGTTTACCAACAAGTTTCTTCTCAGAAATTATTGTTATCATGTCGCGTTGTGTTAATGCACTTTACTGGTACAGGTTTTCGACCGTTACTGTATGTTGCCATGTATTAGTTTGATTGCATCGGAAAAAAGCTGGCTGTCTAACTTGTTAATACATGTCAATCACTTGCAAAACGTCGGACTGTAAGACCGAATCAAGTTTCTGTTTCTTACTTATTTCAACGACCAGAAAAACTTGTTTACCCCCTTTTCTCTAAATTTCTGTCAACTCATATCTTCACCGACACGTATATACAGACTTCTACACTCACTATAAATTTGAAATCGTTTCACAAACAAATAAACGTATTTTATGATTGACTTACCAAATCAAATAATGCTGCGATAAGCTGTGGTTCCGGTATTGAACCTGGCTCACAACAATCCAATAAAAAAGCAAAATCAAACAGACTTTCCTTGAGAGCAGATAAATTAATCCAACGGTGTTCAACTGTAGGCTGGTCTAAAGTGACACCATCAGCCTTAGATCGGTTAGAATAATCTAAAGAAATGCGAAAAGTCCATTGTGGGTAAAATTTATTTTGATAAAGTTTCACACTGTTATACAGTAATATTTACTGATGCGAAAAGGTTAGTCAGTTACAAGTCCAAAAAAATGCGAGGGAATATCAGAAAGCCTAACAGTAATGACAATTAACAAAATGTGCCACAGAAATAAGAAAAAGGCTGCTGAATGGTTAGACTCAGAGAAGACTGACAATTGATGTATGCTAGCCGAAGCTTTCCCAGAAAACAAAACAGTTACCAAATCCGTAAAAATAAAAGATGTTCAGCAAAGACGGAAAGATATCTCAAGTATACATAAAAGGATTGAATAACATAAAGCCTTTAGAAAATTCAATGATCTTGACAACTCTTTCAATGTCGGTCCATAAACAGTATGAAAGTTAGTCTTAAATACGCAACCTCTAGAGCTGATATGGAACTACTCAGTTGCCAGTATCCATGTAGCACCGAAAGTTCTGCTATATATATGTGCTGTGACTAGGTCTTAATTGAGTTGTCACCTGTTATTATTTTATTATTTATTTAATTTCTGTACTTTCCCAGCGGAACACAGGGCTTCAAGCTAGAGGCTTGAAGTTTCAGTAGCGGTGGTGTTTATTTTTACGGGATGGAGTTGCTGGCTTCATGTTCAACCTTCGCTCTTATTACCGGTATACTGTAGTAAAGGAGTGCATCAGCCGGGGATTGAACCTCGAGACATATGCCTGATTGGCGAGCATTCTACCGCTAAGCCACCGATGCACTATAGTCACCTTTTATAATTATCTAATGGCTGTTGAATTAGGTTATACTTATGTCACCAACGTACTGTTAGCTAATACGAAACAAATAAAGAATTCAAACGTTTTGATAAGTATAGTTAAATCTTTAGTAGCTTTAGTAAGTTCAGGAGTGTGTTTTAGCAAGTCTAGAAATTCATCAATTAAGCACAGTATCTGAAGGTTACCATACTTTCTCCTTTTTCTCTCAGGATGTGCGCACTTACTGACATGATTCATTATCCAAATGCAAAGTGTTCAAAATTCTATGCTGAGAATAAACAAGACATCATCAACTTATGAAAATACGCTCAAGATCTCATTTTTTTTAGGTTTTTGTTTGCTCCGAAACTAAGCACTCATTGTTTACAAGTGGGCTATTCTACAAATAAGAAGTTAATACATCACATTATTCGAAAGTGTGGATTTCATTTTGGGAAGAAGAGTTTAAGGATTGACATATACTGTTATACCAGATTCAACAGCGTTCAGTCGAGTGACTTATTAATGCATAGGCTGAACGTTAAAAGGACGTTTGTTAAAAGTTCCTAGTGGAAAAACAGCTCTTTCTAAAGAAAAAAACTGTACTAATTTAAAGCAGACTGTTCATATTTTTGAATGATACAAATGTCTTTTATTAAGCCCATTAATATAATAACTTCATCAGTCAGTAATTAAAACACTTCTCAAGTGTTGGTTTGTAGTGATCTGGTTGGTTTCAGGATTTCCTCATGAGCTGACATTAGTTAGAGGACCATTGGAAAACCCGGGAGTACTGGACAGCTGTTCATATCGTCCTAGTTTGGGACTCTTCATCAGTACGCACCCACCACCACGGTTCGAACCCAGGACCTTCCGGTTACAAGGCGAGCTCGTATACCATTAAGCCACTGGGACCCGATCCAATGGTCCTTGAATTCTAACTTCTGCCGATTCACGACATAGAGCGACCGCTAGCCAATGTCTTCGGCGAATATTTGTCCTGACACCCAACCCGCTGCACTTTACTGGTCACGACTTTCCACTGGTTCTGGTAAAACTTATCTTCAATGAGAATTGTAAAATTTCAGTCATTGTCTAAGTTCAACTGTTAAGGCAAGTCACATAAATACTATTTGTAGAACAAAATTTGCTGTGAGATATTAGCAGAAAAAAGACTTATGGAGAGAATTAAGGTTTGCTTCATGCATAAAATTTCATTTTCAGTTCTTTCTTGAGGGGCGGGGTTGGGACAACCAATTAAATTCAGATAATTTATTAGTGATTGTATTCTTTATTTACCTTATAGAATCAATTGCATATAGCACTGGAACCACTAAGTCGAATTATTTTTATCCCTCAGTTTATGCATATATGGACTTATTCTATATCTCAGTGACTATGTATGACTACATATACATAAACGCAATGGAATATTCTAGCATTAATCACTAATATTCGAATTCTAAAACTCCTTTTCTTACCATATAATTATTCTTCTTTTTTCTGCCTGTTTCTTAAGTAAGTTACTCTTCACTAATTTTTGTGTACGCCTGCCTATTCATTCACCCATTGATCAAGTGACTGACTGCCTGACTGCATGACTGACTGATTAGAGACTTTAACTAAATTAACAATGATACTCACTGTCTAACATCTCTCATTATGCTTCCTCTCTCTCCTTGAAAAACAACACAAATTTAAACATATTTCCCAACCCATCTCTCACGAGATTATTTTTCTATCTGTTGACTAAATTTTGATTTGTTGGTGTTGTTATCTCATCATTTCTGTCTCTTTATTGCAGAAAAATATTCCAAAAGATTCACACTATCGGAACTAGTTTGTGTATATGTGCGTGAGTGCGCATTTCTGTGTATATCGTGATAGAAACAGTGAGAGACTGACATTCACGTGAAGTGAAAACAATTTAATAAATGATAAAGCTGCCAAATCGGGACTGAGGATGAACAGAAAGAGGGAAATGGAAATGAAACATGTGAATACAGGGACAAAATCAATGCCTTAATAGTTTACGAGCATATACACACAACAAACAACAGAGCAAATATTAGTCAAATTTTGATCGTTCTTGTTGTTGATTTATTAGACTATACTGATCCTGATATTATCTGTAAATGTATATATATTGAATTATGGCAAAAAGGAATGATAAAAAGCCGTCCCTATTACAAGCCAGCAGCATAACTGAACACCATCTAATAACGTCAGCTGCTGCATTTTCTCCCATTTAATATTTTTATACTACGCCTGACGTCATTACTACGCAAGTTGCTTCCAATATTATACTATTTTGTCTCCTGCCTCATAATTCATCCTTTTTTTACATAGCAAGTGACAACAACCAATTTTAAAACCAGCCATCCATAGTTCCTTAATGTCACAAGTTGATTTCATTATTACAAATCTTAATTATAAAGTTATAATTCGCAAAAAAATAGAAGTGTTTATAGCTTGAGAAACATAAGTAAATTAAAGTCAGGACGATGGTTGACATACACTAATATGAGACTGTGTATTAATCACTTCCACCTTAACCATGGCAACGTGGTTTTAGACTTATGTACTACAAATTCAATGTGAAGCATCTGTTAACCAAATCACTTTACTACTTTGCGAATATATGGTCCAAGAAAGAACAAGTTGAATGCTTCAACTACATACTGTTGTCAGTCAAAGAATTCACCTTAGCTTAAAAAAATTCTCATTGATAGAGAGGGTCAAACAAAAGGTAAGATTATTGCGGTATTAGAGAACAGGATAAGACCTGGATGTATAATGCTACACAAAACTCAAGTTTCTGCTAGCCATTAAACGTGCTAATATGACCGGTAACCATATATGATAATTGATATAATAATGCAATTGTAATGTGTAATATACTACAACAATTCAAATTCTTTTATTTCAAAACGCACTGAATAACAGAAGGACTTACAGTGCCTGACTGAAGCGCTTCTCTTTTATTTAATTATACTCATCTGACGGCTGGCAAACACATTCATTCATTTATACACTACAATTCGATTCGTAGTAATTTTTCTCAGTATACTGTTTGCCTATAAGTCATATTTCATATAAAGTAATTCCTTGCAAATACCTTGTACAAAATATGCTTTCTCGGACGTTTGAAAACGAGTCTACATTTACAAGATTAATCAGCTTGATACTCAATAACAGGAAGAATACAATACAATTTCTAGGGAAAAAATACTAAAAACAAGAAAGCTAGGAAACAAACAGAGGGAATTTACTGCTGAAGAGTCCCAAACTAGGGCGAAACAGCTGTTCAGTACTCCCAGGTTTTCCAATGGTTCTCTAACTAATGTCAGCTCATGATGAAATCCTGAAACCAATCAAATCCCTACAAATCCCCAACACTAGAATAAGAAGGCATTTACGACTGTAGAACCACACATCTCGAGCACAATAAGTCATTATTGTACTGGGAATAATGTATTCAGGTAAATTTTAAAATCTCCCAGGTCTTTTGATAATCTCTAAAGCATGAGTATGAAGTAACAGAGAAGATATGAGTCTTAGAATTTAATTTTGTATCAAAATTTAAAGTATGTAGATTATGTGTCTCATATTTACGGTTCATTTTGATTATCAATCAGTTGTTAGTCTTAAATATAAGCACGGGAATAAAACCTAAATTAGGGCTTTTGAGGAAAGTTTCTCCTGCTGTTTTGAGTAAAACATTATAACAATGAAAAATAACACTTCACTCTAATTTAGCAACAAGCGACAACAGTTCAATGTCCGGATGTTTTGCAAACTATATCTTTTTCCATGCTTAAGCTTTGATATTACCTGAACACAGTAGGTCTCTACAACACATTTGTAACACTAACTAGTTAGTCTATATGGACAAGTGTTAAACTAGTTTTGGTAAATATGTTCTCTATTCAATTCAAGGATGGTTAATGTCTTTTTATTGAATTTGAGATTTTCCCGTCGATTGGTTGGACCGAAGTGCTCGGTTTCAGGTTGACATGTCGGCTTCTTGTGCAGATGCTTCGACGAGCCTCAGTGGGAACATCATCACTCACTGAGAAATGCGGGTACATCCAGATGACGAGTCCCAAACAGGACGAAGTGCGCATCCTGGATTCCACTGCTAGTCACCATCCACCAATTAGATGGTTAATATCATTCAGATTTATTTTCAAAATTAAAACCCAGTAGGTGAACTGTATGAAAATTCATCTTTTACCACTTAAATCCATTGCCAATTATCCTAAACTAACTTCCTTCTCATGTAAATTTCTTGTTTCCGCTTTGTATGAGAGAAAGTTTCTTCTACAAATCAGAAATGAGATAACGTCATTTACCCAGATGGTGTCAGTCTAGCATTTAGATTGGCATTACATTAAAGTAAGGAGTACATACCAGTAGTCCATATGAGGAATGAAATATATTAAGCTTTGCACAAAAACGATTTGAATTTACTATTAAACTTGCAACATTTCTTTATATTGGTATAAATTCAGTATAAATAGTTAAGCATTTTACGCTTAAGAACATGTATACAGTATTCCATTAACAGCCAATATTGAATCAAGCAATAATAAAAGCAGTCTATCATTAGTTTTGAGATTCTCAACAAAACAAACACTGTATGACGATTTATCATAGATTTTCAAAAGATATCCGTTCAAAATAAGCATAATTTTAATGGACATTTTGTAGGGTTGTTATTTACTTTTCTTAGCTAGCATATATATTGTTGCTTTATACAATGCATTTCTGTACACATAACAACTGATTTTCTCTGAGTAGTTTTTACATTAATTTTGTTGACTTGATGCTGAACACGCCATAAAAACGCCTTATTGAAGTTTAAGACATTAAATGCTTTGAACCACACATTGTATTAAGAGCATCTTTAACGTGAAAATGCTTTTCGTGACTGAAATGTGTCCATGCTTATAATACCTCCTTTCTGTGGTGAAATGCATTCATTCACATTAAAATCTGTTTTGAATTTACTGTTCGTTACATTGGAAAACACTGTTGCTAAGCCGGACAACTTAAAACTGTTCAAATTTCAAATTCAGTATACTTGTGTCAATGCCTGAAACCTATAAAGTGGAAATATCCTAAATATTGCGTTTAGATGGCACGTACATCTAACACATCAGTGTTTTACACTAGACATATAGCCAGTTAACGTATGATCCGGTGTCATATTAATGCTAAAGTTAATAAACAAAAGCAAGCATAAACGATTGGGAACAGTATAATGTGGTGAGAGCAGGCTACTAGCCAATTGGTAGATATTAATTTACCTCAGTACCTATGTCACTAATATTGGCCGTGAGAAAATATGAACAAGACTAATTCAACAACCAATCACAGCAGACTTAACGTGGGCAAATAAGAATCACAGATATATGGCTTAACTTTCTGAGAAACCAGTCACAAGCAGTACAGAATAACCTTGAGCAAGAAACAACCAATCGGAAGACTGTGTTTTTCTGCTTGAATAAGCCATAATAATGTACATGAAATATATATAAATACGCGCTGATTTCTTTAACAAACGATCTGTTGCCTGGCCCTTGTCTTCTGTTGCTACAATAACAGTAGTCATAGATTTACCATATGTGAAACTGGTAGAAAAGAAGAAAATAATTGAAACAATAATTGATTATCATAACAGAGATGATCATCAATAAAGCAGATTGTAACTTTCATATCGACTTTAAGTCCTATCCATTTACGATCTCCAGAAACTTATATCACTTGCTGAATAGATCTGAAGCGAAAAATCGCCATATCTCCAGTTATCTCAGGAAAACAGAAAATTTGCAAACAAGTGGGATTCACTGATGTATTCACTTTGGTTTTGTGGGAGACAGATGTTGACAAAATAATTAATATATACTTTCACACAAAAATATTTGTGTTACTTATATCCGTATGTTATTCATCTTTCCTAGTAGGTTTTTGTAGAAATAAACGAACTCAAATAAACTTTACTTAGTTCCAAACGTTTGATAAAAAATAACAAATAGTTTAACGTGATAAAAAACTACCGTTTTCAAAGGAGGTTGGCAATGCTGACGAACTTCCATTACTTAGTATCCTTGTGTTACGTCCTGTTGCCATTGGTCGACTTAATAGCATACCATGGCCTCCACTTTCTTTGTGACCACTCGATAAACTTTCTGTTTCGGCCAGAGGATCAATGAAAACATTAAACGTTGAACGTCGCTTATCCTGTCGAGGCAACAGCCACATTGAATTTCTTGCTGACCTATAAATAGGAGGAAACATAATGATTAGAAACTCCTCGTAGAATACGTTGATGAACTTTGAGCACATAGGTCTACTGATAACATCAGTCATATATTTTCTGGTAATAAGAAACGATTAAAACTTGTATGAGTAATGGAATAGTAAGTTTCCAGCTGTGTTTTCTATTGATTTAATGAACTTTAACTCAATGCAATTGCAGTGTTATGTCTTCAGCAAGCAAAAATGGGAAATTTATTCTTAGTATACAAAGGAAACCCCGCCAGATTAACATGTCCAGTGAAAGTCAGTATGAGAAGATACACTTTACCAGCTTTAGTACAAATGACTTAACCTCTATATTCACAGAGGAAGCTACAAGCACCCACTATCTTATGCAAATAAATTAGAAAGTTATAGCTGTAAAATTAATGTATAAGATGTAAGGATAGTGGGTGAAAGTCCCTGCCTAGACTAATTCATGTGTCGACTATTGGGAAATTTGTAAATTATCTTGAACATTGAACCTGAAACTTTATAACTCCCACTCACCCAGTTGCATTATCAGTTTGTCATCTCCTATTTCCGCAACATGTGGAAGTACTGTGCTGCTTGACACATATTTGAAACTAACACTATTCAGTTCTCGAGCATTCGTTCGTCAGATTTCCCTTCTTAAAATTTTTCAAATTCCTAGTTTAAATAACTATCCGAGTACTTCCAAACAATTTTCTGAATAACTCAAATCAACTTTTGTAGGACGTTTCAGAAATACCCTCTATACTTTTACATATAATTTGGTTAATTAACATTTGTAGTGATTTGTAGTGATAAAGGCTATTGATGGAGCAGAACGTTTAGTTAGAATATAAACATTCGATGAATATTTTCAGAATGCAGGATGAAACTGAAAATCTGTGAAAGCAGCGTAAACGATTCGAATACTATTATTATAAGCTGCACGAAAATATCCTCTACTCGTGTGCTGGAGTGCTGTCAAATTTATACATATGCTAGCAGTCTAAAATTTAATTCACTGAGAGACTTTAGGTCAGGCTACACTGAGAAATTATTCACCTAGTAACAATTTGTACTTAGTCTACAGTGCAAATAGAATGTTGATAATGAAAATGTTTTTTATAATCAGACACCAAGCATGAGAAAATCTAACATTTTATACTACTCTAAACCACGTCATTCATTACGCCATGCTTGCTTGTTGTTTGACCAAGAAAAAAAAACATACAACCAGTTTCTGACCACTCCGAACATTGAAGTTAAACAGCTTCCCAGCAAAATGCTGGTAGGAGACCTGAAATAGACTGTCAGAATTAATTAACAACACACGGGGGAGTAAATCATAGACCTGTAAAAAGTTATTTTAAACCCTGTGTAAATATCACAATTATTTCAGTGAATCTGGCTTTGGACTAATGCTTTTCTCAACTAAGTGAGAGTCCCTTACTGTCTGTCACATAACTTGAAAGAAAAAAAACTGCGGCATATATACTGCTGGGAAAGTAGACACATGTGATTATTTCATCATATCACTTCAGGTAAATTCATCCAAAACACCTTTCACAATTCACGGAAAAGCAAATTTGACTAGCACATTAGCCTTAAAAATATATTTGATTGATTAAAACCAGAGTTAAAAATGGGCAACCATATAAGTTGTTGGATAAGTGTTTGCATCTTCAGTATTACTCCAGATTGTAATCCTACAAATGTATTGTTGTCATCAAGTGATAAACTGTTTAGGTGTGGTAAGCAAAACAAACAAAAAAAACTCACATTCTTGGTAGTGGTGTTGAAATTTTTGGCAAAGATATTTCGCATATCCTTTGAATTGGACAAAGTAAAGCAACTAACATATTTTTTCGAAATGTACTTCCGTGAATTTCCCGTATATATGTGAATAGTTGCCGTATGTCAGAAAACAGTGAAACATTCTCTTGACTGCTTAATTCACGTCGACATCTAACTAATCTTCTAACAAATGGACCAAATAAGTAGGATAATACTAGACCCTCAGCACCACGTGTATCTTGACCAGCTTCACTCTGTCCAAAACTATTTCCATAGTTTAAGTAAGACTTCCTGTTATGATCTATATGTTGAGAATTGTAAAAAAACAAGATAGAATAAACATTTTTAACTAGAACACTAAGATCTACTAGAAACTAAAAAATAGCATTTTTCACCGATTCATATTAAAAGCCCGCTAAAGCTTAAAAAGAAACGGCTGAATGACACCATGGGTGCTCGTTTGTTTGTTTATCACTAATTCCACTAGATTTCTACATAATCTGCAGATCGAATTCAAAATATGACGATTTATCCAAATACACATGAATCGGCAATCGGCTTCAAACGTGTCTTTTTTTTAAAGTCATAACAGTTTTGACGTAGACATTCAGTCGTTTTATATCTTTCATCGGCATGTATCAGCTGCTCCAGAAGATTTATTGAGATTCAAGAAACTTTTATTGTTTGTTCACAGACACATCATAATATTATGGAAGATAGCCCGAATGCTTCTGCGGCAAGTCACTTGTATTGTTCATAAGCACAATAACAGAGAATAAAAAGGAAATATTACAAATACAATAAATGTGTAAAACTCTAAATAAAACAGTCCGTACCTAGCACTGTAAAAAGGTTAGAAAGAGCAATCAAACAAATGTTGGCATTGCTTAGATTTGTAGAGTTAGTTAACAAAGTATGCGATCCAGTACTACGACTGTCATACCTTATCTGACTCCATTTTACATCCGTAATGCTGCTCAACGCAAAGACAATACTGTTTACTCAGTGGGAAAATTATTTTAATTCTTCAAAAAGTATGTAAGCGCCTAAGTTAAGCCCATCAACTTGGTCTATACACAAAGGCTTTAGAAGGCAGAGATTACTTCTAAAATATCCATTCTAGTGTTAACATGGCTAAATTATGCATCGTCATTTATCATTCAGACAGTAATAACAGTAAACAATGTGTTTCTTCAGTCAATGTAAAAACTGGCGTGGAATTATGCTCCTGTTCATCCCAAGCAAAATACTAAGCCGCATCATCCAGGGGAGAATCAAAGAAGCCAACCTGGATGAAAACCTTCGACCGGAAAAAGCTGGATTTAGGAGAAACAAGTCATATATTGATCAAATCGCCATACTACGGATCATCACTGAACAAAGCTTGGAATGGAAGCCACCTCTGTACCTCAACTTTACCGACTTTGAAAAGGCCTTCGACAGCGTCAGTCAAGAGGTGATTTGGAAACTACTTCGCTAATACGGGGTCCCATCGACAATTATACATCTCATCCAACAGTTATACGACAATGATGAATGCCAAGTAATCCACAACCGGAAACTTACGGAAGCCTTCGAAGTGGGGACGGAAGTGAGGCAAGCTGGCTGTCTACTATCGCCAATGATCTTCCTGATTGCTGTAGATTGGATAATGTGACAGACAATGGGCAATGAGGAAACAGGCATCGAATGGACTCACACAAAAAACTTGGAGGATCTGGACTTCGCCCTTGATGATATATGTCTGATTTCCTACAAACTGGAAGATATGCAAGTGAAAAGGAACAAGCTGGCAGAACAAGCATCCAGAGAAGATACGACTTCCTTCAGGTGAACATAGATAAAACAGAGGTGATGAAGATTCCTGGCCAACACCAACAGCCACATCAACAACAACAACAACAACAGACAGCAATTAGTCAGCATAAATGTAACCTCCTTTACCTACCCAGCTACCTGGGAAGGATCGTTCCAACTACAGGCCAATGGAACTGACGAGGATATCAAAGCCAGGAACATCGGGAAAGTAAGACAAGCTTTCATTACTCTCATCAAGTCTGTGTGGAAGTCAACATCATTCAGAATCAAAAATAAGATCCGGATTTTCAACTCCAATGTGAAGTCAGTGCTACTTTCTACACGTGTCAGAGACTTGGTCAGCGCGTCATAAAGAGCATCTCCAACAAACTACAGACCTTCATCAACAGCTAGCTGCCTTCGCTCAATACCACTCAAGATCAGATGGCCGGCCAGAAAAGATCATCAACAGAGATGGATCTCTGGAAATGAGCGAGCCAACCCAGCAGGAACCGATTGTCAAACAAATAGGCAGGAAGAAATGGAGATGGATTGGATTGTGGTGATACTCTGAGGAAACCATCAAGTGACATCACTGGACAAGCCATCGCTCGAAAGGAACCCTAAAAGGAAGGGGGCGGCAAGTCGGTCGTCAGTGCGAGAGAGAGTGGGGTGACTTGGAGGAGGTCATGTGAAGAGGAGATGAAAGCATGTGGGCAGACTTGGAGTGGGTTGGAAAAGTTAGCAGAAAACCGAAGGCAATGGAGACGCGCGGCTGAAGCCGTATGTTCTTCCAGGAATTAATGGATATAAGATATATTCAAATACAAAGTGCATTTACCTAGTTGTATCTTGAAGCTTGAAATGTAATAGCCAACTTGTAAAATGAATGTCCAGTAATTTGCCAGGGAACGACTGAATGACTAAAGTTTGTTAGAAACTCATTTTTCGTACACAGATCAGTTGTTTAATAAGTGTCTGATCATTTTGTGTGAGTTACTGACTTTAAATCTACTGGGAAAGAATGAACATTGCCTATGTAATGGAACATAGTGTCAGTAGTCAGTGAAAGCAATAGCTACTGGCCTGACTACTGCTGTAATGTGCAGTTTACTGGTTCAGATCTCCATTAAAACAGAAATCCATGGTTGAAGACAATGACGTGCATTCATGCTTTATTATTCTCTACACTACATATTTAATCTGCACTTCCGTTGTCCGACACTATTCAACAAGTTTTGCCATTTGATTATCACCGTTTTTCACTCTCTACTATGCTACACAAATAAGAATTGTGGCAACTGCGACTGTTGAACGATTCTGATACCTAGCTACATCAAAACTGCTTTGAAAATTGCTTTTAGGTTAGAAAAAAACAGGAAGGTAATGTTCAAGTTCCTGATTCTAGGCAAGTGTCCATCTACTTAGTTGTAGCGAATGACAACTAAATAACTAATGTAAGCGAAAAGTGAGTTTCGTAAACTATATGATGAGTTTATAGGAAAATAACTGCCTCACCTGAGCGCTCATACTGGCGTGTAACTGGATCTAAACAAAAACCAGTGAATGAATGAAGCATTTCAACTAAATCAGCAACTGTACTAGAAGACACGATTCTGGTCATGACACGTTTAAACAAATATGGATTTAAGTCATGCAAGTAAATTAAACAATCATGTGTGAGCAATCGAAATTGTACGCTTGGATCCAGCTGACTTTGTTGAGTCTGTTCAGATGAATTTTCAAATTGATGTACCTGTTGCTGTTGATGGAAATGATGACTGGCGGAATTCGGCGAATTACTATGCCCGTGTCTACACCCTGTTGCACGAATAATTCTGAAATAAGATAAAAATTTATGAGATTTACAGGTCCATATTTTTTAAAAAAATATCAAAAATTTGTGCAACAAAACAAGTCCAGGTAGGGTTATCAGAAGCATGGAAATACTTGAACGAACAAATGTAGGATCTACATGCAGAAGTGTTAGTGTCGCCCCAAACGCTTGAGTTCATATAAGGTGTTTTAAAATGAATTAAGAGGTATGGAGAATAAATTTATGTATTAGTGTACATATAATATTAAAAGGACAATAAACTTATGAAGTAGATAACAAGTTCGATAGTATCAGGATTTCATCAGGAGCTGACATTAGTTAGAGAACCACTGGGAAACCTGGGAGTACTGGACAGCTGTTTCCTACGTCCTAGTTTGACACTCTTCATCAGTACGCACCCACCACCACGGTTCGAACCCAGGACCTTCCGGTTACAAGGCGAGCTCGTATACCATTAAGCCACTGGGACCCGATCCAATGGTCCTTGAATTCTAACTTCTGCCAATTCATGACATAGAGCGACCATTGGATCGGGTCCCAATGGCTTAATGGTATACGAGCTCGCCTTGTAACCGGAAGGTCCTGGGTTCGAACCGTGGTGGTGGGTGCGTGCTGATGAAGAGTCCCAAACTAGGACGTAGGAAACAGCTGTCCAGTACTCCCAGGTTTCCCAGTGGTTCTCTAACTAATGTCAGCTCATTATGAAATCCTGAAACCAATCAAATCCCTACAAATCAACACTTGAATATTCGATAGTAATTCAAAACAATTACTCGTATATTATTTAACATTTAGCGTTCCTTTCCAATATTTAATACAAATATTTTGTTGATATTATCATACAAGCATTTGCATAAAATTGTTGGTTATCGGATGAAACCAATCTGAAGTTTAGATTTATATTTACCAATATATAAATGATGACAAACACGGGTGCTAACAAGTATGAAACATCTGTCCAGTAATTCCTGCTAATCGACACACTGCAATTAACACCAAAACTGTTTTTTCTGTGAGGATACTGATAATTCAAAAAATATGAATCATTTTAGTGTGATAAGACGAAGTCTACGCTACGAAAACATGAAAACACGTTCTCCAACAGCATATCACGAAGAAAGACGATTAAAGAGTGATCAAACACTTGTTCTCCAATAATTCAGTTTTTTGCAGAACGTATAATCTTTAGTTAATGGTGATTAACAGACTGCCTTAGTTTGTATCACAAAACACCTTATAAAGGTGTCTCTGAAGTTCTATTTAATTAATACATTTGTCATTTTGAAGTTAAAGCTATTGAATAATATTTTAAAAAGAGTGGGCTTACCTCATCAACATTTCAGCTGCCAATGTAAAGTTCATACGGACAAGCTGGTTAGTTGTATCGCAACACGCTGACTGTCTGAAATGACCTCGAGATTTTGTTCTGCGTGTGCTTCTAGATATTAGCTTTTCATCTGAAAATCTATCATGATTTCGTAGTTTAAATTCAATATTTCCTTGTGATGTAACTCGACGTGGAGCTGAGAATAAATCTTTGTCAAGGTCTAAGGATGACTCCGGACTTCCAAGTGGACTGTTAGTTTTCAAGTTAGATGGAATCATGAAATCATCCTCACTTATAAGCGACTCGTTATCATTTTTACTAAACACCTGTTTCCTTCCTCCTACATCTGTGTCTGCATCTTCACCAGTCTCACTTCCGTATGACTCACTGCATATTCCAACAGAAGCCCTTGATGAACTTAGATTTGTGAACAAGAATCCTACAGATGAATCCCGTCGTTTCACTTTTCCACTGGAATGAGATGCTGAACTGTCATATCCTCCTCGACCATTAGGATTTGAGCTGTTACGATTTTCTCTCACCACAAGTTTATTAAGAATAGGTGTTTTTGACGCTTTGGAGAATTTATGTCTTTCAAAATGGTTTTTCTTTCGAAACCGTCTCAGTTGGGCAGGCTTTTCAAAGGAGACATTTTTCAGGGTATAGAGATTGGATTTGACATCGAAAATTCCCAAGCTAAATAGAACACTCAAACACCTAACCAAATGGAAACACACTCGGCTTGACGTATGCATAGTACTGCACCAGTAAAGACTTCTGAGCAAGACAGAATAATCCAAATGACCATTAGGTGTGATGTAGTATGCAGCACCGGGGACTTCCTCTATCTAAAAAATTATAGATTTTGATTGAGAAAGATAAATAATAAATAAAAAAGTTCCCTGTTTCCCCAAAACAGGAAAAAACAGATTAACTAACAAGTCAAAATGTTTGCTTTTAGTTGGCACATATATGTGTGTTTTGTAACTAACAGAAATGTAACAAGGAAAATCAAATAAATCTGCTGCATTATTCTTTCAGAGTCAGGTTCAGTTTTAGGCGCTGAATTTCATTAGGATCTAAATCTACTCCTGATATCTAATAATTTTCAGTTGAAAATTAGTTAGTTCTAAAAATTCAGATAGCATATAAAAGTTTGATTGATGAAGAGAAAGAGTGGAATGAGAAGAAACTGGGAGAAATTAAAAGATGTGCGCTTTCCAAAATAACTGACAGATTTCCCAGTGCATTTATGACATTTATGACAGCCGTATGGATCTTCAGTTAACTCTCTGGTTCGCAGAGCAGTTGTGCTCCCTAGTTAATTTAGTTTTGTTTTAAGAGGCATTTGCATGCTCTTCATACTGAAACTTCAGAGTTTTCAATATAGCTCGAAGATTATATATGATTTCTTTATGAATAAGTCTGGGCTAGTCTATCAGTAATGCAGCATCAATAGTACAGCTATCAGCTATTTATCACAGCAACAAGTTGTCTGTCCAACCATAAGTGTTCAACGTGAGTATACCAAGCGCTATAAATAATACTTAATGATTTGAGTACTTTTTCAAAATAAATTTAATAGCTATAATCATCTTCGTCTGAAAAAGAATGACTTATTACAAACAAGTAGGTAAAAGCCTGTTCAGAGAAGAAATAAACACATTCACATCTAGAAAAAATATTAAAATAACAATAGATAATATCAAACTGCTGATAAGAACTAAATGCTTCAAGCAATAAGTGACTGACTTAATTTAGCTATACTGTATGCAAATGATATAATTTTGTTCAGGTGATATACTGAGTAAAATAGTTATGATGTATACTGTTAACAGTAAATAATGTTCATGTGTAACTGAGACTCTGAAAAAATAACCAGATATTAAGTGTGTGCAATTTTACAGCCTTAGGAATTATTATCATTATAATATACAATACCATACCACAATACCATATCTGGCACAGCTGTTGTGTGATGAGAAATCCGTTAGGTATGACACGATAAAGTTACCGCGGCTCTCTAACAAATAGTCCCATTAGTTTTTGTTTTCCATTCTCCGTTACTATTACACTGTTGTTCTCATCTTCTATCGCACATCAACTTTATATTTCATATCCTGTGGTGCATTGTTTGAAATGTAAACTCTACGCTGTTTTTTTATTTTTATTTATTTTATTTTATTTTCATTTATCTCTTGATTTTAAAAATCTTATATAATTTATGAGGTAATTAGATGCAATATACTGTAATGCACGCTGAAAATTCCATACCTATACCACAAATACCGTTTCGAATAAAGCTGTTAATATTATTATTATTATATTATATCCTTTAATTCCTGGAGGAACATAGGGCTTCAGCCGCGCGTCTCCATTGCCTTCGATTTCCTGTCAACTTTTCCAACCCACTCCAAGTCTGCCCACATGCTTTCATCTCCTCTTCACATGACCTCCTCCAAGTCACCCCACTCTCTCTCTCGCACTGACGACCGACTTGCCGCCCCCTTCCTTTTAGGGTTCCACTCGAGTAATGGCTTGTCTAGTGTTGTCACTTCATGGTTTTCTCAGAGTATCACCACAATCCAATCCATCTCCATTTCTTCCTGCCCATTTGTTTGGCAATCGGTTCCTGCTGGGTTGGCTCGCTCATTTCCAGAGATCCATCTCTGTTGATGATCTTTTCTGGCCGGCCATCTGATCTTGAGTGGTATTGAGCGAAGGCAGCTAGCTGTTGATGAAGGTCTGTAGTTTGTTGGAGATGCTCTTTATGACGCGCTGACCAAGTCTCTGACACGTGTAGAAAGTAGCACTGACTTCACATTGGAGTTGAAAATCCGGATCTTATTTTTGATTCTGAGTGATGTTGACTTCCACACAGACTTGATGAGAGTAATGAAAGCTTGTCTTGCTTTCCCGATGTTCCTGGCTTTGATATCCTCGTCAGTTCCATTGGCCTGTAGTTGGAACGATCCTTCCCAGGTAGCTGGGTAGGTAAAGGAGGTTACATTTATGCTGACTAATTGCTGTCTGTTGTTGTTGTTGATGTGGCTGTTGGTGTTGGCCAGGAATCTTCATCACCTCTGTTTTATCTATGTTCACCTGAAGGAAGTCGTATCTTCTCTGGATGCTTGTTCTGCCAGCTTGTTCCTTTTCACTTGCATATCTTCCAGTTTGTAGGAAATCAGACATATATCATCAAGGGCGAAGTCCAGATCCTCCAAGTTTTTTGTGTGAGTCCATTCGATGCCTGTTTCCTCATTGCCCATTGTCTGTCACATTATCCAATCTACTGCAATCAGGAAGATCATTGGCGATAGTAGACAGCCAGCTTGCCTCACTTCCGTCCCCACTTCGAAGGCTTCCGTAAGTTTCCGGTTGTGGATTACTTGGCACTCAGCATTGTCGTATAACTAATGGATGAGATGTATAATTGTCGATGGGACCCCGTATTAGCGAAGTGGTTTCCAAATCACCTCTAGATCGACGCCTTAAGAATTAGTTTGTTTTATTACTGGTCCTCTGAGTGGAACATAAGGATTCATACCTTCTTTTAACCCTCAGTAGTGATGATTTTAATTTAACGAAGTGGATTTGCTAGCATCATATCCAACCTTTCTTCGTTTTCCCCATATATTAGTAATATCTCCAACAGACAATTCACCGTAAACCATTTATCAGTTTCCTTCCAATATAAACGTTTGGCAATATAATTGTAGTTAACTTAAAAGTGATTCAAATATTTACTTAAAAAATGCTTCAGACTGAAAAAGATTCATTTAAAATCTGATTTAACATTACCTTTTCTGAGCTATGATAAATTATATCTGAATCCGTTAAACTGCGAGGAAGTACTGCAGTGAATATGTGATCATCAACTGAGTTGATACCGGTATTATCAAGCGTTTTACTGGCTACTGCTATTGACGGTGTGCAAGGTGTTAAACCGAGTTTTAGACCTATTTGACTAGATGGTGAATTAGCTGAAGCATTTTGATCGGGTCTATTGCCTTCAGTTTCATTGTTTGTTGTTTCGTAACCTTGAAATGGCTTTTCACTTGTACTCGAACTCGGCAAAAATCGTAACTTTTCTCCCCCTGATTGGATAGATCGTTTGCTCTGTGCATGAAATATTTGTCCTTCTGTAGTCGAGGTAGGTGACTCGTTACATTCTGATTAAATAAAGGAGTAAAAAGCACCAGTCATGATGGATTATTTGATTATGTGTTGTCTAGATGATACAGGTATCGTTTACCATGACAGTTCACATTTCAAACGGTTTCATACTAATAATGTCACTAAACTTATAACTTATATTACGTTATTATATATATCAAATATTATCTGATTATACTGATTTCACCGGATATGCATGTAACAAAACTACTTTTTTCAATCATTTTTCCGTACCGAAATACAGCAAATTAATTAAATGGGTTGATTCATTTATAAAAATAACTATCAATGAATAGTTCAGTAGAGTCAAAGGATTATAACAATATCTGACTTCAGTGGATAGTAAATGCAACAAAATTCAGGATCAAGTGGATGATTGTCCCGTTTTGGGACAGCGTATAACGATTACTTGACTAACTTCTTCAACAGAAAAAAGTTTCGGAAACAGCGGTATATTTTTATTCTTGACATCGAAGCGAAATTCCCTCAATACGAGAAATATGCAACATAAAATCATGGCTTAGAAAACAGTGCATGAATGTTTGCAGGATACCAATGCATAGCTATTTTATTTTATTCCATTTACATAAGGGAAATGTAATAGCAGTTTATAACTAATTATTATTAGCAAGTCATTTTTTATTACACGTGATGATAAAAAACAATCCTCATATAAAAAATAACTACAGACGATAGAGCAGACCATCTGTTAGAAGGCAAAATAAACTGCGTATAGAAACCATCAGTGATTCAGATTTCAACGATATATTGAGTAATCGGTATTATTAAACATGCTAATGAACACCATTATGGTTGGCATAGGCAGTATTACTAGAATATTTTACAGATGTGAACAAGACCATCTCTCTATATGATTGTCAAAAGGAGGAATTAGACAACCCAGTAGGTCATTTATTGCTAACCCTGTCCCTATGCATCTTCCTGTATCAATAAAGAAGTCTTTTAAAGTGGTATAAAGAGTAAGATGAAGTCTAATATTTAACTGGTGGATGGTGACTAGCAGTGGAATCCAAGATAAAGCGCATTTCGTCCTATTTGGGACTCATCATCCGGATGTACCTGCATTTCTCAATGAGTGATGATGTTCCCACCGAGGCTCGAACCCACTACCCACAGTTTCAAATGCCAAAGCGTTATCCACTAGACCACTTGGGCTACGAGAACCACTTCTTGTGCAACGGGTCATATTAATAAGATGAAGTCGTTGGAAAGGTTTTAGGCTGCATCCTCTTTTCACAGTGAAAGCTTTTTGCAATGCACTAGGAAGACCGCCTAATCGAGTATTATTAGGACAACTTAACCACGTTTCTGAATTTATCCATTTTTCCCTGGCAGTTAACTTTATATATTTTTTTACCAATTGATACTAAAAAGTGGTAGTAAGTGGCGCTTCAATTATTTTTTACAACACTATTTAATTAAACAGATTTAATGAGAAATCACGGAAAGAATTTTTTGTTGACCGATTTCTTCTCAATTTGCTTAGTATGCATACGACACAAAAACTTAATAATTTTCATTCTATAGTTCGGTTTGGAAGGGTTAGTTTTGTTTTCACGAGTTGATCACGGATTGATATCAGTTAGAGAACCATTGAAAAGCAGAAAGTGCTGGACAGCTGCTGTTTCATCCTAGTTTTGGGTATCATTGACAGTACGCACCCACTGGGATTCGAACCCAGGACCTTCTGGTTACAAGGCAAGCTCGTATACCATTCAGCCACTGGGACCCGATTCAATGGCTCATGAATTCTAACTTCTACCAATTCGTGATTTAGTACGATTCCCAAACTAGGATGAAACAGCAGCTGTCCAGTACTCCCTCGTTTTCAATGGTTCTCTAACTGATATCAATCCGTGATCAACTCGTAAAAATTGTCATTCTATCACTGTTGATAGATGGGAAAATTTGTGCATTTACTCTAGAAGCTTCATCATCTACTTAAACACATCCACGGTTCTGAAAAGATTTCTTTCTAAAGCGAAATTGAGAAACATTATGTGCCTAATAAGCCAAACTAATGTGAGGAAAACATTACATCAAGGTGTAATTTTGAACACTCCTTATATAATTTATATATGTGCAAACCAAGTTCACTTTTAACAGTTTGAAAAAATTTGGGCATTGAGTAGGTGATATTCATTATAATAAAGGTTTATATATATATATATATACGAAATTAATTTTCAGTACTCTTACCTGATCCGTCTGTTGCAGATAAAGGTTGAAATTTCATATTTACATCGCCTGACTTGAACTTCGACGCTCGAGTAAAACGTTCCTGATACAAACAGAGAATAAGCCTACATAGAATTCATTACTTTTACAGATATTTTATATATCTTGAATCAAAAAGCCGTATAGGAAAAAGTAGTTTAAATTAAAACTATTCAAAATAGTACATTACTCGGCATTATATTAAGTACTAATTTAAATCAGTAATGCGAACACAGTATGATAGCCTTCTACCTAGTTTTCTCCTTTACTATATAAAGCTTTTGTTTATACAGCCTTGAAAATAAACTTTCTAAGTGTAAGGAAATCACAATAAAATCAGTGACCTTAACATGGTGATCATAACAGACCAAAGATCTTAATTTCAAATTCAGAAATACAATCTGATTTCATTTCAGTTTAAATTCCAGGAATGACTTCTCTCTTTCAAACCGATTCGTCAAATAACCGTAAGTATAATCACGATTTTTCTCCATTGAACAACTTAAACTTTCGCCTGCGAATATCTCCTGCAACCATGAAAATGTAATAAAATAGTGTCAAAGGTTTCTTATGCAGATGTAAAGCTATGGAGTCGACGAGCAATGTTAGCTGATATAGGGTCAGGCTGGAAAAGAGCTAGCGGAGGTCAAACAAAAACATGGCTTCACCAGTCAATGAAATCCACAACAGTTAGTTTAAGCCATGTAGGAAGGTGTAGACTTCTGGACTGGTTGGGGTCCTCGGGATGGTAAAAACCAATGGTTGGAAACAATTGGTGACTTGGCTCAAAATCGTTCTCAAGGGCTGGCGCAGATGCATCCACTCCTTGTGACTTATGATTTCCAATGAAACTGTTTTGTTCTCCGTTACTACTATTCCTCTGTCTCACACCTGTGTTTACTGTCTCTATTATGCATTTCTTCTAATTTCTTCTTTTGCTTTGTATGGTACATGGAGTGTGGCGACTTGAAGTGCCGCACATATGTTCAAAGTTCTATGTCGAAAACAGACAGACAGACAGAAAGCCGTGGATGTATTTTAGGCAGTAAGATATGTCAAACTGTAGGTTGTTGTCTTAGGTTGAGACGTCTATTCAGAAGATTTAAGTAGAAAACATAACGGTCAGATAGGGTGTTTGCTAGAATGTAATGGAATTAGAAAATTTAGATTTTACAAAATTCTATGGATTGTAAGACAATCTCTCTTCAAATCTGATGCAAACGTAGGCATTTAAAAGTTCTTCATTAACCTAAGTAAAGCGTGTTAGGGGATATTATGTAAAAAGGATTACTTTTAGATAATGCAAGAGATTACCGTATTTAGCATTTCTTTATGCGGTTTATGTGGTACCATTTTCTTTGCACAAAACAAAGTTTGATAGATATGCAAGTGTTACCACATAAAAACAAGCAATAAAAAATAAGCTGTGGCGTCTGACCTAGTTATAGAACAGAAATAATCTGAATGAAATTAATGTTATGAGTTTATCCATAGTGTTCTTATTCTTTTTCCGCACACTTCTTATTTGTAGTCTGACGAGAAAATTAAATTACTAATACACCAGTTTTTTCCAAAAGAACAATGGTCAGAAAATAACTAAATCAATATCTGGTATTCTTCATCTGATGGAATAAAGTATTATAATTATTCCCTTGGATTCCAAGTGGATCATAGGTTTTCAACAACAAATCTCCACTTCCTTCTATTTCCTACCGTCTTATTCAGCTGGGTCCACGATTGCCAAAACTCCCTGATCACTTCCTCACACGACCACCTCTACGTCACTCTAGGACGACCCACTCATCTCATCGAATTAGGATTCCCCACCCAAGTGACAGCCTGGCACGCGATTTCATTCAACGATATCCTCGGTGTATGCCGTATAAGACTTCGAGTTTGTGTGACATTAAACATACATCATCTGTGAAATACAGATCATCAAGAGTCTTCTCATCGGTGGTTCAGAGTATTCCTGTCTTCTCACTCCCGTCACTCGTCCCATATGATGCATGTTCCAGTCCACCACAGTTATGAATATTATCGCCGATAATACGCAGTGGCCTTGTCTTACTCCTGTATGCACTTCGAAATCCTCACTGAGTGTGTTTTCCATTGTGGATCACCTGACTGACACGTGCTATTGTCATGTAGCCAACTGTTGAATGAGGTTGATAAAGATCCAAATTACTTCTCTGTCAACGCTGTGTGGTGGAGGCCTTTTCGAAGTCGATGAATTTGAGGTAAAGGTTTAACTGCCATTCTATGCTCTGTCCGATGACGATGTGTAGATTTGAAATTTGATCAGAACACGATTTGGCTTTCCTGAATGCAGCCACCTTCATTCGTGGTGCGAAGTTGTGCATCCAATGCATTCCCTACTCTCTTCACGATGAGGTGACGTAGTATTTTACTTAGCGTGGACAAGAGAATTAATTATTCCACTCCAGTTCTTTCAGACTAAGGCCTAAGTTGGTTGTCTCTGGCAGAAAGACAAGACAGCTAGCCGTTATTCCAAACAGTAGGCACCTATCCTTCCTTCTAAACCTTTCGAAATAATGGAATGAGCGTATCAGCTGCAGTTTCTGGGTCTGTTTACAGTGATTCAGAGACGACAGAAATTCCGTCTGGACCTGTTGCCTTCCCGACTGGACTTCACTGGCTTGATCACAATGAAGATTTGTGCTTTGGTTGGAGGATAGGTGGTGTCGACTGGGAGTCAGTTCTGTGCGTGCTTCCAGTGGTGGTATTTCTGATCGAGTTTCAGGTGATGGTCGATTAAAGAGTCCTTTAAAGTGATCAGTCCATTGTCTTACTTGTTTCTCCTCAATGGTGATCAGGTTCCTTTGAGCATCTTTTATTGGTTTCACCATATGAGTTGATCACTTCGCCGGATAACGAGCAACATGACTATCTGATATAATGTCATTAGGTCTGTTTGACGTGAAGCCCGCCTGTTGTGCTCCAGTTGGTTGCCAGTATGTCGAAGAATTGTCTTTTGTCCTTCCGAGTATTCTTCTTCACTTCTCCATTCAGTTCAGTGTACATTGAAATTAGCCTCTCCTTCCGATGTCCATCTCTACATTGAATCATCTTCTCTTTCACTGTCCTCCTCTCTCATCTCCTTTCCTCTCCCCTCCTAACTTCTATTAGCTTCCAGATGCCCGTTGAGAGCCATTCCTTGTTGTGTCTCTTCTCCCTCCCTTGAACAGTTGTACACGTTCACCTGAATATCGACTTCAGAGAGTTAGTCCTAATATTCTTCCACTCAGGTTTCCTCAGTAGCGTCACGTAGTGTCCGATAGCTCTAGTCAAGGTATCTTCTTTTGTAGTTGCATCTTTCGGTTTCCGAATGTTGAACGTGAATACAACGGCCCGTCGTCAGTTGTTTTCAGAGATTTCAGCTTCACCCTGAAGATTCATTGAACTAGATGATGGCCTGAACCCACATCTGCTCACCTTCTCGACTGAGTGTCCTACAGGCTGCGTTTCCACTTCCTTCAGGAATATTGAGATTCGGTCTATCTGGTTTGTGGTATGTCCGTCAGGCGAACTTCATGCTTGTGCTTGTATACGCTCCCTCCGACCTCCAGATCATTAGAAGCGCAGTGGTCTGTAAAGAGTTCTCTGTTGTCATTGATTTCGCTGAGCGGGGGGGGAGAGAGCCTGTTGACTCATGATGACCTCTCTTCCTATGTTGTCTGCTCCCAGTCCGGTTGGAATTCATATCGTCCATGGGGAATGTGATGTCGCCATTCGTCATGTTGTCCACCACTGTTTTTAGTTGTCAGGAAAAATCCTCATTTTTCTCTTGTCTCGTGTTGTTTGTATCAGTGTGATTAGCATTGCATGATAATTGTGACCTTCCTTGACTTTGAGTTGAATCTTTGTGTCATGGTGGTGCAGGATGAAATTTGTCCCCACTGCATTAGGACTCTGGCTGTCAGTGGTGACATCATGATAGCCATTCAGTGCCTGAGTGTGCTCGTGGTTGTCGTCTAGGTGACCAGGTTGAGGTAGATAACTGACTCACTGTCGACAATTTTGACAAGGCACATCGATTCAATTTGCTCTTGCAGATTCTCAGTACTTCTAGGCCATATATTTACATTTCGTTGCCACCTGGTCAGCCTTCATGGCTGACTTCGTACATTTTGCGTGCATAGCACGTCCACATTCTTATTATTACTTTCATCGAGAGAAGACATGGTGGCTGGCTGACTGGCTTCCCTGAAGGCTTTCACCAGCGCGCCCTGTCATTTCGCGTCTCTGATTGCATCGAATGTTTTTTTATTTTTAATATATTTCCTGTGCGTTGAAGTTTCTTTAGCAGTTTGACAGGTTTGGTGGTGTGATGTTGGTAGCCCCACGCAACTCTCTCTCTCTTTAAGCGGGTTGTTACCGGCTAGAAAACTAGCAATTCAGTAAAACATGCAAGGTTGACAAAATAACTGGTGCTTATAGAGATAATTCCCTTTTATCCGAAGATCAATCTTTGTTTTTAAAACCTGAACACTGACTTCAACGTATTTAGGACTAATCAAGTTTCGAGGAATACTAGAAAAGTTTTAGACAGATCTTCACAAAATAATAGAAATCTACTTTGAAGCAAAAGTCTAGAGATATATTTACTGATTATAAGGTTACCTTGATGTCAGCAATTCTTGATCGTTTTGAACCCCTCCAGGCAGGTTGCTGATGCTGCTGGATTTGTTGTTGTTGACCTCCAAAACTAACAGTCGGCAAGGCTAGTGTGAATGATGGATCACCAAGACCAATATCTGTGGGTAACAAATTTGGACTAAGCTGCTGTTGTTCATCTTTGAGATCCTTTTCTTTCAAATAATCCAATTTCATAAGACTAATGTCAGATCGTTCCATGTTTAAGATGGATGCAGATGATCCTACTATACTTGATATACCTTTTTGATTTAATGACTCATCTAAATGACTTGGTTTGGAAGGATGCTTAGGAAAGGGAGGAGTACTTTCACTACTTCCAATTGAGGGTTGAATAACACTGCTAGTACTGTTGGATTGAACTTCACAAATCTGCTCATGAGGTGTTAGATATTTCTGTGGACTGGCTTCATCTATAATTAACAAAATGTATTGATGTGTATGTGTTTAATGAGTACTAAAAATGAAGCTGAATAATGTAGATTGTGTTACGACCCTAATGGTGCGTCGGTGGTATAGCGGTTAGGACGCTCGCCGACCATGCATATGGTCCGGGGTTCGATCCTCGGCCACAGACGCACTCCTTTACCTCGATAAGCCAGAAATAATGCTGGTAAAGAGGAATGGTTGGGCATGAGGCTAGCAACCACATCCTGTAAAAATAAACACTGCTACTGAAACTTCAAGCCACTAGCTTGAAGCCCTATTTTCCACTAGGAACGTGAAGGAAAAATTATTATTTATTATTACGACCCTAATGAACAGCAAACTAGCAGGGTTAATTAAACAATACTCAAATAATACAACTAGTGAGTGACACCAAACGTTAGGCCTTGAAGTGCAACACTTAACGGAACCGACGAATTGGGTATCTGTGGAGGAAATGAGAGCCTATGAACACGCGGGGAGTAGGATGAAATCGAATCCAGACGACTTACTGAAACCCTGTGTACCACTCAGAGTGCATAGAATTTAATATGTATATATATATGTTTGTTGTGCTATTATGAGGTTAGTTGTGACTTGAACAGCTAAGTGGTAAAGTCACTGATATTAACGATAAATGACACATTTTCGAATCATCGAAGGAACATCTGTTTCCCGAGAGTTACAGATTTTCACCTTTATGAGTAGCAACAAGCGCATAACCTAATCCCAGGATTTCTTTCTGAATAACTCCCAACATCTAAAGGATTCATATTTATTGTTTGTTTAAATAAGATGAATTATTATTTACATTTTTAGAAATATCTGCCTCTGAGATGAACTGCATAATAGAAAGCAATGAGTATTTCTTTTGACAACACTGATTTTATCAGCTAAACAGGGAAAGCAATTTATCATTTATAGACATGAGACCATATTCATTTTATGCAGTGTAAGGAATAAGATTCATAACCTACTTGTGTTACATAATGTCTAATTCACATGCACTGTACAAAACCAAAATATAATGCTCAGAGTTTACGAGTAATTTTCACTTTTTGATTATTACACTTGGGCGTTTTGGGCACAAATGTGAAGGAACACTAAAAAGAGAACACAATGTCATAGATGCACCAAAAGTGTACGACAAAATTTTATTTCCTCAGTATTTCTCTAAAACGTTTTTAAAATATTTCTTAGTGAAATTTTCATTTCCTTTGTACTTAAGTTCTATGTAACATCTAGAATTGTAATACAGTAAAGGTAGGACCACCGTTGATAATGGAAAACTATCCATCCAGTGTTTTTTCACGAAATCCAGTAAAAATTTCTATGCTTAATTCTGTACAGTCATTTACTCGTTTCCTGAGTAAAAGCAGTATTTATCTGCCAAAAAGAATACCCACTTATTTCAAACGCATAACAACAAACTAAAACTGAGTTAAACCTTGAAATTTACCAGTTTTATTATTACATTCTTTATTCAATTGTTCATTGGTATTGTACTGAGAAGTACTCAATGTGCACTTTGATGATAGATTTGGTAATGACAAACATCGTATTTCCCTCACCATATCACCAGTGATTTGATTTATTCTTGCTTGGTGCGATGACGTTGACGACCATACTCCTGGGGTCCATTTACATAACCGATCAAATGGTAGATTTCCTCTACGAAGCTTGAATAATTTACGATTGTTGGGCTTAATTCTCAGCCATTCTGAACGAATTTGTAACAGACGATTGAATAAGTAGCAAAGTGACCAGTAGATACCAGATTCACACCATTCAGAACAATATAAACACCGTATCACAGCTAAATCACAGTGTGTTGCCAGCATACAGTTAGATCCAACAGCCGGTTGAATATATTCATTATCGATTGTCGAATACTTCAACTTTTCAGATAATTGCTTATATGGATCTTCAAAAGAGTTTAGGAATTTTTGAATCCTGTCATAACCTGCGGCTGTGTGTTCTTGCTCCTGTCAAATACAAATAAGATCATGATTTTAAAATGTATTCGGTTAATATTCTGCTTTCTACCGGCAAATGTTTACTGCATATTTACCTTGTTTTCTAACGAATAAGACGTCATATTTTAAGAAATTACAGCCACTGTAGGTAGGACTGCAAACATTGTAACAAATACTAACGAATGTTGATGCCGTAAAACATGCGGTTGTTAGAATACTCCGCATAAAAGTGAAAATTTAGCAATAACTTTGACTTCATATGACAGTGTATTAACGAACATAAAGATGTAAAATACTGAACACATTTAGCATATTTAATTTTCAAAAATAAGAACTGACGTGTTAATACAATGCATGGTGTTTAATGTTAAAAGTTAACAGGCAGGGTTCCATCTGCAGCTAAGTACAGCTAAAACATCGGAGAAACTCCTGAAATCGCAGCTCAGAATGTCGTGGACCTTCCACAGTCAAATATTGGTGCTACTGTTACACTGTACAGAATTGCTGTTACTTTTATTTTGGTTACCATGCCTCATACAATCTCACATAGTTCAGTCAGTATGTTTAGGGCGTAACATGGTTACCAGTTGCCATTAGGTAGTCAGTGTTGTTCACTGTATCCCAAAATTAACCTTTGAATACGACTGAAAAATTAAATTAACAAGGTTTTTATTGTTTGCTTTATTATCTTGAAGATTGTAGCCTGGAATTCAAGCATTAAATTCATTTTATGTCTATGCAAGTTTATATACACACACACATCAAGGCTTCTATATGTTCATGGAATTAAGTCATAAATCAAACATTTCATAAACGAATTCCCCTTACTGATATCTGACAAAGAGAGTTTTGAGAAAAAAGATTTGAGAAACTCAGAGAAGTGAATATCCGTGGTTAAGGTAACCAGTGCATTTTCCATAGATGTAATGAAACGCTATGGCGGATGAGTTGCGAGTGTAAGCAATAATAGTCGAAGTAAAGATATGCTCCTAGTGTATAGTCAACCGAATTATGTTATTACAGGATATCATAGTTCTAGGATAATGGTGATAAGAACGAGATATCATGTGTTTTTTCCAGCTGATATGTATTCATAATGAAAACTGGACAGCATAACGCTTAATGCTGGTGTATTGTGTATGGTACTGAGGCTACAGGTTTTATTTCAGCCGCTTACTGTTATTTTAAACTATTCTGTAAACATACCCAACTTTAAACTAGAATGACTATTTCACTCTGGAATATGCTTCTAAAAACGACTTCAGTATGCATATATAGCTCATATTATAATGCTAGTCACCTAGCTAGACAAAAGTAAAATAACTTGCGTTCATGAAATACTAGATTTATCTATCATTTTCCTCTATACTCCATGTGATTTATTAGCGACAGCAACATATCATTCATAATTACAGACTTTTGTTATAAAAACTATATATGTTGCATGTGAAAGAAAAATTATTAGTCTCATATATTTTAGATTATGAATAACAAAAATATTGCATAAATGATTTTAAAGTGAATATTACTAGGTAAATTAACATTGTTAGTCTTGTTATTGTTATCATGATAATGTGAAAGAAAAAAAAATACTTATTTTTAGGTGAGACGGAATGACATGCATAGTTGGCCTACAACTGTCTCTGGCCAACACGTCGTGGCATACACAACAGTACAGTAATCATACATGCTGATGAGATTTAACTAAAGTATTTAGTTTAAACGATAATTAAATTTTCTTATCAAACACACCGGTGTAAATAAACTCTCAATAGTATGGAATAAGAATGAAGAATCAACAAATGGATGTCCGTTTGTTTAGTTTCCTATGGACAGTTTGTTATGGAGTTAGCTGTGAAAAATGCTAACAAAAGTCATTGATAGCCTTTTTCTGAAGTGAATTCGCACAAAGGTGCAGCATTTCAAGCTCCCACACTTCATACAAGCACACATAAACGGAGCAAACAGAAATATGAAGGAACTATAAAAAGTTGAAAAAGCGTGGATATAGAATAACAATAACAGTTCATTTGAATTATTTTGCAATCGAATTAAATTAACAAAGAAACTATGTAATTGGCACAATCATCGCGTTTTCACTCTCCGCTGTCTGCAACAAAATGCATATCCTAAATTCGTAGCTGTCCAGTCACCTGACAACTCCAGTAGGTGGAATAAAGCAGCTTAATATTCAGAAAGAAGACAAAGCAATAAGTTCGACAGGGTGCTTAAATTAAACTCTAATCCTAAACACCATAATTTTGAATATACGTCTAATCATAAAATTCTAGCTACGAACAGTTTGAACAGACATGAAGGAGTGATGTTAGCTGATGCATAGGAAATCCTGATTAATAAATAAGAATGGATATGTATCACTAACTAATAATACTTGGTCAAAGTTCCCGACTGTCTATATCTACTTATGGAGACGTTAAGAAATTGTTTTACAACTGTTTACCCGCACACACACACACACATACACACTGTTTTTTTTTAAGTGTTTAACAAAGGTAGACCAATATTTGTAAGTTCGAGGTCAAATTTTGATCACAACTCATACAATTTTGTTTATTATACTTGTTAATACTTGTTTTATGAATCATGATTGGACAAAGTATTTAAAAACAAGAGATATTCCTTTTATATATAAACCTCTGTTATGTTAATTTCGATTAATTTCCCTGAAGAAGTTCGGACCAGATTTCCAAACGAAACGTTGGAATTACTCATTTCAATCTCGCTGAGATTTTACAAATATAACTTTTTACAAATGTTTAACTAAACCTTAGTTGTACTTATATGCACTTTTTCTTGCTGATTTTTACTTTGGAACTACATACATTTGATTTATATTTTTTAAAATTAAATCAATTCCTAAAGTATCTTCGAGTTTATTCCTGTCTCATTAAAAAAAAGCTGCTACATAATATCAACATCAATATTTTATCATGTTGATTAACTTACAGATTTCTGTTCACCTGAGTGAGATGATGTTTCCGTTGTTCGTGTTGCTTCAGCAGTTGCTGTGTTCTGTGATACAGGTTTTTCGCTAAACTCTTCTTCATCATCTATACACTCAGGTGTAGCTTTCGGAGGTTGTAAGCTCTTGGTCTGTTCTGTAGAGTTAACTGCATAATTGCGAGTATTTTGACCGGAGTTTGAAATATTTAATCCACTACTCTCTGATCCCTATAAAATGCAGAATTATATACACGAAATCCAACTGAATGAGTGATCAAATTATTTTTTTTAAAGAAGCTCCACTTTTGAAAACCAAGTCAAAGTAAGCAAGTTTTTTTTTCTAATTGAACACAGCCGAAATTATACTTTAGAAGGCAGCTGAATTGCATGATAATTTGTGCAAGAAAGTTCCTATTCCTAATTTTCCTTAGATATTTCAAAACAGAGTCAAGGAATCACATAGTCTTCATGTGATCGCAACATCTGTAAAATGATTAGTAAACACAATCTACTAAAAATAAAAAACTCACCTCTTCTGCACATTTGGTCAAGATAGTGGCAAAGCATAATTTTAATTAGGTTACTAGAAATACACATCAAACGCATGAGTATATATCCTTTTTATCAAGAAAAAATTACACATAGTCCCTTTGATGTTAAAACCTATAATTATAAGCTTCACAGCAGCAGAGGTCAAAACAGCCGTCAAAACAGCTTAAAGTTCTACTTAGCGAACTAGCTTAAGGTTAAAAACTAGTATGCCAGCCTGTTACACAGTCTCAGGGATAATAAGGCAGAGTTTCATTTCAGTGCACGCATTTAAAAGAAATGTTGAATTCATAGACTCAGGTTATGTAAGCGCGAATCATCACATTGAAAGAAATCACACGAAATCGTGAAAAAAATGCATAACTAGCAGTATAACCCGTTTAACTGCTTATGTCAAAAAAAAATTCGGCTACTGTTTGTTGACTGGTTTAGAACGGAGTATTTCATTTCCGTTTAGTGAAAAAATCACTTATTATTACTATATACTTTAATTCCTAGAGGAACATAAGGCTTCAGCCGCGCGTCTCCATTGCCTTCGGTTTTCTGCCAACTTTTTCACCCCGCTCCAAGTTTGCCCACACGCTTCCATCTCCTCTTCACATGACCTCCTCCAAGTCACCCCACTCTCGCACTGACGACCAACTCGCCGCCCCCTTCCCTTTCGGAGTCCACTCGAGTAATGGCTTGTCTAGTGTTGTCACTTCATGGTTTTCTCAGAGTATCACCACAATCCAATCCATCTCCATTTCTTCCTGCCTATTTGTTTGGCAATCGGTTCCTGCTGGGTTGGCTCGCTCATTTCCAGAGATCCATCTCTGTTGATGATCTTTTCTGGCCGGCCATCTGATCTTGAGTGGTATTGAGCGAAGGCAGCTAGCTGTTGATGAAGGTCTGTAGTTTGTTGGAGATGCTCTTTATGACGCGCTGGCCAAGTCTCTGATACGTGTAGAAAGTAGCACTGACTTCACATTGGAGTTGAAAATCCGGATCTTATTTTTGATTCTGAGTGATGTTGACTTCCACACAGACTTGATGAGAGTAATGAAAGCTTGTCTTGCTTTCCCGATGTTCCTGGCTTTGATATCCTCGTCAGTTCCATTGGCCTGTAGTTGGAACGATCCTTCCCAGGTAGCTGGGTAGGTAAAGGAGGTTACATTTATGCTGGCTAATTGCTGTCTGTTGTTGTTGTTGTTGTTGATGTGGCTGTTGGTGTTGGCCAGGAATCTTCATCACCTCTGTTTTATCTATGTTCACCTGAAGGAAGTCGTATCTTCTCTGGATGCTTGTTCTGCCAGCTTGTTCCTTTTCACTTGCATATCTTCCAGTTTGTAGGAAATCAGACATATATCATCAAGGGCGAAGTCCAGATCCTCCAAGTTTTTTGTGTGAGTCCATTCGATGCCTGTTTCCTCATTGCCCATTGTCTGTCACATTATCCAATCTACTGCAATCAGGAAGATCATTGGCGATAGTAGACAGCCAGCTTGCCTCACTTCCGTCCCCACTTCGAAGGCTTCCGTAAGTTTCCGGTTGTGGATTACTTGGCATTCAGCATTGTCGTATAACTAATGGATGAGATGTATAATTGTCGATGGGACCCCGTATTAGCGAAGTAGTTTCCAAATCACCTCTTGACTGACGCTGTCGAAGGCCTTTTCAAAGTCGGTGAAGTTGAGATAGAAATTGGCGTGGTCGCCAATTCACCACATTGTAAATATCTCATCTCGTCAAGTCTTCCAGGCTTGAATAATATTGGTGCGGCAAACCACTCAAAATTCTACTTTCTCATTAATTATGCGTAGCATCATAACTATTTGTACATGAATAAATAGCCGAAGCTATGCCCTGAACGTTACTTATAAAACATAATGCATAATTCTAATATGATTTAAAATAACCAAGGCTAGAAATCCAAAATCAATGAATAGGAGATTCGGAAGAATAGACAAGTTCTGAGTTATTCTTATTGTATTTTTTTTCTTTTAAAATGCAGAGCTCATCTTCAAACACGACTTATCAGATTTGAAACATCTAAATTTTTGAGTACTCAATTCTTTTTAAATTCTCCAATATTTTTTCTTTATCACCATTTTAGCTATAGAATGGTAAATACGCTAGAGAACTAATATTTTAATGCCTTATAGTTTGGTTCGCGTATTAGTTGTACAGACCTTTCTCCCCTAATGAGTTGAGTCATCAATGTGAAAATTAGGAGGTAACAGCTTCTAGGTTTAAAAAATAGACGAGATGAGGTGCAAACCTACAAGAAAACCACTGTCTTCAGTCAATACTCTAGGCGATAACCAGTTTCTGAGTTTGGTGATTTTACTAGGAATACGGTAAAATAATTTGAGGAAGGTTTGAGGAAAATGTGGATAATGGGCAAATAGTAATGTTTTTTTATTAATTTAAGATTTCTTATTTTTATGAAGACAGAAATGTCGAACGTCATTTCTCTGTTTTTTTTAAGCAAATTGCCGCATCACGCTAATAGCCAGCTGGAATTCACTAACTCAAAGCTCTTTTGAACGGCATTATTGACACATACGCTTCAGGAATTTTACTCATATGATACATAAGCAAAAATTACTTAGATTAATATGACCAGTTGCACAAGAGGTGACTCTTGTGGCCCAAGTGGTCTAGTGGATAACGCTTTGGCGTTTGAAACTATGGGTGGGAACATCATCACTCACTGGGAAATGCAGGTACATCCAGATGACGAGTCCCAAATAGGACGAAATGCGCTTCATCGTGGATTCCACTGCTAGTCACCATCCACAAATTAAAAATTATTTTTGTTTTAAAAAGTACGCTAGTCATATTTAATCATTATGTTTCTCATAGTTGGTAACAGTTGAATTATCTATTCCAGAATAATTGGATCGAGTTATTATTTGCACGCTCTAATGTCAGTACAAACAACTTTGTTCTTATTTTCATTTACTGGAAAACATAAATCTTCAGTGATGATAATGATTTCTTTTGTAGCTAACTTTGCACATATGCTATTTAGTTTAAAGACGATGTAGGTGAAAATTCCAACAAGTTATACAAAAGCTTACAAAAGCAGAAATTTTTACCTGCTTTTGTCAATGGAGCATGTGAAAATATAGTTTATCACGCTATGATGTTCATTATATATATATATATATATATACATATGATTTCTTATATAACTTTACGACAGATGAGATAGTGAGGAGATTATTTTAGACAATACAAATTTTTAATCCGATAAGCATGAGTTATCATTGCAAAAAAAGGACAAGAATTTGCATGATTTAATTCATTTATAATATAAAAAGGACATTATATAAGTATATATATATAAATGTCTCTTAACTAGAGAATATCGAATTGGAATGGATGAAGGATAAGGTAGTTTCCATAATACCTTAAATAATGGATTGGTTTCTATTGAAAGTAAATTTCCTACACAAATACCAGTTACAGAAGTATACCAACTGTTAGTTATTACTTCAACTACTATCCTTCACCTATTAGTCAAAAATATTGTCCTGTGAAGAAGTTAGCTACCCTAAACAGATACATTTTATATTTTCGGATAGTAAAATCTCTATTTTTGATTACAGCTGGATTCCACAATGTATTTTTGGTACAAGTATGGAATTTTCAGCATGGATATCGGTAGCCCAAATTTTACAGGCCGACCATAGATATCAGGTGTGCGTCGTCAGGGGATCGAACCTTGGACCATGTGCATGGTCGGCGAGATTCCTAACCACTGTCCCACCTATGAACCTTACTTTGTCTACTCTGTTTAATGTATACATAATCTTCATTACGTTACTAATTATTTGCAGCCAGTTCGGTAACACTTAAGGTATCTATTAACTCTCATCAATAATGTAAGTAATGCTTGTAAGTGCACTTATCTTACTATTACTGAGGGGTCATTGTTTCAGAATACTATTCGCAGCTTGAGGGTAAATCTAACGTTAAAGACTTTTATTTATTCATCTTATATTAGTGCTTCTCTATTAAGAATTTTCTAAACAACCATTTTGTTACAAATGCATAGACAGAGCTTTATATATATATATATATTTTTGCACTTTCAGTTAAACCAACTCGTCGATGTGATCATGGAGATACGTCTTTCAGGGAGCTAATCAAACAGTCTCAATAAACAGTACTAAACTATTCAGCTTCGAGGCACGGAAAATTTCCATGTGATGCGTATTATGAACACATCAGTCAGCGGAGATGCTTCTTTTAATCACTTCACTTCAAAGCCGTATAGTTATCTAGAGGTTTATATATATATATATATATATATATATATATATATATATATATATATAATGTCAACTGACGAAAACGTCAGAGGTTATTGTTAATTAGTAACAAAAATAAGTCAAAGTGTATGAGAAACAACAGTGTGTGAAAAATAATGAATAATCTTACGTGATCGAGAAAGCTTACGACTAATTAGTTAATTGATAGGAAACAAAAATTCAAAGCCAGTCACATAGACAAATTACAAAGAGCATATTATAAATCAAAGAAAATAAAGTTAACACCAAGACCACAGTAGTAAAACAGGATGCATAAAAAATTCCTGAACGTAAGGTTCGTGTTCTTCTTTACGCATGAGAATAACTTCTTCTGTACGTAAAATATCTAGATGAAATCCTTCTAAACGGTGTAAGTATACTTCATATATGACTTTGAATGAAATCTTTACTTATGTTCCGTGACCAGAGGTAATAATGTGCTCCAGAACTCAGCTGCTGATCATTCTGCATTCGCAATATCCTGCAGGTACGGCCTATGTACTTAACTCCATAGGAGCAAGTGAATGGGTGAATGCATATTGAATTCTTCAACAGCCGGAGCCTGTCTTTAATATTCTTGTGGGCGACAGCATGTATGGAGGTGAAGCAGCATGCAAGTTCTTCGAACTGCTTTTAGCAGACGACTTCGGAGAAATTCACTGAATGTATCTGCTTTGGATTTCAAATTTATTATCAGCTGTTTCGTCAGCACATCCAGATTTCGTGCCAAGATTCAGTCCTTTTCCCCACATTCTAATCGATGTAGGGAGGCTAAATATCCATTGATCCGATTCCTTACTCAATTTACCATCGTCAGTGCTACTGTAATATATTCTCGGCGCTTATTAAAATTATATCTTTTAATCCATCCACTAGTTTAGATTTTGAGTACACTCTTACTGAATAGCAAAACTGTTTATCTCAGATTGTTTTCCTCAAAACTTTAATTAAAGGAATGTAGAATATTTTTTCGTTGTCTAAAAATTTACAACGAACAGCAATAACAAATTTTCTAAACTAAATTTGGTTATCTACTCAAAACCACAAAATTTAGTAAAACAACGACAACACTTAATAAACATCGATCTGTGTAGACTAAATGTTTGTTTTTATAATTAGCATCACTTCAACTGTATGTTATCCATATACATTGATATAATAACTGTTCCACACTGGCCCCCTACCATTTCAAATTGCAAAAATTTGAAATATATATATACTATGGGAAGGGACGCACGTTTTGTGTAGTCAACTAAAAGAATGAGTTATTTTGACTTAATATGCTGAAACGCTCAGGTTCTTTTTTTTCTGGTTTTCTCCAAGCTTTCAGTATATTCTAAAGGAGCTCTGATTTAGTTTTAATCAGCAAGTCATGGGGCATCAAAAAGGCTCGATTTACTGAAACGTGACAATTTTCCAGAAAACTGCTCCCGAGTTACCTATCAAGAGATAGACAACGTTGAAGGAAGCATTTTGAGGACAACGCCCAAGCTCAGATGAATGGGATGTAGATACTAGTCCTCCAAACGTGTAACTGAGGTTACAGAGACTATATCTAATTTGAAACAAGGTAAGAGTAACAGGACGTGATGTTTAAAAGACTATCTTGGTAACAGATTACTGTCTAGGCTAACTAAGGTATATTAAGCAACTTCTGGGAATGAGAGACCGGTGTAATTCATTGATTATCCCAGTGTACAAGAAGGCAAACAAGTTTTATTGTGATGATTATGGGCGGATTATCTTAACTAATATGTGATCTCTAAAGTTTTTGGTTCAGGCGTCGGTGGCACAGCATTTAGGACGCTCACCGATCATGCATATGGTCAGGGGTTCGATCCTCGGCCACAGACGCACTCCTTTACCTCGATAAGCCAGAAATAATGCTGGTAAAGAGGAATGGTTGGGCATGAGGCTAGCAACCACATCCTGTAAAAATAAACACTGCTACTGAAACTTCAAGCCACTAGCTTGAAGCCCTATTTTCCACTAGGAACGTGAAGTAAAAAAATATGCGATGATTAGTAATACATGGAATTTTCTAGTGTACAAATTAACACTTCGTAGTTTATTGTGAATTTTGTCCATAGTCAATAGCCGAATTATAGAGAAAATAGGAAATCAGACTTTAGTTCAAGGAAGATTTGAAAAAAGTTGATATTTTCATTTTCGTTTTTCAAGATCACGTCTTTTACACTTAGTATATTTATAGTGTATTGGAAGAGGTATTATTAAGAATACTCAGTCTTCCAAATCAGTTGTATTAAAACATCTTTGAAGAAACTTTGTTTAACTTCTAAATAATAAAATTGTAAGTTGTACCTCCCTTCTGAGTACTTCGGAAGAAAATCAGTAAGGTGAATATTTGGCATTAGCCGCCTTTATCAACACAAATAACAAAATTAGTAACTAAACGAACAATGCAATGTAATCTAAGGTACTGAAGATTATGATTAGGGTATCAAAAAGCCTTCTACTCTACACTGATTAGTATTGACTGGATAGAAACATGTGGTCTCAGGTCACAGGTCTCTATGATCACCATCAATACCTTTTTTAGAACAAATTATCTAATATGGTATACTTTAAAGAATTTGATAGCGAAGAAATTCACAAATAATTCGCATTGCGAAAAGATTCGAAGAATTAGTTTTTATCATTTATCATCATTACATTATATGTTTGTATGTCTTTCCGCTCAAAGATGCATGCATCGACCATAAATGCTGAGTTACAAGAAGATCAGCATGAAATCATTGACAAATATCTAACTTTCCTGCAAAATTATATGGAATCCCATGGTAAATAAGTGTAAATATCAGGATATCCGGTTAGGAGGCCATGATATCAAGTTTTTCTTCGCACTACATTTTTAAGATTGGCTTGCAATCGTCAAAAATCGTAATCTGAATTTAAAAAATACAAAAAAATGAAGAAGTATAAGAAAGTACAACACAACTTACATCTGAATTAACTTCGACATGTGGAATTGAAGCACTATCAACCAAAACTTCAAATGGTTTAACAGCTGACGGGGATTTATAATCGATTTCTGAGCTTTTATCTGATGTATTACCAATGTAGACATTGGAAGACATTTCTCCTGCAGTCCCCTCACTAAATGATTTTCTTTTATTGATATCATTCAAGATAGATCCCGTTTTTATGCCATCTCTTTCATCGGTATTCACGACGGCCGATCGAGTAAATAGGCTGGAACCATGTAGAAAGATTTTCACAGGTGATGATAATGTACCACGGTTCGGTTGACAGTATTCCATAAGTGGAATCCACAGGTGTAATCCGGCCTCGAGCTTTAGTGTATCGAAATCAGTTGGCTTTAGTTGTTCAATAATTGGAGCATACAGATAAATAAATAGCTGAAGTGATGCTAAGTCGTGAACATAATAATCTGTTGAACCTTTTAGTTTAGAAGCTGTTTTAAACAAAAAGAAATTAAGAATTAAGTTAAAGTCTTCATAATTCCAAATAGACCTCTAATTTTTACGTGTCGTGAATATTTTGCACACAGTGGATGATCATATCATAATGCGCACCTTCAGAGATGACACCTTTTGTGAAAAATGGCATAACTACACTTAGGGCTGAATTGACACAAACTGAAAAACTACACAAAAAAACGAGGACCATATGATTGTTCTGCTTTAAATAAAAGTTATTTTCACTTGTTAAAAAACAGGCAAAGATTCAGGATAGAAAGTCAGTCAAATAAAGTAGCCTGCATGTTTCATTCTCAACAAACTGCTAATAGAACCTTCACACTGGATTTTCTTTAAAAATGGTGTCTCTAGATAAATAGAAAAAACTTCCTAGAATAAAATGCTATAGTACCCTTCCCCAGATGATAAAGCTAAACGTGGACTGCTTACTAAAACAATCTTCCATGTCAAGTAGTGAACAAGGTTTCATCTTAGCCATTTTTAATGCATGCAAGTGAAATATATATGTTATCAATTTCATTATGACACGAATATTATGAACAAAAGTACTGCTGAAGAATTCAAAAGTAGAGCGAAGCAGCTGTCAAGTACTCACTTTCCCAGTGGTTTTAACTTGAAACTAACCAAATCCATGCAAATCAAAACTTGTAAATAAACGACCAAGTGAATGTTTTACAAATGTCCACGAAGTCACCTCTCTATCTCAACTTCATCGAGTTTGAAAGGGCCTTCGATAGCGTCAGTCAAGAAGTGATTTGGAAACTACTTCGCTAATACGGGGTCCCATCGACAATTATACATCTCATCCATTAGTTATACGACAATGCTGAATGCCAAGTAATCCACAACCGGAAACTTACGGAAGCCTTCGAAGTGGGGACGGAAGTGAGGCAAGCTGGCTGTCTACTATCGCCAATGATCTTCCTGATTGCAGTAGATTGGATAATGTGACAGACAATGGGCAATGAGGAAACAGGCATCGAATGGACTCACACAAAAAACTTGGAGGATCTGGACTTCGCCCTTGATGATATATGTCTGATTTCCTACAAACTGGAAGATATGCAAGTGAAAAGGAACAAGCTGGCAGAACAAGCATCCAGAGAAGATACGACTTCCTTCAGGTGAACATAGATAAAACAGAGGTGATGAAGATTCCTGGCCAACACCAACAGCCACATCAACAACAACAACAACAACAGACAGCAATTAGCCAGCATAAATGTAACCTCCTTTACCTACCCAGCTACCTGGGAAGGATCGTTCCAACTACAGGCCAATGGAACTGACGAGGATATCAAAGCCAGGAACATCGGGAAAGCAAGACAAGCTTTCATTACTCTCATCAAGTCTGTGTGGAAGTCAACATCACTCAGAATCAAAAATAAGATCCGGATTTTCAACTCCAATGTGAAGTCAGTGCTACTTTCTACACGTATCAGAGACTTGGCCAGCGCGTCATAAAGAGCATCTCCAACAAACTACAGACCTTCATCAACAGCTAGCTGCCTTCGCTCAATACCACTCAAGATCAGATGGCCGGCCAGAAAAGATCATCAACAGAGATGGATCTCTGGAAATGAGCGAGCCAACCCAGCAGGAACCGATTGCCAAACAAATAGGCAGGAAGAAATGGAGATGGATTGGATTGTGGTGATACTCTGAGAAAACCATGAAGTGACAACACTAGACAAGCCATTACTCGAGTGGACTCCGAAAGGGAAGGGGGCGGCGAGTTGGTCGTCAGTGCGAGAGTGGGGTGACTTGGAGGAGGTCATGTGAAGAGGAGATGGAAGCGTGTGGGCAAACTTGGAGCGGGGTGAAAAAGTTGGCAGAAAACCGAAGGCAATGGAGACGCGCGGCTGAAGCCTTATGTTCCTCTAGGAATTAAAGGATATAGTGGTAATAATAGTAATGACGTTGATTTCATTTTCTGCCTCACGTTGAACGGGTGAATTACACTTTTCCAGCCGAGCTTTCGTACACTGAAAACCAATTTCCACTATTTTTATAATAACATACCGTTGTCCGTATACATTCACATGCTAGTATAAGTCCGTACTGAAACATGCTTGATGCTTTCTTCATTTGTTATTTAGATGAGGCGTAAGTTTCTCAATAAATTTTGGTAGGAAGGATTATAAAAGAATGTAATAACGCTGAGTCACCTTAACACTCAAACGCACAGCAGTAAACTAAAGATGTTTTATATATACATAATTTTTTCAGTAAGCAGGCGTTTTAACAATAAAATAAAATCACCTGAAATAGTTTACTCAGATAATAATACTCTTCAGTCAACAAATTTAGTATTCATTTTCATAGCCTGTAAATACCATCATGTCCTTTATTTTAAAAGATCATCAACACTTTCAAAATAAGATTTGGATAATAACTCACAAGATCTTAGGATAGAGCTGATTAAGGTCCTTAGACAGAAGATAAATTGCATTATGCACGTGGTTTAAGTTAACTGAAAAATAGTATACAGAATTCCTGGTATCGTGACTTTGCACAAACTATACCTCCATATCTATACTAAATTATGCCTCATCACTAAAATTATCATGCAATCTAAGTCTATTTCATGCTCGTTATTCAAGTGACGACAGTATTTTTCGGGCAGACAAATACAATAATGTTAGATATAGTCTTGTTTTAAAACACTGACGACTTTAGCCTTGCCAACAACCAGCTGAAAAGAGAAACTGATTTATACACACAAATAGCTAATTATTTATTCTTTTCAATGATAACTAAATATTTCCTGATCAGCAAATTTTGTTGACAAATCTGAACTTTCCATATATATATATATAACTGAAAATAGAATGATTGAATGAATAAATCGATGTTTGGAAAATCAGGTCAAATTTCCTTTCTTCCTCTTGACACACAGTTTCTTTCCTTCTATAATCCGCAGAAATAAAATATTATCGTATATATACACACACACTTATACTATTTATTCCCGTTTATCTGACTTTTGTTCTTTCCATCATGCTTTAACTTTTTTTGCGAATATTTCGGTATAAAGAAAATTAAGCTTTTTTTCTGCAAACAGATTTAGTCTTTGTATCAAACGTCTGTAGGCATTTTAGTGGATGAACGGTGTGTTTCTGTTTAGTAGGACTTAATAACACAATGTCTATGCAACTTTGAGGAGTGTTTATATTGTGCATTTTATACCTATTCTTGCGATTGAAAATCGAAGGTGATGAACTAATATCTACTCAAATTTGCAATTAATAGTGTTCTCTGAGCTGGTTGGTTTAGTTGCGGAGCTTTCATCATATCTCTGGACGACGTCTTCAGAGCAGTATTTCACATAAATTCAAATGATTTAAACTTCTCCATAAGTGATATAATTGTGTCTCCCGGTAACCATCTTTACATATGTATTGACCGTTTTCTATTTTCATAACCTCCGTCTTGTCTATTTTCATTTGGAGTCCTGTCTTTGCCGGCTGCTTCCTCGATCAGTTTGTAGGTTTTGTTTGCCTGAAGGTCTTCGAATTTGTGTGACATCAAACATAAATCATCCACGCGCGAAATCCAGGTCTTCTAGGTTATTCACGTCGGTCCAGGATATTCCTGTCTTCTCCTTTCCCACTCACTGTCTCACGCATAATCCAGTCCACCACAATTAGGAATATCATCGTGGGTGATAATAAGCCAGCACCCTTGTCTGACTCCTGTGTTTACTCCGAACGCCTCGCTGAGTTTTCCGTTGTGGATCACTTGACATGTGCTGTTGTCGTACAGCTGTTGAATAAGGTTGATGAATATTTGGGGTACGCCATAGTACTCGAGTAATTTCCAAATTACTTCACGATCAACGCTGTCGAAGGCCTTCTCAAATTGTATAAAGTTGAGGTACAGGTTTGATTGCCATTCCATGCTTTGTTCTGTGGTGATGATGCGTAGAGTTGCAATTTGGTCAGTACATGATTTGCCTGACTTTCCTGAATCCAGCTTGTTCTGGTCGGACTTCTGCATCCAGTGCGTCCTTTATTATCCTCAGAATGATACGACTCAGGATTTTACTTTGCATCGACAGGAGCATGATTCCTCGCCAGTTCTTGCAGAGTCCTAAGTCGCGTTTTTTAGTAGTTTTATGTGGTAACCTTTCCTCCGGTCAGTAGGCACCTTTCCCTCCTTCCAGACCTTTTGGAATAATGGAGTCAGAATGTCTGCTGTAGTCTCTGGGTCTGATTTTAGTGCTTCAGGGGGTATTCCATCTGGTCCAGCTGCATTCGAGACTTCAGCTTTCTTTGGAGGATTGGTGTCAACTTTCAGTTGTGTACGTGCTGTTGTTGGTATTTCTGGATGGGTTGCAGGTGGTGGTTGGTTCAAGAGTCCTTTAAAGTGGTCCGCCCATTGTTTAATCTGTCTTTCTATTTATTAATTTACGAAGTACAAAATATTTTCAGATTTCATCTAAACAAATACTTCGTTTCGTGTCAAAACAAATCTTTATTCATGAATTTCCACTTTTATTTGTGATCAACATACTACTAAAAACATCACTTTTGTAGTTGCAGACCTTAGTTTACTTTTTGTCTCCGCTGTACTGTGAGATTCCCGAATGTGATAAATGTGTGCTAGTTTATGCATCTGTTTCATATTTAAATATATAATAATTTTCCAAATTGATCATCTATTCAAGCAATAAGTTACCGGATGATTGTGTAAATAACTGAGGCATCAGTTACAACAAATCTCTCATAGTTGCGTAGTGAATGTATCAACTGTATTGAAAGTTTGATGACCCTGGCATTTGACAGAATTTGTGCCAGATTGGATCTTTTTTATTTACCATCAAATCAATCAACTGAGGCGCATTAAAATATTTTTTTCTACTTCAGTTACTTTCAAAAACAAGATGTGATTGTCAACTTCCTCTTGAATCAAGGACTGATGTTATTTTAATACACACTAATTAATTAACTAAATTCAGATCTACCAATTAAAT